ATTGCCAAATCTCCCCCTCCCCTCCTTCACTGGGTTGAGCTGTTTGTGTTCCCAACAGTAATATATGATATAGCCTGTTCCTCCTCAGTCTCAGTTAACACAGTGTGTCATCAAAGTTTTGGAATTTCTGCTATTTCAAAAGGTGCAAAAATGGGACCTTGTGCTTCAGTTTTTATTGCTCTTTTGATTGAAAAGGTCAAATCTTTTTTTTTGGTAGAAGGCCATTTGCGAAGTTTATTCCTGGGATTCTTCAGCTTTTGTCCACACTGAGATGGTGTTTAGTTCCCTCTTTGGCTTTGCTTTTGAGCGGAGGATACTTTCTCGCTCTTAAGCCATAAAGGAATTCCCCCCTGGTTTTGAATTTTACGTGTAGATCCCATTTGGTATGGGACATGAGGAAGGCCGTTCCATTAATTCCTTTTCCTTCAGTGCTCCATAAATTCTATGTTAGGGAATCTGCCTGCTCTTCCTCATGCTTCAGTGTGCACGCCCTGGCCTGTTTCCAACTGTCCATCCATTCTGAGGATGCTTCGGTGTCACTCAGCTCTGCTAATAGAGAGGCCGCCATGTGTAACAAAGCCGTTTAAATAAAAGGAGCAATGAGCTGATTCCCACCGTTACAGGAGTGTCCAGTTTAAATGGACGTTTGAGAGATATCGTATGAACAGGCTATCTTTAGTCCATTTTACAGGAAGAAAAAAGGGCTCAGCGAGGTTGTTCGAACTGGTCTGAGATCACCTAGCGAGTTAGTAGTGTGACCAGAACCTGTTCTTACTGTATTGGATGATTTTCTCAAGATGCTATGATTTTTCTCTCAGAAAACACCAGCAACCAGGCTCTCAGGCAAGGACCTGGCCCAGGTTGTATAATTTCTCTTGCTGTACAATATTTTGTTAGTTTTGACTAGTTAAGGTGTTATATAATAACAAAATCTGACTTTTAGAACTAACTCTTAAAACTTTTGAACTGGCTCATAGTAATGGAGGGAGAAAAAAAAGCCAGAATTCTGTGATTTAACACCAGAAAGATGTTGCTTTTGTTTCTTAGTTCCCTATTTTCCCCTTTTCTTTGCTCTTCCCTCGCCTTCTCTCTCTTGTCTCCTTTTCTACACCTCCCGCCCCTACTTTTGAGATACGATCATGCTGTGTAGCCCAGGCTGGCCTCTGACTCTTGATTTTCCTACCTTATCTTCAGCAGTTCTTGAGTGCTGAGATTCTTGGTATGGTAACACATGAGCTCAGGATTTTTCTGTGCATGACCTGTTACTTTATTATGATCACGTTAAGTGGAAACACTAATATTTCTTAAGCACTGACTTAGAAGCACTGATTTGAGTGCACTTCGAGTATATTATTTTGTCGCCATCAGGCCCGTCTAAGGATGCTGTCTTCGTTGCTGCATCACTTTCAGTGAAGAATACTTGGCTTGGAGAAATTCAATAACTTTACCCAACCCTACAGAGTGGATAAATGATGGTGCTTGGATTGTAATTCTTGTGTTTACTCTGGCATCTGTTTTAACCATGATGTTGTGTCCTGAATATATTACTTTGGATCCTATTACCATATCACTATTTTAACAGACCTTTCCAACTTTATTTCTCTATCATACTAAATTTGATTCATAATGATGCCTTTCTTTTAGCATGGTTAAGTTACTCCTATCAGATTTTAAGAAGTTATAAATAGCTGCCCCTCTGGTATTAATAGGATTTTTGCTTCTCTCCAAGGAAACACCTTGAAAATGGAATAAAATCGAACAATTTGGAGGAGGCCAGTATAAAAGAGAAATGGTCATTAATTTTATATCAAAATGTGCATGCTACCCCATTTCCCACCAAGCTTTTCCAGGTCCATAGTGCCCTAGATTCTATGTTACCAATGAGATGCCTGATGTGTAGTAATGATGGCAGATGTGTGACTGGTGTGGAGATTTATGTGAAGCCAGAGTAAATAAAACACTTGCTTCTTGAATACCTTCAACTTTCAGCCTCACTCTGCCATGCATGGTGCATTTACTATCATGTGATATCAGTAGGCATATGAGGAAGCATGGGAACTTTGCTGCTGCTATGGACTTGTTCCTGCAGAGAAATAGTGCAGAACACGTAGAAAAGGTCAGTGTTTGGCCAACGTTTAATTTTTTTATTTTGGATTTTCCCCTTTATTTGCATATTTTCATAATACACAGACAGTATTGGGGGGTGTAATGTAGACAATTTCTTTCAAATGTCTTTTGTACTTTGATCACGTCCAACCTTCCTCTTTCCTCTGTGTTCATCCTCCTCTTTCTTGTCTAGTCTCTTCTCCGGTATCCCTTTCACATGTGTGCGCGCACGCGCATGCATGCATGCATTGAGAGTATGTATGCTTTTATGTCTCATATTTAATGTGCATTTCTCTTATCATGAACAAGGTCAACTCTCCTTAGTTTTTGCAGATTATTCCCTTTTTTATACCCAAAGTGGTATAGCTGGATCCTTTTGACTTATTTGAGGAGCCCCTATACTGTGGGTCTGTCCTTCATAGCGTTTATTATGTTGAGGTCCATCTCTTCCATTTCTAGTTCCTTTCGGGCTTTCTTCAGGAAGAGATGTTAGACTTCATGAAAGGCGCTTTCTGATTGGTTAAGATGATCAGTTCATTTCCTTCAGGTCAGTTAACGTGACATGTTACATTTATTGATCTGTTTGTGTTCAAACATCCTTGCATTCAGGTTCACTCAAGGAAAAACCTACCGTACACAATCAGCATTTAACCCAAGAATGCAAGGGTGGTTTGATATGAGGAAGTCTTTAATACAAAAAAGTTGATGTGCTATTGATAATGATTAAAAACTCATAAAATATGCCATCTGACCCTGGAGAAGCATTTGACAAAGTTCAACAGTCTCTAAAAAACCTTTTTAACACTTGGCTTGGGTGCATTTTTACTATTTCCTGGTAAATTATAAACATTTATCATTTTTATAACCAGTCAGGAGTATGTGGAAGGTTTTAAAAGCTCTTTGTGCACATAATATGTCTTTTTATTTTCCAAGTTAATAATTTATGTAATGGTCTCTCAATAAATACTTTTAAGGAAATATTCTATTAATGCTCAGTTTTTGGAAATCAGTAAGAAACCGAAGAGACAGAGAATTAGCTTGTTTCAGGAGAGATCTTGTTTCTCGAGTGTTCCTTTTCCTCTGTTCTGTGTGAAGGGGCCTCAGTGTCCTTTTGAGGATGGATTACTTTTCTTGAGGAAATGCTATTGAAAATGGTTGTGTGCTGGCTTGAAGACTGGGCAGTGGCTCTCCCAGCCACTTCCATGTTGTAGCGACTTCCTCTTTGCATGTCTAACTGGTGACTAGTGTTCCTTGTAAGTTCATCCCGGCCTCAGCATACCTATGTCTGAGCCCATTTTTCCTGCAATTGAGAGCAACTTAGTACCTCAGCCCTACTTTCTCCTCTCATTCTTTACACCACATCCCATACATCCTTAAAGTATCCCAGATCTTCATCTTTAACAGCTTCAATGCCCTTGGCTTAGGTCTCAACCCTTTACCTGCACCATTTGTCAGGGACCCGCTGATTTTCTTTCCTCCTACTTCAACGCATCCTCCTTACCCTGGTGCTAGATTGGTTTTTCCGTATTGCACTTAGATGCTGTTGCTTGCTTAAAACATCATGATGAAATGATGGATGAAAATGACTGCTTGACATTTGAGGCTGTCTTGTCTGCTTTTCATGGGTTCTTTCTGCCTACATCTTCCCCGTGTCATGCTGAACTTGCTCCTTATGGGGCCATAGTATGTGGTGTCATTGTCTGTGTCTGCACGGTGTCTTTTGAGCTCTTTTCTCTCTTTCAAAAAGCTGAGTCATCATTATATGCGTGTATGAAACTTTAGAGTTTTCCTAATAGTTTTTCCTCCATTCTCTGAGCCCTCACAGCACTCTGTGCTTAGATGACGTCTTTATATTTTCTCATTGTATGGCAATTAAAACAATTCCAATTGGAGAATATGAAGAAGCCATTACATTATAAAGCCTTGAGTAGAAGGCTCAATATTATTTACTTTTTCTATTTCTTGCAATTATTTAACATAATAGATTTATACTACATAGTTTAAACATTGGGACTTTGAATCAAATATTGAACGTAATATATATGTATTTGGTTATATATATAACAAAAATACCTTTTTTATTTTAGACCTATAAATGTCATTGATTTGTTGTTGTAAACCAGAGTTTTTAAACATTCCTTTTGTAGGATGATAATACGACTGAAAATATCAAACAGAGCTCGCATAAAAGATAGTTTGTGTGGGCCATCTCATTTATTTCTACAAATTTTTGTTTTTCACATTTACACTAATATAAATCATTTAACTAAAATACCACTTGAAGGATAATAAAATTATTATTATGCTAGCTTTGAGAGACAACATTAATTAAATTGGAAGATAATATTAATGCTTAATAAGATAACTATTTCCCTATTTTGAAGACATGAAAACTTTATATTCTTATATTGAGTCAAAGTGCCAGGAATTTTTGCAACAGATTGAATGCTATGATAATTCTCAGTTCTTTAAAGCCTTGGGCAGTGGCTTTTTTTTTTTTTTCAGAAAAATCAAGCTTGAACTCCCCATTAGATGTCTGTGGAGATAAATGCGTAAAAGCTTTTCAAGGCAGTGCTTTTGGCTCTACCAGAACTTAATCCTCCACTGATTCTGTTTCTTCTGATTTGGAATACAGAGTTATGACACACCACACACACTGACCACTTCCATCCACGATCCTTCTCATGACTTGAAGATTACATCTCATGCATGTGGAGTATAATCCACATATCCTTTTCATATGCTTGAGTTCAGGGTGCTGCTTTAAAGCTAGACTCTGAGAAGGTCTTTGTATTTGTGTTTCCACAACAGCTCAACTATTTTGACATGTATGAAGGTTTTTTGTTTGTTTGTTTGTTTGTTTGTTTTTGTGGCGTTTTTTTTTTTTGAGACAGGTGTCATGTAGCCCTGGCAGACCTCAAACTCACCATGTGGCTGAGGATGACATTGAACTTCTGTCCCGCTGTCCGTCCTTCCCAAGTGCTAGGATCACAGGTGAGTGAGATTACAGATCCAACACACCTAGTTCTGGCAATGGGCTTTATAAATGGTTTACTTCATTAACCATTCAGTGCATGTTGAGTTTGCCTTTTTCTTTTCTTTTCTATTTTTTTGTTGTTTATTTGTTTTGGTTTTGATATGATGTTTTGAGACAGAGTCTTACTAAGGAAGGTAGCTTCAAACTCACAATCCTCTTGCTTCTCCAGCTCTAGGATTACAGGTCTGAACTACCATGGCCAGGTACAAACCTTAGAATTTGATTTACAGTCACAATACAAAGGGAGTATTTAAAAATAGACTTCAGCTGTACAGGTTCACAGTGTTGAATACATATCATGGGTATGTATGGTGAAGGGATATATAATCATATAGGAAATCTTGGCTTGAGGCTCCTTTTGGCCTTTATTTGGGAGAGTGTGCTTTTTCTAAGATTTATGGGTATTACATGGGTGGAATGTAAAGGATCTGAGCAAGCCATGGGAGCAAGCTGTAATTGTATACCTTGAAATGCCCATTGTCAAATCTGGAAGATGGAGCCAGCTGTCCTGGCTCACATCTGTAACCCTATCACATTTGTAACCCTGGCTAATTGAACCTAGCTTAAGGCAAGAGAGTCACAAGTTTGAGGCCAGTGAGGGCCACATAGCAAGTTTAAGGTCAGTCTGTGTAACTGTGTGAGGCCCTGTCTTAAAATAAAAGAACATTCAAAAAGGGCTGTGGATACAGCACAGTGGTAGGTGCTTGCTTAGCATAGGTAAGGCCCTAAGGTCAATAGATCCGATCCCCAGTACTACCAGGAAAAACACAAAACCAAGAAGCACAAACTATAACCTTTGGAGGAATGGCCTCTGGTTGGTGGACATTTCTTTGTCCATGTAGTGTTAGACATTGGCTTTTGTTGTTCATTACTGTGATGTGTGGTTCTAAGCTTGGCAAGCACATCTCATTCCTATTCTGCCATTATGCTAATGAACTGACATTTTTTAAAATTAAAAATGTATGTTCTTATTGAAAACAAATTTAAAACCTAGGAGAGATGAATGCTAAACACTTACCGGTCCACTACTGTTTAGAAATATATTTATCATTAAGCATTAAAGTTTCTCAAATTAGGCTCTTGCCAGACCAAGGCTCTTCGTAATGGTTGCCTACTTTTGCCATTGCTCCTAATTCCCACAGTCTTGTTCTCAGAGATCACAGGGACCAAATTGTCTCCATACCACAAAGAGTACTCTCCTTGAAATAACCATCGATAATGACAATTCTTTGAAGTTGGAAATTGGGAGAGATGATAGAGAATAATTCTATCACTACCAGAAAGAAATAAAAGTCACTGAATGTTCACCGCTGTCTGGTCGAGTAGGTTTTATACACACTGAAGCAGTTAAGACCTGGGTTTGCATCTTTTACTGTGAGAATTTGGGTGAATTAGCACTGCAGCTTCCAGTGTCCCCATCTGTGAAATGAATGCTGGGAGGATTAAATGGGATTTTAGATACACAGAGAGGGAAGAGGGCGCCTAAGAACTCTCCACTGCCCACTTCCATTTGCACATAGAATTCATCTCCTCCCAAGAATCTCAGCAGAGCTGGGGTGAGGGCTAACACAAATCAATGGAAGATCTTGAGTGTACTTTTCTGTGATACTGTTTTTAGAGTCAGTGTTCTTCGTTGCTTTTTTATTTTATTCATGATTCCAGCAGTCTTCAAGTGTCCATTTGGTTGGCTCCATTGAGAAAAGTTGGGCATGTTGTGAAACAATGATGCTCATGGTTCAAGATATTTTCTGTTGAGTATTTGAAAATTTAGTTTTTTTAAAGGAAGGTCTCATTGCTGTGAAATATTTCTGTTCTTTAAATGGTGATCAACACCTCTCAAAGTCTCATATTTTATGGTGACTTTGTTTTACAATGTGGCTTTAAAAAGTTTTATGTAGCTGTTTATTATCTGATGAATAAATTGCTCATGTGTTTTAAAATTAGATTTATGAATTAAACATGGGAGCATCAGTTGAGGGTAGGTATTTCACTATTTGAAATTTTTGCTACTTAGGCAGAGAATTAAAGAGTGAATATCCTAAAAATTTCTGATACTTGAACTACCATTCTCAACAAGAATAAGAAATTATGCAACCATTAAGTTTGCTGAACTTAGTTGTCGTTTAAAATTTAGTTCATTATAATGAATATTTAAATGCTTGATAAAAATACGTTTCTATGCAGAAGGCTCAATTTAGACTGTTCTGGAAGCTAAAATAAATTGGCTATTTTATTGCTTGCTTTTTAAAATGCTAAAATTATTATTAAGAAGGTTAATCTTAAATGTATTTTTCCAGGTTAAGGCATATATAATCAAATTGAAAAACGATTAAAAATGTCTAGTCTTATAGTGCTACTACATCACCTAATATGGCTGCTATGGTTAAATGTCATCTCTGAACACTTTGGTGTGGCTAGTCTGAATTAGGATGAGGGTAGATTTTGTCAGTTTTATTCAGTGATTGACGAGATTATGGTAGCACCTGGTTTACAAAATACACACACAAAAGTACTGCCACAGGACACTAGGACATGAAGATCAACCTTTTCCTCACACATTAACACTTGAGACAAACAATAGAGTCCTTGGAGAGAGAAATGGGGGGTGAGAGAGATCACCACCAGCGTGAGGTAAACTAGCTCTCACTCTTCAGGGGTACTGATTATTTTAATGTATTTACTTATTGGTACTAATTATTTTAAAGTGTCCCTGCCTTTATAGTGTTTTATTGAAGGAATTACTTTAAGATTTTGTTTTTGATATTGTCGTCTAAGTTACAAATGAAATCACTCCTTGGAAATTGGAACAAGACTTCATCTACTTGATGCTTAAGGTTCAAGCACAAACATAATATCACTTTTTAGCAGAGTAGATGAAGATTTCCATTTCAGTAACAGAATTGTAGAAATATGAAAGTGTGAAGTTTATCTTATAAACACTCTTAATAGAAAATTTTATTTCTACTTACACAAATGAATTCTCCTTGAGTATTTTCCCTGATAGATAAATAAACTTGAAAGTACTTATTTGCACTATGAATTTTATAGAAGAGTAATTTCACTTAGCTAATGATAAGAAGAAGAGGTAAAAGTCAATTCAAGGCACATAGGGAGAATAGAGTTTCTAAAGAACTGCTGCTTCCACAGTTCATTGACCAGGAACTGTTTTATTTATAAAATGTTCATGATGGTAGTGGCACACGCCTTTAAGCTTGGGAGGCAGAAGCAGGCAGATCTCTATGAGTTCAAGGCCAGCCAGGTCTACTGAGTTAGTTCCAGGACAGCCAGGACTGTTAAACAGAGAAACTCTGTCTTGAAAAACAAAATAAAACATGAAACAAACAAACAACAAGTTCATGGTTCACACTAACTTAAGGTTTTTTTTTTTTTTTTTTTTTTTTTTTTTTGTGTGTGTGTGTGTGTGTGTGTGTGTATGTGTGTTAGGATAGGTGGTTTCTGTGCACTGACCCCATGGAACTCTCCCCTGAGGTCTGTAGCTGCGGCTCTTCAGTCCTCACTCCTGTTGTACTCAATACTGTCACTGAACTCTGGGGCCCATCAGCTCTCATTTGTGGGTCTTTGCAACTGCTCCCTGGATGCCTTCTCTCTGCTGCATCACCTTGCTTAACTCTTGCTAACCTACCCTTTCCTGCCCTGGATCTGCTCTTTCATTTTTCCCTCCATGAAATCATCTCGTTCTGCGTTCATACAACTACCCCAATTACATGTTCTGCATTGCACTTTCTCTAGAAAGTGCCACATCATCTAGTTTTCATGTGTTTATGTAACTTATTGTTCTAATGGCTGGTCTCAAAATGTCTTACACCACTCCAAAAACCATCCCTTTGTTTCCTTGAATAGGAGAGACTTCATCGTATTTCCACAATTTGATGTACAACACCCCCCAGACCAAACATGACAAAACAGTTTCTCTTACTTAAGTTACTAGGAAATTATTTACTTTATTGTGCTTCCATAAAATTCAGAAATCATGTAAACAAACTGTGTTATGAATTAACTGGTAAAGCATCTATTTCTGAGTGGGTTAAGGAATTGCCAAGAGTGATTAAGCCTGCTCTCTCTCTTTCTGGCTCTGAATGGAGTGTTGACAGCCAACGAAGAGCTTCTTCAATAAATCCATTCTCATGTTCAAGTTTTTCCAGATGTGAGAAATAATTAAGTCTTTGCATTTATTGGAGCCTTTTATGCTTTTCAGGCAGAAACTGGCAGCTGTGGTGGATTAACTCTGCCTGAGTGTATATTTATTGTTTGGGGTATGTGTGAATGTACATACATGTATGCCTGCATACATGTAGCACTTGCCAATAGTAAAACAATGTCAGGCTTGAAAATAAAACAAAATGAGAGTCTGGTTACAATGCATACTAAGCATTTTCATAGCTGCCCTTCATAATCATGAACACTGTCTCCAATGAGTCCCTTTTTCTTTATTTTTTGCTAAATGTTAAAGAAATGAGGGTAAAAGATTCATAACTGTTAAGTGACATACTGTTAAAAAATATATGATTCTCATAAAACACAAAATGAGCACGTTTCAAATATTTTAATGTATTAATAAATGAGGGGACTAATAAGATGGTATAATTGGTTCATAGGTGGACTTGTGGAACCATAGATCCATAAATAATAAGGAATGCTGAAATGAATTTATAAATAGATGTGAAGCCAATAATCAATTGTGTTTTCTAAGCCAATTTGCATTTCTGTAGATAAGGATCCTTTGTATTGTGATCAATTTCTAATAGCTTGCAAAATGACAAAATAGCTTAAAGACAGTGAAATGACAATATAGTTACAAAGAAGCACTAGATAAGATACTCACATTTTTTAATGTCACTGTCAAAGTCTTTCACAAGTATTCCTGCTACATTCCACATAGAAGTCTAGGAAAGGGATACATACATACATACATACATACATACATACATACATACATACTTACATACATACATATACACACATATGCAGTCACAAATCCATATATATATACATACCTATATCTCCCTTTTTGTGTGGAAATAAAACTGTTGGATCCTGCCTAACTCTTCTGGTTAAAAGCCATACTCAGATAGTTCAAACCTTGGCCTCTTTTGTTGAAGACTGTGTTACAGTGAGGACCCAACTACCAAATGAGGTTTAGAGGATTTTACCCCTTAATAGGTGAGAAAGAAGTGAGTCATGCAGGCAGTTTTAGGGGAGATCAATGGACTCAGACAAAGTTTGTTAGGCTTTGAGAGTTTCGTTTCTTCTTCTTTGGCTGATGAAATAACATGACGGAAACCAACTATGTTCCCTTTTGTTAGAGCCAATCTTTGTGTAAATAAAAGCTTTTCAAAGAAGCACCTTTTCTAGCTTCTGTTGATTCCCTAGTGCCTGTAAACTCAAGGCCCGAGGTGCCATATTTTAAGGTGTCTTCAATCTCAACTCAGAACTGAACTGTAATTTATTGTAATACTTTATTAGAGATTTTCATATGTAAGTCAATTTTCTCCATGCTGGAGAAAAGCAAAGAACACATTCTGTTATAAAAAAAAAGAAAGGAGAACTGAATGGAGTAAGTGTGGAACTTCTGTCAATAAATAAGACCTTTGTTGCATGTGACCTTGGGGATACCTAAGATAGGGAGGCACTGTGTGACTCACTCAGTAGGGTGGTGCAGATGCACTTCCTTGGCCAGGGACTGTGTCCCTTTACATTGTCATTACTTACTTGTCAATACTCATATGTAAACATCAAACTATTAAAAGTTCAGGAGACACCAGAATTATAATTACACAAGTCAGCTCTTATCTTCCCACTGTCAGGCCCTGGGGATGCCCTTCTTTATCCTTTGAAAGGATAAGAGCCTTTTATAACTGTGCTTTTCTTATAACTATGCCCCTTAACAGAGTAGTTGGGAGTTCAAGCGATTTCCTTTTATTAAAGTGTCGTCTTAATTTATGCCACATTGGAGGCAGGGAAGGATTAAAGGATTTGCTGTAGAAGGCATGGTTGAGCCAGATTTGGAATTCCATGGTTTCAGCACGAGGAATGTGATCTCCCATGTTGGTCTCATTCTGTATCACTTCATAGAGAGAGGACCAAAGTCGAAATGTAGACAATGTAAATAAAGAGAATAAAAGTAGACAGGGGATTAGCAACTGTAGAGATATTCCCTTTGGGGGTACCCAGGGTGAAAGTGTGTATTAGTATACAACATTAAATTAGATTTTAAAGGGGGGAAAAGGATAGGTATTTTTGAAACATAATCACTACCCATACAAAGAATACTTTTTAAAAATACAGATTTTAGCCCTATTGGCAGGAAAGCTTGGCTATGATAAAAATCAGGGCTTAATATTTTTAGAGGAAACGTGACATGCATTTTATATTATACTCATATGTGAAGGAAAAGAAGATGTATTAAATCAAAAGTCATGGTGTATGTGGCTTGCCAGAAAGTCCATTAAAGAGTTCACTCAGTAGGTTTTGAATTTTTTAATTTCCTTCCAGGGTATGTTTTATTCACCACTGCATCTCCTTCACCAGGTGCAGAGCCAGCACAACAGCATCACTGTGCAGTAAGCAGGGCTCCAGTCAGGTTTTGGTACCTGTGTCCATCGTAGTACTCATTACATCACGTTGCAAATGAAGCAGATCGTTAGTTGTTCTTGGCCTTAAGTTTGCCCTCTGTGAAGGAGAGCACACTAAGTGGGGGTTTATGTTGGTTTTCAGCACTGGGTTCCAATTGAGGGCCTTACACAGCCTACACCTACTTGTAGAAACCAAGCAGACTTGGTAATAACCCAGGTTTGTTCTTAGCCATCTTTTTACTTTTTGTGTTTACTTTAAGACAAGGTCTCACTAAATTGCCCAGATTGGCTTGAAGATCACTCTGTAGCTCAGGCTGGCCTTGAACTTGTGCTTCTTTTGCTCCCACCTACCAAAATAGCCAGGGATACAAGCTTTTGTGATTAAACTTAGTCCGTAAAGACTTACTAAGGATCCTGATGATTGCAAAATTCTGATTTCAACCTCCCAAAAGAAAAAAAAATGTCCATATTGTGTGTGGTGGTTGGTTATGTCTTTGAAACTTCTGTGCATTAAGGTTTGACTGATTATCTTCTTGCAGCCCAGTAAAAAGCCAATAGGAACTCAGAGCATGATTGACAATGAGAAGAGACCCTGCTCAAGCCTCAGGTAGTCTGTTCACCATGGAAACAGACATCACCAAAAGCTGCACGAGCGTTGTCATCTGAAGTGGAAGCTAAGAGCTGCATCTTGGACAGCTTTGGTAGGATCTTTTTTTTTTCATATATGCTTCTAGAGGTTTGCAAGAAAAGTTTATAGAAATTATTCATCCATAAAAAGTATTTCATTCTTGCAGGTAATGCAGTAGTCTACAGAATATCAGAATAGTCTTTTGGGGGAGCACGTGAGGGAAACAATTACAGTTTACACATTGTTCTCCTTATGGACAAACGTAATGCACAAAGAATTTCTTGTAGGCTGGTCTGACATGGCTGTTATCTAAGGTTTCCCAATTTAGCATTCTGGGGACAATTTCTTTTTGGCATTTAAGTGGTGTCTGCGATGCCTTTAATTTGACCTCTATCCAGAACTGTTTCATGAGAAAGCCAACAATTCTTATAGAAGAGAGTCAGAAGTAACAATGTCCCCCTCAGTTACATTTCACAGAAGGCAGCAGATGCCATTAAGAGACAGTGGTAGGTAGAATAGATGGGATGAGATGAGGCAGGCCAGATTCATGTTTGGGAAATGAGAGGTTTAGTAAACTGAGTAGGGCTTTTGATTGACGGTCATCACAGATCTCTGCATGTGTCACTGTGGCATGTGGCACTCATCCTGGCAGGTGTAGAAATTCATTTACAGCTTTCTTGAATAGATTTGTTTTAGATCATTGTTTTTTTCTTTTATCAACCATTTTGTGGAACATTTTTTTTGCCCTTTGGAAAATAATTTAAAAAACAAACAAACAAACAAAAAATAATCTGTTGATGACAGTTGTGAAGAAAGAATGTCTTACTCATTAGAATTTTCAGTTTAGGTAAGGCTGAGGCATTTTTCTTTAAAAAAATTGATAAGGATAAGTACATAAATATGTATTCACTAGTTAAATGTAAAATGTAAAGTGAAGCTCCATAGCTTCAGAATGACTGCTCTATCTCAACAGACATTCAGTGGGATATAGAGACATTAGATATGGTTAACTTCAGGGATTTTTGTTTCTTTCATTTGAAAACATTTTATAATAGTTTATTAAAACAAATTTAAAAGTAGATAAGATATCAAAAATGTATTACCCTTGGTTATTTGGAATGATGTATTTTGGATAAAGATGTATTTTATATAATTAATTTAATTAGTCGCCATAGGGTGTTTTTCTAATACTGATTGCTGATACGCTATAATTTTTGTAGTATCAAATTTACCCTAAAATTTAAACAGCTGGATTAACACATTGGGAGTGATAGATTCTTGGAATTGCTTAACTTGACAGCAGAGGGTTTGCTGTGAGAAGTACTTCCTTAACTATAGAACTAGTGAGGTATGCCCCATGACAAATACGATTGCTTAGTGTCTTAATTTTCCATGCGTGGAATACAGTGAGATTATAAAAAATGACTAGTGAATTTGTGAAAATTCACACAATGATAAAATGCAAAGAGGGTGATTAGTTTGGAAGCAGTGATGTTTCTAGACATCTTAAATAAAATACCAACATATATTCACTTCAACTTTTCATGTTTAATGATGTTTACAATTAATGTGATACAGCATTCCCTAATTTGAGATTAACAGTCATAATTAACTCAGAATAGATTCTTTGAAGTGGTTCAAAGGGCTTTTTATAATAAATTATTAGCCTCTAATCAGCTAATACGAAGTGAGTAGTTTTGGGGGATGTGAGAAGTATGTTAAAATCTCATAAAACATTTAATTTAAGTTAATGAAATGACTTTGTATGGTGCAGATTCTCTCTATGGAAACAGAGCCATGTCTGACATTCCAGAGAAAGCTTTATTTAGACCAAGTTGAGAAATTTTTGAGATAACAGCCTTTAGGCCACGCTTGCTATCTTGGGTGTTGTAGCTGAATAGATTTCCAGACTCCTCCAGTCCTCTTTAAACCATTTTTTTAAAAATGTTTGGATGAATTGAGTTTGTGAAATATAAAAACATTTTCTTCCATCCAAAGAGTGTTGACTTTAAGTTTGTCAAATTGAGCCCAGAAGATGCAAGTCTTCATGGGGGAGGGCAGACCTGGCAGACCCCGAGGATCCTCGGTGTTCCCTGACACACCATTGAGATAAGGAGGATGACATGAGCCAGGGAGAGAGTCTGGCATGTCTGTTGCTTCCAATGCCCCAGTGACTTCGGAGCGCAAGGCTGTGGTGGTCCATTGAAAAGACACACGTTTTAAAGCATTAATATTTTGATAGGGTAAAAATGAAGGTGCCTGTATTGGAGGATGTAAAAGACGAAACTGAAGAGGAAAATGTGGAGGAGGAAGAAAAGCAGGAAGACAAGGTGAGTGAGGAAGAACTCGATTAAGAACAGAATTTAGTCCTGTAACAGACAAGGAAAAAATGACCCTTCGCTTTCTGTTCTTATTTTCATAGGTATTTCTTAAACCTGTTATTGAAGACCTAAGCATGGAACTGGCCAGAAAGTGCACTGAACTCATTAGTGATGTAAGTGGCTTTAAAGAGTTTTGTCTTTTACTTGCTTTGTTCACCTGGGATGGCTGTGGTGCAGAGTCCTAGGGCTGGAGAGAAAGGTCATCTGTTAGAGCACGGTCATTTTCTAGATCACAGAACTAAGTCCAGACATGTTCGGTGATTTCCCCAAGGTCATATGGGCAGAAAACTTCTGCTGGGGCAATTGTCCTCATTCCTAATCCAGGAATCCTAACCTGTCTCATCCAAGTTGTGCAATTGCCCTGAATTGCATGGTGCTGAAGGGTCAAGCTCATTTTGTTTGAGAACTCCCAAGACTTTAAAAGTAGCAGAATTTGTCTTGGAAGGACCTCTGTCTAAGCAAATGATTTTCAATATGGAAGACCTTCTTCCAAATGAACAGTGCTTAATTTTCTGAGGGTCCTTTGAAGTTTCTGTCAAATGCAGTTTTTTTTCCAAATCATGAAAATACATGTTCCTTTAATTACACCTGACATTTCTTTGCAATAGTGTGTGTGTGTGTGTGTGTGTGTGTGTGTGTGTGTGTGTGTGTGTGTATTAATGGAACTGTACATTAAAAACCCTGGTTCACATGATAGTATCATTGGGAAGGAACATTTTTGTTGTTGTTTTTGTTTTTAGGAACTGAAGCTAGTTTATATTGTATTTCAAGGATATCCTAGAGTTATTTAATGTAAGCATGTACACATACATGATAAGTATATAAATAGAATTTTAGATGCAGAAGGAAGAATATTTCTCACTAGGGATGAGAACCCACCACATCCTCATAAATAATGTAAGAGAACTGCTGGCATAAAAAACATGGAGTTGTATGAAAGGAAGTGTGTTTGTGCCTGCATTCTGGAGTGAGTGCAAAACTGGCTGCACTTGTTGTTTTTAACATGCAAAGTTTGTTTCCTGGGCAGTAGGGTGGTTTATTGGCCGGTTCTCCAAGGCCATTTGCCTGAGTCAATGCAACAATAACCTTGGAAATGTTATTGATGTTGGTGGGTTTAGCTCTTCAAGTGTCATGTTTATAATTCTAAGATGAAATGTACATTGAAAATGCTGCATCTATCCTTCACAATACTGTGATGACTGGATAAATGCTGGCTAGCCACTGGATAAACTCTAAGCCACTCCATCTGTAACTTTTAAATCTGTTTGATAAAAAGGTGGTAGTCAATGGAAGTGCACACACTTCTTCCCATACTCCTGACATGCTGTGATGTGGTTAAATTTTAAGTTAACATTTATTTGTGCTATTGATTAGTAATGATCATATGTTACTCAACATTTGTGAAAATTCTTTGTAAACTGCAATAATAAGACAGTGACAATGGCAGCAATGACCGTGACACCAGTGGCAGTTAAGATTTATTGAGTACTATGTGCTAGGTGTTGTACCCTGTGAGGTTGGGTCTCCTATTTCCTCCCATTTTAGAAGCCAGGAGACGGAGGCCCACAGAGGTAAAAACAGGGAGGTGAGCACAAAGTCCTTTCTCTTTGCTCTGTTACTTCTCATAGTAATATCCATGTAAAGCTTATTACTATCTCCCAGACTAACATTAGTAACAGCAATGCCATCATTTAAAACCCAGCTCTGGAGTCATTGCCTCTTCCACCTTTGGTATGTTTTTATTAAGTGTAATTATTGCTGGGCTGTAGCTCTAATTAGGTAGGTGATTTATTGGAGTGTTTTGGGGAGGATTGCTTACTGGTGATGTAAGAACCTTCCTGTAGGGAGGTGCAATACCTTTTTACTACTTTGTGAATGCAAACGCCATGTCGTTTTTCTCCCTTTAGGTGAAATCAAGCTCGTGGGAGAAATTTCTGTTTATTATAGATTTATGTTTCATGGCAAAATGTCTGCACTGCTTAAACATTTAGAACATGATTATTGTCCCTTAATTTATGCCAGGATATGTGCTCACATTTTATTTCATCACAGAATTCTTTACTTCCTAAGATACTCATTTAGTTTCTAGAATTTTTACATGGATCAATAAAGATTCTGAAAAATTATACTAACTTCTAAAATAAAAATTAAAGGAAGAGTTTACCCAACCATTTTAAAACCAAATGTTAGGGCTGAGGATACTGGTGAGCACCATTGTGTCTGTCTAGGACCTGAAAGGCCCTCAACTGAAAAATAAGTAAATAAACAAGCAAACAAACAAATACCGATCAACAGTAAATGTTTATGTTCCTAGAAGTTCTAGTTAAGTATCACTAAGTAAAAGTTAATTGTTCTTATTTAGTGAAATTTTTTTTGTGGGGGGAAGAAATGACCTTATATTTGAAATTCCTTTTTCTTCAAATCAATACACTTTCTAAATTTGAAAATTTCATCTCCTCTATATAGTTGCATAGCCAATTGCCAAATGGTTGTCTAAAATGTATCAGCCACAGAGTTAAAATTTTATATATATGGATATGTTTTATCACACTGTATTAGGCTTGAGTATGTATTGTATGGTAATTATGTAGGACTAAATTGGTACCCTGCATTTAACCTAGGGCACTCTCCAACCATCATGCCAAACTAAAATAAGACTCTTCAAAATATATGGTGGGGTTTTACAGCCCATCCCGTCCTGGAGGGGCATCTGTATTTCCTTGCTGCTTTCTGTTTTTTGAGGGCAGTTTTGTTCTGCGTGGTTACTGAGTGAGTTTGCATGATGTTTGCCGATGTAGGAGAGCCATGCACCCTACAGTCTGAAGAAACTCTTATATGCTGGAGATCAAGTCACTCACTCAGCTGGCAAGTTCCCTGGGGTTGAAACAAGATCAGTGTGACCCTCAAGCCTTGGCCATCCAGATAGCCTTCCTCCTTGCTGCATGCATGCCACGCATTCCATACACACTTTTACACTGCACAACCACAGCAAGCCTCTGTGTAAGATGCATGGGTCGCAACTCACAAGTGTGCAAACTGGAAGTTGAGTGACTGTCACCTTCCAGGCTGCTTCATTTACAACAAGGGTGTGGAGCGGTATGGGTTTCTTTGTACTTTTATATGCCCTCCAATGGTCCAATTACTCTTCTTTGGGTCTCTCCTAGCCTCATACATCTCCAGAGCAGTATCACAATCAGAACTGTGTCCTGCAGTCTAGCTGTGGGTTGCCTGGGACTATGAGTGAGATGACATTTGGTTTTGTTCTGGTGCTCCTCATAATGCTGTTTAGAGTTTCACAGACTTGTGGGCAGCAGTCCTTTTCAGTCCTGATTTCTGACCTGTGGCTGATAGCCTGGGCCTGTTGTCTTTTATAGGAGTTTGAAGGATTGTAAGCTTGTGAGGGACGGATCGAATAACCACTTCCCACACTCCTCCCTCACCCTGTGAGAGTGTCTGAGGCTCATCTCTAGAGCTTGCCATTTCACTCTGAGGCCCAGGGGGTGGGGTGGGGTGGGGGTGGTGGGGTGGGGGGGGTGGGGTGGTGGGGCGGGGGTGTGTGTGGTGGGGCCAGGGAGGGTCATGGGAAGCCATGGAGACAGTGCTATATCCAGGCACCTCCCAGACAGTATGTAGAAAAGTTAAGTTAGACTGACTTGGGGTCAGTCCTGGGAGGCTGCACTGTGTGGATTCTACAGAGAGAAATGTCAGTTTCTCGGGTAAAGGGGCTTCTTTTGGTGATCAATATAAAGCATTTTTCTTTCCTGGCCCCATTGCCCACTTTTTTTTTCCAGTTTTTCTTCTTCTCTTTTCCTGTCTTTCTCATTTGGTTTCTGATCTGCATTTGAACTGCCCACATCGTGGAGTTTCCTCAGCACAACTCACACCCAAGCCCTGAAGGACACCTAGCCTCCCAGGCAGCCTCTTAGTTTTCCTTTTAAGTGTGGAACACTTCTTATTTCCTTAACTAAACTCTCTGGTAGTTGATCTTGCTTGTCAAACACCTCATTAATTCCTCATATCAATTAGACATGTCCACTACTAGACTGAGCATCCGGAATCGTGGTTCTAGCCACCTTCTGACAGGTAGGCATAAAAAATACTGGGCAAAAAGGAATCTTTGGTAGGTTTAATATAAGTGAGGCAGAACAAGCCTTGTGTAGAACAAATTAGGCTCCATCTGTGTGCATCCTGATTTAATTAATATTTTATTTCAAAGCTTGCAGGGTGTTCACCTGCATGGGAGTGGGGACAATTTTTTTCAGGCAAATGAGCTTGTTTGCTGTGGACAAATCCTTCCAATGATGAAAACATTAAATTCCATGACTACTCTTCCAGAAAAAGCCCAGAGCATATTAGAAAACCTGGGAGAGTGACCTTGGTCATGACCTGCTAGTTCACAAGCTGTGATCAAACAGTAGTTCTTTCTCTCAAGGCTTACATTCAACGGATGTAATTTCATTTGTGCAAAGACTTTTCTAGATAAGCATGCACGTAAGAAGAAATCTCCACAAACATTTCCACATCTGTCATCCACTTTGAGCCGTTAGCTAATCTTGTACTCTTCGAAAGAGCCGTGGACAGGAACAGGAAGCAACTGTGCACTAATTTCCCTCTAATTTTAGAGGCAACATTGTGGGATTAGTGGGAAAAGCCAAGGGGTAAAGTAAATGTTTGGGACATTGTATCGACCACGAAACCATCAACTTTGCCCTACTTTTGTCTTTAATCTGAAAATATGTCGGATTGCGTGGTTTCTCTGAGACACGGGGTTACAAGTGACAGCAAGAGCTTAGTGCAGGGGAGACTGTTTTCTCTCCACACACAAAGTCTGACGCAGGTGGGTCCATCACCATACAGCAGCCATTTCCATTCTCCCTGCCTCCTCGTCTTCTGCCCTGTCTTTGTCAGTGTCCTGGCTTATCACCTCATGACATCATTGCTGCTGTCCCTCATGACTGGGGAAGAAGAGATAGCAGCATGCCATGTCAGAGGACTGTGCAGAGCTTCTCCTGTCAGCCCAGAATGTTAGAAGCTCTGCTGGGACGGTTGCACTGAGTCTCTTCTGGTGGGCCCATTGCCTCTTTGTTCCTACCCCCTCCTCCCTGGCTGGTCAGGGTCCAGAGAAAATGGTACCACTGTGCCTGCTTTAGACCGCTGGGATGGAGGCCGAGTCCCATTCAGGTCTGTGTGCTAGGAGTGAAGGGATGATTGGGAATCTCACCAATAGATAGAGCCAGTCTTAGATTATAACATGTAGACAAGGCTATAAATAGCCATCTATTTGGTGATCTATGAAACTTTGAATGGTTGACTGATGTTGTTCTCATCCATTTATCATTTCCTGTCCCACCAGCATAGGAATACTACATACATGTAATAGAGTTAATTGCTTAAAAGCTTATGAATATTTGCTTATTATTATGCATACTGTGGAATTCATTAGGAATTGCATACAAACTCATTGGAAACCATACACACAAACTCATTAGCAACTCAGAACCAATCATGGTATGTGTGTGTGTTTGTGTATATGTCTCTGTGTGTATGTGTATGTGTGCATGTGTGTGATTTTTTAACACATTTTATAAGATGAATATCAATAATCAAATTATCTTAAGTTTAAAATACAACTTAAATTTAAAGATGCAAATGCATCAAACTTTTTAATAAAGATCAAAGAAGGCCAGGGAGTCCCACAATCAAGGCTGAAATATTTGCCTGCAGAACAAAGGAAGTAAATACTTCACCCTTATCCCCAGCTCCTGTCCTCAGCATTTAGCCCGTCAGGCACTATCAGAAGGCCTCTAGCCATGAGCACATACCACTGTGGTGAAGAATGTGATCCTGATGGGAAAGATGGTGGCAGAAGATAAAAATAATGAGCCAAACTTAAGCCTAATGATAGGCTATTTTTTTCTCACACTTAATTATATAACAGGGATACTTTTTCCCCCTATGATCAAACTAGCCTGGTATTTATCATCCTGCCATTAACGATTTAATTACTAGTGACTGAGGAGAGAGATTTGCAGGAACCTTAAATTATGGCTAATCTTTGAGAAGAAAAAATGTAATTTAGTGCTCAGATAAGATAAATATGTTCTCCTGTTGATTTCATGAATAAAGCAAGTGTTTAATATGGTAGGCATTAATATCTATGAAGCACAGCAGTGAAATATAGAATTTTGAAATTACTTACTATATCTGTGTCTGTTTACACCTCAGGTCAGGTTAGGCCCCTCAAATCAGATTTGCATATGGGAAAATCTCCATGGAATGTTAGTCCATTACATCAATATTAATCATGCCCTCTTAAGAGCTGGGTAGTGGGTACAAGTAAACATCACATTTGAATTATAATTAGGAAGACCATATAATTTATCATGTGAATTGAGACATTTTTTCCAACTTACATATTTATAGTCTTGTGTAGATAAACATGACTTTATTACAGAAAGATATAAATCTCAGCAGCTTACTGCTCTTCTCTGAAATCTACCCTACCCAATTTTCAGATTGTCCAGCAGTTAACATGACAGGAAGACACTGTTGACACTTCTCCATATTTCCTGATACATTTTGAGTTCGTGTATCATGTGGAATCTACCCACCATGGGAGAACAATTCTGACTTCTCCCCAAGTAGCAGCAAGTGATTTCATTTTACCAGAGAACTTGAGAAAACTGAGCGTGCTCAGCTAAGTCCCCAGAAGGCTTTCTCTGGTGGATCTGCCCACTCATAGCATAGTGGTATTCTGGGATGATCTGTACCACCTGGAAAACATTCTGGGCTGGGGTGGAGGGGAGGGAGGTAATGGGTGCTGATAAACTGGGGAAATGGGATTTGAGGGACTTAATTAGTATTAGGTCTGTTCTGGCCACAGTTTAAATGCCTTCTCTGCTCCAGCCTGTAAAGGTAATGTCCATTTGTTTACTTTCTGAGCCCATAACTCGATAGTTCCATCTTTTCTGAGGATTTCTTGTTTCCTACCTTGAGGTAGGCAGCTGTCTCAAGCCACAGACTATGTAACTAATATGCCCAGGTTTGATCTGTGTGTGCTCGAGTGCGTGTGTGTGTGTGTGTGTGTGTGTGTGTGTGTGTGTGTGTGTGTGTGCAAGAGAGAGAGAGAATGCGAAATATGTGGACGATATGTATTTGTGCACATTTGTGTGAGTGAGTGTGAGCAGATGTGTGCCACTGCATGTGTGTAGAAGTCAGAGGACAACCTTGACTATAGATCACTCCACCTTGTTTTTAGAAAGGGTCTCCCCTCAACCCACCCCTGGCCCATGAGTTCCTGGGGATTCTCTTCTCTCAACCTTCCATCACCTTGTAGGAGTCCTGGAATTACAGATGCTTGAGCAACTTCTCTGGCTTTTACAGATTCTGGAGACTTGAATTCTGGTCCCCATGCTTGCAGAACAAGGCCCTTTACCCACTGAGCCATTTCCCTAAGCCCCAGCATTGAGCCTTAATGATGACGGATGCTTGCATATTGAAAGCACAGTTTCTCCTCACAGTGTCTCATAGCCTGTGCAGCCATGGACCAGATAGCTTAATTTAGCTGTTTTGAGGAGGATTCCATATTTCAATCTTTACTTCATCAAATGGACTTTCTGTTAAGAAAAAAATCACTCCAGTTGTTTTTTCCCTTATGTTTATGATTTTCATTTTCAGATCCATTATAAAGAAGAGTATAAAAAGTCCAAGGACAAATGCACATCTGTGACTGACACTCCCACGCTAAACCATGTAAAAAACATTGGTGCTTTTATTTCTGAGGTAAGGTCTGAAAAGTTGTCAAATGGACCATGGTTTTCTTTCTTGTGTTTACATGTATAAAAATGTACAGTAATTGGAGAATAGTTTTGAAAGAAACACTGAATATTGCTCATATCTAAATTATTTAACTCTACGAACCAAGTTAATATGTGTAAATTGATTTTATTCTATTTCACTGGTGTATGTTGTTATACTGTATATGTGTATTTTGACTGTAGTTATCCTTTAGGTATAATTACTCTTGGAAATAGATATTTTTATCCAGGTAGGAGAAAATTCTGGCAGCGTAGTTCATTTTAGAAGTTTCAAGTTATTCATTTCCTAATGGACATATTTTTTTTTTTTTTTTTTTTGTTTTTTTGAGACAGGGTTTCTCTGTGTAGCTTTGCGCCTTTCCTGGGACTCACTTGGTAGCCCAGGCCGGCCTCAAACTCACAGAGATCCGCCTGGCTCTGCCTCCCGAGTGCTGGGATTAAAGGCATGCGCCACCACCGCCCGGCCATGGACATATTTTGGAGGTAGATAATTGAATACCAAATTGGAAATAAGTAAATTTTGTCGGCTAAATTAATCAAGCATGCCATTTTTGATAAATAATTTTAAATGAACTCCTTTTGAGTGGGCTGAGACTCAGCTGGAGAGAGGCAGTGATTAGGAGGCAGAGTGAAGGAAACAGTGTTTCTGGGTGAAAAGCCGCAGAGCCTCTCCTGCGAGCATTCAGTTCCAAGGTGCACAGTAGATCCTGAAGCACCATGTCATAATCTCTATGTTGAGGTTTTGCATCAGTCTGTGAATGAACTTGAAAAAGCAAAGGAATAGAGCAGCGTTGTAAGTGACTGACCTCTAGTGTTTTCTAAGTTGTGTTGGAAAGAGATAAATGTGATACGCTCAGGATTATCTAGTAATGTGGAACAGTGTTGAGAAAGCCAGTCCATTTTCTGTTATTATTACCAGCATCTTTCGCTGTGGGGACAAAGGGCCTATGAAGGGTATGCTCCATCAATCAACACCCAAATCAGCTGTGAGTGGGGAGGGTTACCGAGATCTCATCCACAGTGCATGAAGAAACATGATTTTTTTTTCTTGTGTTAGCTACATTATTCACCCTGTATAGAGAAATTCTTGGTGTTCTCAATTTGCGATTGATTAATTTTCCTTAAGGAGCTAACTGCAGAGCAAAAATTACAAGTGGTGACCTATTGTACTACCTAAAACCTAATTTTCCCAAGAGGAAATGGTGACTGAGTGTTTGTCTTTTCAAATAATGATAGAGCTTGTTCATACTAAGTGCAGGCTGAAGACACACACACACACACACACACACACTCACACATACAAACATAGACACATAGTCACATAGAACTGCACACAGACACAGAGACATACACATGCAGACACACACACACACACACACATACACACACACAAGAGTAAATGAGCCTCTACCTTCTACTGTGGCCAAAGGAAACCAAGAAGGTTTAATTATACAAATTTAGAGGATTTAATACATTTATTCAGTGTATTCTGATGAGAATTAAGTAGTTACAAGTTTTTTTTTAATCTCCTAAAAACAGTCTGTCATTATCAGACAGATAAAAACAGTACATCCTTCTGGGCTGAGTGTGATGTTTCAGTACACACATAATAGGTCCTGAGCAAATCAGGGAAACTAATGTTTCTTTCTCCTTGTCCTTATTTTGTGTCTGCAGCCTTTGGCTCCCCTCTTCAGTTTTTCACAAAATAAATACTAATCTGTTGTGAACTACGGCCACCCCACAGTTCTGTAGAACCCAGGAACATATTTATTGTACCCAATTGTCTGCATTCCTGTTATCCAACATCACAGCCCTCCCTGTGTCTACTCATCATGATTGTTTGCCTTTAGGTCCCAGACAGTAAATCTAATGACTTGTATGTTGTGCCTAGAAGGTCTTATTGTCCTCGGACCATTTGTTCACTGGCCAAACACATGAAACTCAACACACAGACTTCAGAAATGCACAGATCAAAACAGAAACTGCCCCATGTCCTTCCATATCACATTTAAAGCTTCCCCACAATACACTGGATTTATTTCTATCTATGCCTATCAGACTTATTGCCATACATTTAAATACCCTGCAGGTTTTTAAACTAATCATGTTTCTAAACCAAGCTTTCTTTTATATTCACAATAGAACAGAAACATCAAACAGAATGCTTATATTTCTTTTCTTTTTTTCCCTCTTAGGCGAAATACAAAGGAACCATTAAATCTGATCTTTCCAACTGTCTGTATAAGCACCTGCCGGCCACCATTGACAGTGTCTTTGCAAGAGAAGTGTCCCAGCTTCAGAGTGAGGTGTGACTCAAGTTTGTAACCTTATGGAAGTTATTTGGTATTTTTATGAGCATTGTTTTTCTTGGTTATCACATGCTAAATGGAAGTTGGAAGCACCTGGTCTATACTGCCAGTTATCACAAGTGAAATGGCCAAAAATGAAGGGGACCTTCGGGTCTGTCAGCCACCTCTTTATTTCTCCATGTCCCACTCATTGCTCTTTCAAGAGCTGATTCCAATATCATCCAGACAGTTTCACAGGTGGAATTTTGACAGCTACTTTAAATAAGTCTCCGATTTAATGTGTGGTCCCTAAGCCAAGAACATTTCAGTAGGGCTTAGAAAGTCAGGGAAACAGGTGATGCTTGGATTTGGGGCATGCTCAGGTCTATGCTCCCTCAGCTCCACCAGTGCTCCACCAGTATCCTATTCTGTGGTGTGGGCTTTCCATTCAGGAGATCTACAGTCACTACCTAGGGACTCCACTAGGTGAAAGTAGCCATTTCCATGATTCTAAGTTAAAGAAAGGTGGAGCGGCTGTCATCATGAAAACTCATTTTGAGTCCAGGAGTGTAAGGGCGGAGGTTCCCTTAAAGGGGATTGGCAGGTAAGGCATTCTGAATGTCCTCCATCTCCTGAATTACTTGCTACAGAATTTCAAACTAGAATATTTTGATGCTTTCTGGCTCATTGTTTTCTTCATATTACCATCTGATGACGATGATGATGGTGGTGGTTTGTAGTCTATTTTCTGTTATTTGTCCCTCTACACTTTGTGGAAGACTCTCCTATGACTCATTTCCTGCTCTGTATTTGGAGCAGTCCCCAGCACATATGGACTATAAATTCAGTTGAATATGTTGATTTCCTTCCTAAGGGTAAGCCCTCTTCTCATAGTTTATGCCCTTCATGTATAGTGTAAGTCTATATAACACATATGTGCTAGCTGGGTCAGGTGATGCTCTATGTACTTCTCACTTATCTACATTTGATCCTCCCAATAACCCCACAAAGTATCCCCATTGTAGGGTTTTAAAAACAAGCACAGAGAGGGTAAGTAGCTTTTGCAAGACCACACATCCAGTAAAAACCAGAGCCAGAACACAAACATAGCTAGCTAATCTGCCTCCAAGGTTTGAGTCCTCAACACATGCTGCACTTCATCTTTCCTGCAATGTCTACTCTTTGCTTTCTTATAAATCAATATATTTCAGTTTTAGAATGCATTTTAAAGTTTTGTTTTGAGACAGCCTCAAATGTAGCCCAGGCTGGTCCCTCACTCACTATCTAGCTTGAGTAGAACTTGAACCCATAATCCTCCCACACTAGCCTCCCAAGTGCTAGTATTATGAAGCCATGTGCTACATGCCTTGTTTTAGCAAATTCACTTTCTTCTTTAAATTCTTTTTATTTGTAAGTAGAGGTTGCCTTGGACTTCAAATAATTCTCAAATGGATTATTCTGGAAAAATACTAAGCATAGAACATCTTTAAGTAATTCATTATTATAAATTTAAGCGTCCACTGTGTCCTCAGCTTGGCAGTGAGTCTATCTCAACTATGCAAGACTAGCCTAAAAATATATGATGGTGAGATTCTGCGTAGCTGACTGTGATGAGTATGTCCTTTACTTGCCCTGCCAACATCTGGCCACTTAGCTATTTGTTGATGACATGGGCTACTTAACAAAGCATATAATTACAACACAACATTTATGTGGAACAAGTAACAATTATGCAAGAAAGAAAAGGAATGCATTCTTATGTTTGTGCTTGGTGAGGTGACAGTTTGGGTTATATACTGGATAGTTTTATGTCAACTATATACAAGCTAAAGTTATCCAAGAGGAGAAAAAATCTCAATTGAGAAAATGCTTCCATATGATGGGGCTGTAAGCAAGCTCATAGGGCATTTCCTTGACTAGTGATTGATGGGGGAGGTCTCAGCTCTTGTTGGTAGGACTATTCCTGGGCTGGTGATCCTGGGTTCTATAAGAAAGTAAGCTGAGCAAGCCATGGGGAGCAAACCAGTAAACAGCACTCCTCTATGACCTCTGTATTAGCTCCTGCCTCCAGGTTCCTGTCCTGTTTGAGTTCCTGTCCTGACTTCCTTTGATGATGAACAGTGTTGTGCAAGTATAAGACAGATAAAACCCTTCCTCTCCAAGTTGCTTTGGCCATGGTGTTTCATGTCAGCAACAGAAACCCAAACTAGGACAGGATACTCGAATTCTAATTTTTTTAAGTATGAGTTTTCTCACCTTCTTAGTAAGCTTATAGCAATCAAACCTTGCAACATAGCACTTAACATGAAAAATAATTCATAGAGGATATTTTAGAATTTGTCATGTTTTTGTTAGGATAAGTTACCATGTACATTTTTACCATGTTCTCCTATGATAAATAATATAGGGGGACCTGTATACACCATAAGTTATGAATTTATGTGATGAATTTCTGACTTGCTCTAAGAGAAAACTTCTGATTCTCCGTAAGGTGTCTGTTTCAAAGCCTGACACAACTGTAATAATGTTTCTTTAGATATACAAGCATCCATCTTATTAAGATACTAATTCTGAATATATCTGCAAGTAAAAGGCAAGAAAGCAGACTACTATCTGCGCGTGTTTGTATGTAGCTGTGATATCCCCAGACCTGAATAGCAAATGTCTCACTGATTACTTTTATGGCCTGCTGTCTCCTAACTCTTCAGCCAACTCTTCTCTGAAATCAAGTTACATATACCCTTGAATACTTCACCTCAGATTTTCAGTTTGCCAGACTGTGCTAGGAAGAAAACAAAATGCTTGCAGTATATTTGAGTTTGGAATCTGCTATAAGGAATTTGAGAGAAGGAGCACATTCAGAATGCCTTATATGTTGGCTCGCTTTAAGGGGGAAGTTTCTCTTATACTTCTGAAGTCAAAATTAGTTTACAGGATGACAGCTCTTCTGCATCTCTGCAACTCAGAATCACTAGAATAGCTATTTCCACCTGGTGACTAGCTGGAAATGGAAATTGAGTTAGGGTCACACTTAATTATAGAAAGTGCTTGGTAGGAAGAAATTAAAGAAAGAGAGTCCCAATGCATATAGGAGACCATTTTATGAGTTATATAAAGATAAAGATCCCAAAGAAACCCAAGAATGGAATGGAGTGTGCTGTCAAGTGATGGGATTCTTGCCTGCATGCTGTTTCCAGGCAAGGGCTGACTACTCCTGCATCACAGAAGTGATATAGGTAACTCTGGCACCGGAACTGAGCAGACTTATGAGAGTCTATGTTTGTGTCAGCAGTGGTCATAGGCTTCTGTGTCTGCAGTTCACAGTTTTCTGTTGTGTGGAACTACAGTACATCCGCCTGAATGGTACTTTAAAAGTAGACTGTAAGTCAAACATAGACATATGTCGTGTGTGTGTGTGTGTGTGTGTGTGTGTGTGTGTGTGTGTGTGTGTGCATGTATGTGTATCTGTGTGTGATAGAAAAATCTACTGGAAGTAAAACTAAGCATTTACCTATAATCCCAGTACTCAGGAGAGAAATAGAAAGATCAACATTCAAGGTTATCCTGGCAATATAGTGAACTCTAGATCAGCCTGGGATACTTAGAATCCTGATTTAAAAAAAAAATCTACCGAGGGATAAAATACATGAGATAAATGTAAACATTTGACCATACACACATGTTGTGTTGACTGTGTGAAGTGATTGACCGTGCACTCTGGTTTGGCTGTGCAGCTCCACAGTGCTCTGAGTGTTCTCAAAGTGTGAGGAAATAGTTTGAAGTTGGGGAAGCATTACAAAATGACAGATCCTTTAAAAATTAAATTTATCAGAAAATGTATAAGCTTGGCATCATTGACATCATTTCCATTAGCTATTTAAAGGAAGAAAATTGCTATGATAAATTAAAGTTCAGCTGCCTCCAACTTGATGCAAGCTGAGTTTTAAAGTAGTGCTTAGGAGCAGCTATAAATGAAATGACTATTTTAAAGCTGAAAGTAGGAAATTATGTAGCCTCTTTAGGAAAGAGTGCTTTTTCAAATTGTTCTGGATGAGTCACTATTTCTATGATAACTCATAAAATGATCGGCTGCATCAGTTATGTTTATGAAGTCACAAGTGTGGTATTCCATCTAAAATGTAGAATATAGAAGTTTTTCATGGTTTTAGTGACTTGGCCACTCGTTAAACTCTCCCTTTCTTCAGAGGCAAAATATAAAGCATAAGTAACTGTGATAATGGACTGTCAACCTGTGTGGAGTTTTCTCATTTAAGTCATTGCTGAAAATGTAAAGATGTTCATCATAATTATGTATCTTCCTGAGTAAACTGAGGGACATACCATAGCAAGATGAAATTATACATGGAATATATGAAGTGCTGCATTTGAATCTTGGTAATCAACCAAATGTACAGGATTGGATACAGGAGCCTCCCTGGACAGGACTGAATCAGACTTAAGTATGTTAATTGTCAGAAATTCCAACACAGCCAGCAAGAGGAAAATGACCTAGGGATGTGTTAATATCATCTGGCAGCTGGAAAAGGATGACCAGGATTTAATTACATAATTCTCATGAGATTAAGTTAGATCATTCTAGGTATCTTAGGAAAGAGGTAGGTTAATTGTGAATCGGATCTTGGGAGCATTTTGCGAAGGGCAGAAGTTCAGCCCTTTTTAGTCCATGTGGCCATCACGGAGCCTTGGAGGCTAGTGAAGGTGCTGTTCTCACATTGGAAGCTCTGTATTGTCAGCTAGTTTCTCTTACTGCATCTACATAGATCCAGCACTGGGGACATGGGTTGGGGGTTTGATTAAAAGAACACCTCTCGCCAGGCAGTGGTGGCACACGCCTTTAATACCAGCACTTGGGAGGCAGAGCCAGGTGGGTCTCTGTGAGTTTGAGGCTAGTCTGGTCTACAGAGTGAAATCCAGGACAGGCACCAAAACTATATAGAGAAATCTTTTCTCAAAAAAAAAAAAAAAAAAAAAAAAGAACACCTTTCAACAGAGCTTACCGTATTTACAGCATGTGACACCCTAGGTTGAATGATCTTTTAGTAGCAAAAGTTTTCAAGCCAGTCTAAGTGTGGAGTCAGAGAGGCCACTGCAGGTAAGATTTAAGGGGTGTTTACAAAAAATAGCCTTATTCTTACCACTCTAACCCTTTTGACTTCTATATTAATAAAGTTAAGTGAGTAACCAGTTCTGTTTGTGAACTCCAATGAGGAGTGTAACTTTAAGAGAATGCCGAATAAACTCATTTATTCATTCCATTTACTAAGAGTTTATTGCATTTCTACTCTGTGTTATTCACTCTGATAAGCACAGGATATTAAAAGATGTGTAAGATATCAAAATAGCTTCCAAGGAGTTCATATTGGTGACAAATTCTTCCTTAAGTTTAACTATATTCTTTTCACTGAAAGGACACTCTGTTTTGTTCTTGCTGAATACTGTCCTAATATTTATTTTCATTTTCTTGTATCAAGCAATTTCAAGTTTACTTACCATGCTTGGCATCATTAGACTCTTAGTGGATATTGAAATTGCTTTTTGCTTTTCTTTTTTCTAGTTATTTTCATTCATTCCTAGATTCATTTATTCATTTGTTAATTTGTTGGTCATTGGTTATGAACTGGTTATAAATTGGTAATTCTTTGATGCTGATTTTTTTCCAGATGCTGTTGTGGGGTTTGAACATTCAGGGAGTTGAACAGTTGTGTGTTTCAGTAAGGGAAATCAGGCAATGGGTGATTATTCAAAAATTAAATAGCAAATAAGAATTGTTAAAGAAATAAATAAGATGACGGTAAAAGCTGAGAGTAAGGGAAGATTTCCTGTATGACTTTCTTTTTCTTTTTCTTTTTATTCACTTATTCTTTATATAAAGAAAATTTACATATCACCATAAGTTAATGAAATGGCTACTGCTTTAAGTCTAAAAATAATGTAATTATAATCTAGTTTTTCACAGTGTCCACACTTAGTCTTGCCTGTTATCAAATGACTTTTCAAAGCCTCTTCCCATTAGGACTGTAGGGACAATGACTGCCCAGGTGTTAGTTCTCTCTTTAGCCTCATTAATTCATTCCATCTGTTAAGGAGTAGCGGGGGAAGAGGTAAAAACAAATGAGCTGTTAGACAATCCAAAGTTATGATATCCTGAGTTACAACTATTTGTCTAACACAATCAGACCCTTTCCTTTGTTTCATTCCCAGCTATGTTGTCAGGTTTCACTCTGTCTCCTGCTGAGGCATCTTTTCACATCCCCTCTCCAGCCCAGTAAAGAGCAAACCTAGAATGGTAGCAATGGACAGCATTGGGATGATGTATTCCTTATGGAGGAGTAGGCTTGACCTATCTGAGAATTTTGCCTGTATGTTAAATATTCTTCTAATTGGGAAATTTAATGATGATGATTATCAGATCATATGCCATATCATATAAGTCAATCATTTGTGTCTATACAAAATCAGAACCTTTCATTTAAAAGCAATTCATGGCATAAAGTAGTTCACGGCAATGGAGAAGTGGCTCAGCAGGTTACAGCACATATGGACTTTGCAGAGGAACTGGAGTTCAATTCCCAGCACCTACAACCACCTGTACCTCCAGCTCCAGGAGTGTCTGAGGCCTCTGGCCTCCTTGGGCATCTGTACCCATACACATATACCCTCACACAGATGTACAGACATACACATAATTAGAATGATTAATTAATAAATAAAATAATTAATCTTGAAAAGTAAACAGTTCACTTTGACACATTCTTTTCGCCCCCCACTTGGTCAACTGCTCCCTGTTGATTTAACCTTGCATATTAGTAACCCTGTAGGCTCTCAGTTGTTGAGGATTTCCCCAAACTGCTGCCAAGATTTGCGGCAGATGAATAAAATTGAGGTTTTAATCTCTCATTCAAGGATATTTGAGATAAACTGCAACTTTGGAGTTCCGAAGCATTATCTTTTTACAGACTCTCAGGTAAATGTACCTGTCAGCCAGAGTGTTGAACACACCTCTAATGGGTCGAATCCTTCTGTGCCTTTGAAGGTTGCCTACAAACAGAAGCATGATGCTGAGAAAGGGCTCTCGGATTACGCCCACATGAAGGAACCTCCGGAGGTGAGACATGCCATGGAGGTCAACAGACACCAGAGTAATGTAAGCAAGCTCATTCTTCACAATTTTCTGGAAAAATAATGGGTTATTTTGTTGATATTAAAATATTATGGCATTCTAGTCACAAGGACTTTTAACATTTTTTATTTGAATTATTCTGATGACTGTCATTAAACCCTTTGTGGAACACCTTTAAATCGTGAGGCATTTCAAGCACTGTAAATTTTGCTTTGAATAAGATGCATGTGGATTCTGTGACCAGTTTGGTTATCAGCATTTACTGAACTTCCTTGACATTGTGTGGAAGTTCATTGTCTCTACTCCAGAATGGCAGGGGCACTGGAAGAAAACCCAGCTGCCATCAGTGACCCCAGAGGAAACACAAATTCTCGTTTTAGGGTTCCCCACGGCACTTTCTTTTGGAATGCTTGTGGGGTTCAAATTATAGAATGTAAGATCCAACAGATACGAACTACGAAAGCAGGTTCCTAATGGCTTAGGAGCAGGAACCAAGAGGGAAGGAGCTAGTTAAAGACAGCGCATTCCTTCTTTGGTTTGAAGTTACTCAGTTCTTCAAGGCTTCCACGCATTTTATCAATTACCACTATCACTGTGGCCTAGAAACATAATTTCTTCTGAAATCATAGCAAAATTGTGAGTTTTCTGGGCTCCAAAAATGTACGAAATGTTGGTTAGGTTCTTGATGGGTTAGTATCAGTACTGATACGTCCTGTCCTAGGTGGGACCAGAAGTCCCCCCACGCCTTCCTAGAAACATTCCTGGTGCTTTTCCCTCATCTCACACAGAATCCGCCCTACTATGAGGCCCTCTTTGTGAGGTCTATACAAAACTTGAAACTTTGATTTGAAAATGAACAGTTTATTCTGATGACCGCCCTCAGGGCCTCGTCTCACAGAGTATCTACGCTTTAGTTGTTGTTCTCATCACTGACCAAATAGTTGACAGAAGTAACCTTTGGGAGGGAAGAATTATTCGGTTCATGGTTTTAGAGAAATTGCAGTCCCATGTTGGATGGGAACTCATGGTTCTGCAGTGGCTGCATCCAGGGTGGCAAGGAACTTCAGAGGTAAGTGTCTCCATGATCTCAGACTAGAAAGCAGTGAGATCTAGGCTGGATCTAGGGACAGACATTTGAATTCCCACCCCAACCCAGGCTCCATTTCCTAAAAGTTCCATAGCCCTCAAAGGCATGCCCCAGACTTGTCACTGAGCATCCCAAACGGGGTCTGCGGGAGTCACTTTAGGCTCAAACACTGTGGCAGTTTCTTTGCACGGTGTACACCGTTACTTGATATGAAATTGCCGCAGGTAAGTGTTTAAGTGAAAATCAGAGTGAGGCTTGACATTATGGCCCAAACGTGAAAGCCACTCACCAATGCCAAAGTGTTCTCATGGACGCCTCAGTGCTGGTGGGGGCTGAAGAAGCTAAGTGTCTGCAATTGTCAGCAGGCCTAGTATTTTAAGGGAAAGATTTGCAAGTGATGTTTGCTTATAGAGGGTCTATAATATTCATAACTACCACTTACCCAGCTCAGCCACATACCAGGCACTGTGCCAAGACTGGTCATTTCCAGTTCTTAAAAGAATGCTGTGTTGAGTCGCATTTTGTATACAAATGAAATCAGACCAAAGGAATCAAACTCCCAATTCTACCTTTTCTGTTGCATCACTGCCCCCCCTCTGAAGAACCACTGATTTTAAAAGTCAGGATTTTAAATGAGAATTAAAAGTCGGGATTTTAAATGAGAATTAAAAGGGTGAGAACAATACAAGTTAGTATCTAAATTCATGTGCTCTGCAGGAAAAAATAATTCAGATCTTGGAGTTTCCACTGTTTGACACTGAAGAAACCTTGAATTCATATGCAAGCCTGGGGGTTAGAAGGTGGCCTGGTGGACGGGGTGGGGTTAGTGTTCCAGGGATCCCCAGAAGCCCTGTCTAATTCTGTTGTTCACTGAAATTCAAATACTGAAGTTCCTTATCCTAAGACCCGGGCTTATTATTTTAACTCTGTCTTTTCCTTGAAAAGGTCTGTGATTGAGGGACTAGAGCATCAAGCCTTTCTCCTCCATTCAATACTGTGTACTTATGGGAAAAGGATGTGTTTACTTACATTCCTCTGCTGACTCAGCTCAACCTTTACATGCAAAGTTTGTACATATAATAGGATTTAGAAACTGTTTAAGACTATTTACTCAGATTTAAAGTGAAAATGATATTTGTGTTCTACCTTGAGCTAGTTGATATTCTTCCCCAGCCAAGCCTTGTGGAATAATACATTTGCTGTCTTTACAATATGAAATTTAACACAGGCCTTGGAAGCCACAAGGGGAGCTTGCTTCAGGACCATAAAATATTATCTCCCAGGAAACTTCAGCCCAAAGAACTGGGACACAGAATTTCCTAGTAGAATTTAGTAGAATTACTCTTTTGTAATGGAGAATGTCAGTTTACTCTTGGACATCAGTGACTTAATATCAAATAAAAACTGGGGGCTAGGGAGATGGCATTGTGGGTAAAGGTTTGTTGCCAAGCTTGATGACTTGAGTGAGATCCCTGGGACCTACATGGTGGAAGGAGAGAACTGTCTCTGATCTCCACATGTATGCTATGGCATAGGTGCGCGCGTGCATGTGTGTGTGCGCACACACACGCACACGCACACACACACACACACACACACAGAGACAGAGAGAGAGAGAGAGAGAGAGAGAGAGAGAGAGAGAGAGAGAGAGAGAGAGAAATAGTAAACATAAATATTGGATTATCCTATAAACAGTGAAAGTCGACTTGTTAGCTTTTTATGTATCCACAAAAATCAAGCCAGCGCTCTAAGATCCATTAAGCAAGAGGCTAGGCAGTTGTGCTCTGGAGCCTTTGTAGCTGCTACTTTCCTGCCCTACCTCTCGTTAGGATGCTCTTCAGTGGGCCGAAGTGATTTCCTTTTTCCTTTTTTCTTTTTTTCTATTTAAATACCTATGAATAAACAAAAGATTCTGATGGTTCAACTAGATTCTCACCTGCAAATAACTAGGAGCTCTAAGACAACAGCATTTGGACTGGCGATGGGTAGTGGTAATCTCTTGCATAACTCAAAATTTTAGTTGAGTGATCACAGAAGACAGAAAGCAGCCCATCTCATGATGTCTCCACTAGAGTGCACATTAGACAAGGAATTTGGCATTAGATCATGATGGAAGTGTTTGCTTTGCCAAATCACGTGGATCACCTTGGACACATTACTTGTCCAAGGAGCCCAGCTGTTACATCTCTCAAATTGGGGCAGCAGTGGTACTTACTTCCAAGGGGTAACTCAAGTTTTCAATGAGATGATATCTGTGAAGAGCTCTATGGAGGGTCTCCTTGCTTCATGAAATAGTAGGCCTATCTGGCCTTCTTCCTGCTTTGCGATGTGATTGGAGAGTTTAGGGTGATATGACAGTTAATTTGAACCAATAAAAAGAAGTTCAATTGTTTAAAGGGTCATATCACTAGAAAATAAATATGAAAAGTGAATTAGGTCAGAAAGGCAAATTCAAAAATGTCCCCATACCTCTCTCTTGTTGATACTGTCATCAAAAAATGATTCAAACCAGCTGATCTAAATCCTTTCACATTTTAAGGGATGTGCCCCTGGCACACTTTTCTAATATAATTAGAGAAACTGGAGGTATTTTTCTCCTGTGATTTCCCCCCAAAAGATGGGCTTGTAATGAAAACCTCAGTTCCATTATTAGGTCTCATCAATCTTTCACGGACGGGAACCGGCTAGTCATTCTGCACCAAGTCAAGCGGAGCTCAAGGAGTTGTTTTAGTTTTCTAGGTTACGTGGCTTGTGGTGGGACTGGAATGGTTCAGCTTTCCTAAGTTTGTGTTGCTAATCAGTTCAATGTGCATTAAAATGTGCTCAGTGGGAGAAACAAGAAACTTGGATTTTTTTTTTCCCAAGCGTGATGTACCTACTGTCTTAAGATGAACAAAAACTTATCAGCAGTTAAGGTTCTGTCTCATCAGAAAGTGAAAAAGCTTGCAGATAATTCAGTAAAATGATACTAGGAAAAACGATTATGGCTTTCTGAGGTTCTCCATGCAATTTGCACTAGCGATGACTCAGAATTTGGCATTAAAAATAGATATATAATGTCTGGTTCACCTCTCAGAAAGAATCATTAGAATTACCTCTTCTCTCCCCAGAAGGTTGTGGTAGAAATGAGATTAAATTATGAATAGGAAAATGTTTATCAACTGTCTCATGGCTTATAAACAACGACGACAATAGTGGTAGGTTGTTCTAGCTATCAATGTACTCTATTCCACCTTTTAGAAAAATCAAAGTTATTTTCTCTCTGCTGTATAGAATCAAACCATACCTTTACTTATATTTAAAGCATTTATATTCTCTCATAGAAAATAGTGTTTAAGTGAGAGTAAAGAGGGGCTTTCTGGAGGCTGTGGTTTAGCTAGTGGTACTTGCTAATATGTATGAGGTGCTATATCCAGTCTGCAGTGCTTAAAAAAAAAAAGAGATTCCTGGGCTATGTGCCAGTTTGATGGTATCGAGGAAGGTGCTCTGATAGCAGCATTTTTAATGGTTATAGAAGGTTTCCTTCAGAGCAATTAAACTCTGACCTCCCTAAACTCTCAGTACTACTCATTTCTCCCCCGCCCACCTAAGAAATCTTCTTTCTTGTCTAGTTTTGCCTCACCCAGAATTATTTGGCTCTTCACTGGAGTAACATAGAGTGACTGGTTTCGGTCCCGGTGGATTTGTTGCCTTCAGCTCTGCCAGCTTGCACAGCGCCTGTCTTCTAAAGGCATCACCTGTGTGAGCCTCTCTCTCCTCCCCAAGTACAATACCTTCTCTTCAAGGACCATCCATGGAGGTTTTGGTTCTGTTCAGTTTATGAAATCCCCCAACCAAGGAGTCTCATGTGACCATTATATAATCCTGAAGAGCTGGCCGTGAATCCCCTGCATCTGTGTCTGCCTGTACTTCGAGAGCAAACATTTGTTTTCCTTCTACTTTCAAAATCCCACGAGCATTCCCTTTATCAGCCCATTCTAACCCATAACTGAAAAAAGGAGCTGCTGAAGAATGTGGTTCCAGTCCTAGAAGGAAGTGTTGCTAGAGCCCCGATGAGTCTAGACAATCCCCAACAGGGACAGGGCGGGGATTTAAAGAGTTGATGTACATAAATGATGTGACACACTGAGCACACTGCATGGATGAAGGGACCCACAAAAGACATGGCCCCTATGTAGCAGATACAGAAATACTGAAAGGAGAGATTACACGGAGAGTAGTAGACAGCAGAAGTACATAAAGGGATGAGGCCAGGGCAGAGCTGAACATGGTGAGACAAGGGTAAGATCCAGAGCCAGACTACTGGTGGAATCCACCTCTTTACTGGAGGTGATAAAGGACAGATGTGACTCTGTAGAAACCATGAATGGATGTCTCTAGAGTTAGCAACAGAAGTCCATCTCAATGAACCTTAAGTAAAAATGGAGAGTTTATTGGTTTATATACAGTCTTGCATTGGTATCCACAGGGATGGGCTCAGGATTTTTCTACATACAAAAAAAAAAATCCATGGATGCTCAGATATTTTACATAAAATAGAGTAATATTTGCATATGATCTTTGTATATCTGTACTCATATCTTAAGCCACCTCTAGATTATGCACAATACTTAATATACTGTTTAAATGCTAGGTTAATGGTGGTTGTATTACTCAGGGGATATTGATACAATTTTCTTTTGCAAATATTCTTAATCTACAATGGAATCCAAGGTGCAGAATGCATAGTGATAATTGAAGTTGGAGGCCTAGCTATAAACAGAAAGCTTAAGCCACTTCAGGCAAGTTGGACACAGAGCCCCCCATGTTCTCACAAGAAGCCCTCTCCTGCCCCATAGCTTGGTTCTGTTCAGCTCTATACAGTGTCAGCTCCAACCGACAGTGTCTGTGAGGACTCAAAGAGTCAGCTGCTGTCTCCAACTTAAGCCATGTTTATAGCGGCTGACCCCAGAGGAAAGAAGGCTGGCACTTTGTCCCTCTTCTTCAGGTCCTGTGAGTGACTCTAGTCCCGGTTAGGCTCTAGTCATGACTTCTAAATGGGTATGCTACTTGGTCGGATAGCCTGGGTATAGGAGGGTTCTACTGCATTAGTGGATACTACCTAACCACATTGAAAGAATAGGAAGCACTTTCCAGGCAACAAAGGCTGGGGGCCTGGGGCCATGAAGCAGTCATAAAGTACTTACCTCCCAATGATGAGGACTGGATTTTGGACACCTAGAACCCAAATACAAAGCCAGCACATGGCACACACCTGTACTCCTAGTAACGCATGGCAAGATGGGAGGTGGAAACAGGTGGATCCCAGGTGCTCATAGGCTAGTTAGTCTGGCCTGTGTGGTGAAGTTTCATACCAATGAGAGACACTGTCTAGAATAAAAGGTAGAAGATGCCTGAAGACTAACACCTGAGGTTGTTCTCTGACCTACACACACACATACACACACACACACACACACACACACACACACACACACACACACACACGCATGCACGCATGCACGCATGCATGCACGCACGCACACATGCATACACGCACGCACATACACATAGGAAGACAAGTAATCCACGCAGCAGGAGGTCATGCTGCCACCCCCTCACACTGTCAGTCATCATAACAGAGAGTGTGATTGACAGCTTGCTACCTGAGTATCCTGGATGGCATCCCCCCTTTCCTGTGGCATTTCCCCATCAGTGGTGCCATGGAAGAGGGTGAACTGGCTCCTGCTCTTTGCTCCTGCGAGGCTCTGTGGTGTCCTCCTGTTTGAATGTGCGGCTCATGTCAATCTTAATATTTGTTTTGAGTCGCATATGCTGGCCTCTAATTTGCAATTTACATGGATGATGGGGCCCTATTCAAAATCCTGCTCCTGTGCCTTTGTACCGTTTACCTCTCTTCACGCAGTCATTAGGCGGAACAGCATATAATTAGGTAACCCATGTAAAGCGGAGGTTTCTGAAAGGTTGTAGTTCTGTTCAAAAAGTGTGGGTTTCCATCTTTCCCCCCCATTCTTCTCTAGACAAAAAGCCATTTCCCCCCTGGTGGCTTTCATGTGACTGTAGTAACTTAGAAACAGTTAGTCGTGGAGGTGGGTAATAATTTTGGTTTGTTTTCACCTGAGAACTGTTTTTTGCTTACACAGCTTGTGTTTAACTCAGTATGGACTGGAACTGAGTTGCTGTCATTTGCAGATGAGTACACTGCTTTTTGTAGCCAATGGAAGGGCCTTGCTTAAAGAGTCCTGAACATTTAAAATCCACCCCACAAAATAACTCCATGTTTGATGAATTTTTATATTTCATTTACTACCTGCATGCATAAAACCTACCTAAAATTACTGGTTAAGGTAAAGCTCATGAGAATCTTAAGTGCCAAAGAAAACAGATGTTTTTGATGAAATTATACTAATTGTGTTTAAGCTGTGTTCACCTGTCAGACAGGTTCATGATTGTAAATGTAATTTTAAAAAATAGTCTTGGTGTTAAAGGCAAATGCAAGCTCATGAGAGATAAAGAAGATTCCTCGCATTTCGCTGAAATGAAGTCACACAGTGCATTGGAAACCCATTGAAGTATTAATGCCCAGTTGTTTTGACTCCTGGTTATTACCATTGGAAAAAATGGGAAATACTGGGGGAACTTTTTTAAACTCTGAAATGTGACAATAGTAAGTAGGTCAGTAACACCAATACTGAGTCATGGCGACCAGTTAGGAATTAATTGGAATCAGACACTTAGGCCCCACTTGCCAACATTCCGCTCCAGAGGATTGTAAGTGGATCCCAGAGATGTCAATTTTTAATGAATAGTCCATATGGTACCATTGCAGGAAGTTTGCTGACAACATTAGGAATATGTTGTACCATTTGTACGGGTGACCCGGTGGTTCATATGTCTGTTATACTCCTTTATTTTCTGAAAAAATAAAGATAGATTTTAAAAATGACCATATACTTTGCACTATAACTTCAGAATACATTCTAATAGACATGTCAGACAGAGTTGATAACACTGCCAGACAGAACTGTACCCGACTGCTAGGACTGTAGAGTGTCACATTTCATGACATAGAGAAGCAGGTGGATGAGGAGATGTTGGCCATCATGCACTGTCATAATTCTGTTTTCATCTTTTCCACCCATTTGTCAATTAAGGTAATGGAAACAAACCACACGATCAAAAGTACTTTATGTTTGTTGGCACTTGTCTGTTTTTCTCTTTAAATCTCCACTTTTCACCCTGTGGCTGGTTTATGCCTAACACACACACTGAGCGACAAGATTCCTTAATATAATTGTTTTCTTTGGTGGAATTAGATCATAGTAATGATGTAATTTATTAGGAGATAAGCGTCTCCTAGGCACGAATATCTGAGGAGTTCAGTCGGGAAGGAAGAGAAGGTATAGTCACGAGGGTAGAGGATGCTTCACCTGCCCTTCCCGGGGGAGTGATAATGTGTATTTGTCAGGGATTGTCCTGCATCCCCTGAATGGATGGATGTGAGATGGATGGGACCAAGGATGTTGTGTATGTGTGAGACTATAAGCATACACACTTAGGCACAAAACATTTTCATAGAGTGCTATATACAAAAATCCTTTCAGATTGGTTTGTGCCCCAGTTTTGCTCTCCTATTTCATAGTATATATCTATTTCAGACACATTAATGAGACATGGGGTAGTATAAAGAATTAATATATCAGTGGATGATCTGGACAAAAGTCATGAAAAACCAACTTAAGGTTAGTGTATTCTTAAAGCTATCATGGCAAGGAGAAATAATTCCATAGAAGTGGTGGTAGCTAAATGAATGACTAATTTATTCTTTTTTCCAATCAAAACTGTCTCTTTAATCAGATTTCTTATAGAAAAGATGTGCAGGACATCCACATGTATACAGCGGAGCTTGACAGACCGGATATCAAGAAGGCAACTCAGATCTCCAAGATCATAAGCAATGTAATTTATCTCTCTGAATCGTGTGCAGATGTGACTTCTTTTTTTATTTTGGAGGGAGACACAGCTCAGCATTGGAAGTTGGATGGTTAATTCAATTAACATAATCAATTCATTTGAATTAATGACATCTCAATTCTGTCCTGAATTATCCATTTGATTATGTAAATTTTGGGGGATATGCATGAACTGCCCATGTTCGGCTCGACTATATCTAGTATTAGCCTAGTTTTAGAGGAGTGCATACTGCTGGGTATGTGATCACATGCAGATGTCTCAGCTTGGAAGCCAAACTTGCCAGTCTTCTGATCCCGCTTAATCTCTCATCTTACTCCCATCCAGGGAGCTCAGCTTGGCCTCTTCCTGTCTGTTGCTGGTGGTTTGCCGATTCTGTCCTACCAGCACGCACTTCTGCACATTTCCTGCATGCCATGGCTCTGTCTTATCTTCTCTGGGATGCTCTTCCAAGTTACTGCCATTTCACTTGAGTGCGCCAAGCACCCTGGTTAAAGTTAACTCTTGGAATAGCATAGCCCATGCCCCCTGAAAATCGATAAAGAAACCAGCTCAACTGCTAGTACCTGTTTTCCATGGACAAAATAATAAGTGCTCTCTGTGTAAAGAATGCAGAGTCTCATCTCTCCAGAAAAGCCCTAGTGTTTTTTAGAAATAAGAATAAAGATAATGATGACTGGCTACTTAGATTAAAATAAGTAATTGTTTTACTGCTAAAAGTTGAATTTACTCAAGTAGCTGTAAAATAAATTTCTGTTTCAGCAGTCACTATTTTAGTATTGGGTATACTGTATGAAATATTTTTAATGGGCTAAGGGATTATTATATTTTATTTTGACTAATGTTAATGTAATATAAAGTAGGAATGTTAAAATTTTCTCATTATTCACTTCAGGCAGAATACAAGAAAGGGCAGGGCATAGTGAATAAAGAGCCTTCTGTAATTGGAAGACCAGATTTTGAACACGCTGTCGAAGCCTCGAAACTTTCCAGTCAGGTAAGACTTCACCATGATGATTCTTCAATGATTTTATTCAGAGGTTTTATTTCAAGGAACATGGAAAATATTTCAAATAGATAATATCTTTAATTGTAAGAATAAACAGAGGTAATGTTTCTGAAGCTACTTCAGCTAGGATTGCAATAATTACGAATTTCAGCAGAGGGGAAAAGTCTAATTCTCAGAACAAAGCATAGTTTTCTTTCCTCTGGGCTTACATCGGAACCTGTTTCAATGAGTTTGGTCATGTTGTATCCAGAGATAGTGATAGCCAATACCAAAAGCCATATTTTATGCACATCTACACAAAATAGGCACACATACGATTTTAACTTAGTAATAAAATATTCTCTCAATTTATAAACCTTTTCCCTTAATTAGAAAATAAAAAAGGCAAGATATAATACATAAAAACCTTGAAATCTGATTTTAGAACATAAGACCCAAAGAGTCTACAAATCTGGAAAGTAAATTGATCGAGAGTTTAGTGGTTGAAATTTCAATTTTCTCAGAATTATCATATAAATGTCATTCAATTTCAATTAGAATCCAAAAGGATTATTAAGAATATGGTTGAAATAAATTTAAAGTTTCTGTGGATGAGAGTTTTCTGAAAGAGCCTTTAACAGTGTGAGAATGGAGATCAGTGATGGAGAAATACTAGAAAACCATTTGAATAAGTCAGTATGGGCTGAGTATATACTGAGAGGTAAAATAATCAATGGGATGGAGTGACATTCCTGAAATAGATTTCAGTATGTCTAAGAATTTAATGTATGGCAAAAGTATTGACTCAAGTCAGTGGGGAAAGTTAGGTCACTTAATAAATTGTGCTAATGTCACTGGCCACCCATTGTGGTGAAAGAAAATTGGGTCTACATCTTCAACCCTATACAAAAATGAATCCCAGGTAGATTAACTATAGGAATGCAGGTCAATTGTGATGCTACATGCCTATAAGTCTAGGACTCAGGAGGATGAGGCAGAATGTTTGAGGTCAGCTTGCATTACAGAATGAGACCCCATCTCAAAGCAAAGCAAAGTAAAGCCAAAACCAAACAAATGAATGCCAATGAGCAACCCAAAAAATAGAATGTAAAAACTAAAATATTAAAAGAAAATTCAGGGTTCATTATATAGCACAAGATTTGTGATTTGCCATGTGGGTGTGAGGAATCAAACTTGGGTCCCCTGCAAAAGTGACGAGTCCTCTTAACTGCTGAGCTATCTCTTCAGCACCCTCTTAAGTTCTTTAAGGCGGAAACAAAAATGTCTAAGAGCTCAACAGAAAAAGTGAGAAATGAGGTGAATAGGATTCTACAGAGAGGAAATAGAAATGACCAATAACTATGTGGAAAGATGCTCAGATTTATTAGGAGAAAGATAAATGTCAACAGAATTAAAGTGAAATGTCATTTGTACCCATCAGCATGCTGTCTCTTGCTAGTGTGGGGGAGAAGTACATGTCGTTAGAAAGGTTTTGTGTAGGTGGGAGTTTTGAGCAAGGCTGGTTTAAAGGGAGAGAAATCTGCTCAAGAGGAAAGCCCCAAATAAAGGATGGAAGGTTACTGAGGACAGCAATGGGTCCTCTGAATCAAGGGGGATCAGTTATAGCCACAAACAGGAATCTGGGAGGACTTTAATGAGAGAAAGGTCAGTGTTATGTTAATTATGTTAATTAACGACTATATGGCGTTGCTTGCAGAGCAGAACAGAAATAATGTGTTCCTTTTATATAATATATTAGCACATGATATTATATTCCATATATTAATATACTTTCTTAACCTGACACAAATCTAAACATATGTAGGAAGAGGAAATCTCAACTGAGGAATTGCCTCTATCAGATTGTGAGCATGTCTGTGGGGACATTTTTTTCTGATTGCTGCTTGGTAGGAGGGCCTGTCTTCTGTGGGTGGCACTATCTCTGGGTAGGTGGGTCTGGGCTGTATAGGAGAGGCAGTGAAGCAATCTGGAAGGAGCAATCTGGAAGGAGCAATCTGGAAGGAGCAGGCCAGTCAGCAGCATTTCTTCAGCCTTCATCATCTCTGCTTCAGTTCATGCCCTGAATTCCCTCAGTGATGGTCTGTCACATGGCGGCCGTAAGATGAAATAAACCCTTCCCTTCCCAAGTTACTTTGGGTCTTGGTGTTTTTCACGGCACCCATTCAGTTTGCTGTCTTGACCATTTGAAGTCCCACAGTATTAAATGAATTCATAATGTACTACCATCATCACCATACACCCACTTCTTCATCCTGTAAAGCTAAACTCTGTAGCTGCTAAATTAATGACTCCCACCCCAACTGTTAATAGGAATGATGTGCTGTATCATCAGAGTAGTAAAAAGAGAAAGCGATTCCTACATGTAATGCAGTGTGTGTGTGTGTGTGTGTGTGTGTGTGTGTGTGTGTGTGTGTTCATGTGTGTCTTTGAGTTAGACTAAAAAAGAACAAATTATCACCATCTCAACTGCAGTCACTCAGTTAGCTTCCACTTTTGGGTGAGAAATACATAATCACAAAAAAATTTGATGAAGGACAGCTTATGTGGACATTACTCCAGACAGATTAAGATGTCAACACTCTACAGGAAAGTTTGGCCTCTGTGAGAGATGAAAATCCCATGGGCCAGCTGGGAGTCGTTGCAAGAATCACACAGGAAATGATCTACCCCTCAGAAGTCTCCTTAGCTTTAGTGAAGGAGGGAGGTGGAGAGAAGGGATGTGTGTGAAAGATGCAAGAATGTAATCGTGACTTGTGTTAATTGTTTTACAGTTTACCAGGCCTTTTGCTTATAAAACAACTTTGTGGCTTGGAAGGCTTCTAAAGCATAGGAGGTTGAAGATATGCTTGGACAAAACATACCTTATAAAAGGCCTAAGATAGCTATGCAAGCTCAGATTATCCCTAATAATGCTTGTTATGAAGGCAAGGGAGCTTGGACTTGCTCTGGGTTTATTGTGCATGTTTTTGGGTGCTATAGATCTCGTGTAGAGATTAGAGGACAACTTCCATGATGTGGGTCCCACAGTTCAAACTCAGGCCACTATAGCTTGGCAGCCAGCACCCTCTCGAGCCATGTGACCAGCCCCCTCCCTGACTTGTTGTACCTCCCTTCCTTCGCTGTAGATGGAAATTTCCCCTCAGCCACACAGTAGACTATACAAAAGCAGTCTGGTCCCTTTCAGTGAGTAGGAAACATGGCAGTGGAGCAAGACCCCCTGGGCTACACTATGGTCTGTGGCTTGCTTGCTGAGTGACCTGGGACATGTTACTTCGTTTCTCTGTTTCTGTCAGATTGATCTGACAGCAGGTATAGCTGCTTATTAGAGTTGTGAGTGCATTGTTAAAATGGACAACCAGCCCACAGATCCCACAACTCCCTAAGAATCGTCTTTTTTTTTTTTGGATACTTGGAGTGTTTTCTCACTTACTTTTCTTTTAGATGAATTCACAGACAGGGCAGACTGAGAGCAGTAACACTCACCCAGACTCCGGTCTTAACTTCATTCTATCCAGTCCTCCCTGTGAGTTGGTTAAGAAAATTTCAGAGTATTTATTTTCACATTTCAAAATCAGCCCACAAGAGTCCTGCCATTTGACGTCCCCCCTCCAGGTTTTTAGAAATATATTTTTTCAATCTCAAATTATGTAGCCACCGAGTGATCAGATGCTTAAACAGGTTGCAATCCGCAAGTCTTCTGTACCCATCAGCTTTACTTCTCCTTTGATCTTATAGTATGTAAATCCATGAAAGGGAAAAGATGGGAAGAAGAGCGATTAGGAGTCCTAGAACGGCTTGTTTAATGTGTGTTCTCAGGCGCATCAACCTGAAACCAAGGCCAAAAAGGTAGTTTCTTATTTTCACCAGTAACTTTGAGGCTCATGCGCTTACTGACTCCTAAGCCCTTGGCAAAGGCACAAACATCCATTGGTGGAAAGGGCTTAGGAATTCAGTAAGCAGGGAAAGAGGTGAAGTGGGTGTGTGAGAGAAGGCAAAGACAGGGCAGTGGGCTGCTGTGCAGTGGAGATGACAACAGACTGTGAGTGGGAGAGATGCTCACATTTTGCCTGTACGCTGTGCTCTGTGGGATTTTACTCTGGCTAGGCAACAGAAATATGTACCAAACTATTATACTAACTTGAACAATTGCTTTAATCGCAGATGTAAGATTTTCCATTTAAATTTTATTTTTTAATATTTATTTTTAACTTTGTGTAAGTGTGTGCATATCGTGCATGCATGCATGTGAGTGCAGGTGTCAGTGGAGGCCAGAAGTGTCTAATGTTCCTGGAACTGGAGTTCTTGGTGGTTCTAAGTCACCTGACATGGTTGCTGGAAACCAAACTCTGGTCCTTGGCAAGAGCAGTACTCACTTTTAAATTAAGCCATCTCTCCAGCTACAACTTTCTCTTTTAAAATTGGGAAGATACATGTTATTATGTTGTAGTTTAAAAGTTTTAGTAAAACAAATTGCATGTGCCAAGACAAAGATACTAGTTTATGTGCATCTCAAATATAAATGGATTGTCAAAACCATCTACTTAAAAGTTGTAAGTAAGATTAATTTGATACTATGTCCTATCATCTGAACTTAATATTTGGAATTTGTCTGCAGGATGAAGGGATTAAATTTTTGGTTTAGTTTTATAACACCAGAGAAACAATATACATATAATAATTAGTATTTGTTACAAAATTGTATTTTTATATTGATAAGAATGATTTTAAAACTTAAAAGATCCAGTATGGAAAACTTAGTAATAAATAGTGTCCTTAAACTGCTAAGGGTATTAATTGGCTTGGAGATGCTCCCATTCTTTCTTCCTGGCAAACACATACTCTGCCAATCGCCTCACACTGCCAAGCATGAGCTTAAATGTCATATCCCAAGTTGCCAATGTGAATGGATCTCTGTTCATTTCTGCATAGTTCTTGATGTGGTTTGTATTAGTCCTGCATGTATATACGTCTGTGTTTTAAAAATTGACTTGAGTGACTTACCCTATGGCAAGTTCCACAACCTAGGGCTTTAGGTTATGCAATAAAATAGATTAGGATGTTGATAAATATGTGGATGTCTGTTTAAGGATTTGGATTCTTAACACTTAATACAAAGGTGAGATTATGTTATTTTGTAAAGAAAATAAAGGCACATAAGTCTCTGAGTTTAGTCCCCAGACCCAAATAAAAAATGAAAGAAAATGTAAGAAGGAATGAATGAAGGAAAAAAGGAAGAAAAGAAGGGAGGGAAGGAAGGAGGGAGGGAAGGAGGAAGAAAAGAAGGAAAAAGAAAGGCACGGATAACATTATGTGTAAAATTCAAACTTAAAAATCTGATTGTTTCTGTGATGAGTTCTATTTTAAATTCTTTACTGTTTGCCTTGTTCACTTGCAGTTCAATTTTAGCAAAGATTGGAAAAAATGGATACCTTTAGACACGTGGTGTGTTGTTTTCTCTGATAATTAAGGTCCACTCCTCAGATTTTCCATTTTTTCCCTAACATTTGTTTTTATGGCGATGCTGAAGGTTATGTTTTTCTCTTTTCTGGGTCTAGGGGACCTTAAGCATAGGTGATGTTATGAGGGAGCCAGACACCTGAGAGCTGAAAACTTGTGTGTTTAGAAGTCTCATTTCCTGGTGGCATGGCCCTGTGTGGTAGCGCTTAGAGAATTAGTTTAAATTCTGTCATCATAGCCTAACAGTCACAGTGGGGCCTTCCTCAAGTCTCACTATAGTCAAAACTCTTTAGAAAATAGGAGTTCGATTTTATATAATCAATCATCCTATATACTTATTAGAAAGTGATGGATATTTGAGCCACTATGTGTGACACTCATAATGTAAACAAAATAACTCCGTTACTTAGTTATAGAACTTCATTTATTTCTAAAACAATGAATCTGGGTAGAAGGAGTGACATTTTATCTTAAAATCAACACTTGTCTCTCCCTTTCTGCAATGATCTCATAACTGGCAGGTCTATGCTTTGTTCCATGCTTGGGTAAGCAGTGACAGTCGAGGCACTGCAGGGACCTCCTGGGAGATGTGAGTGTGAATAGGGAAATAGGCAGTCAGGTTGTGAACTGTGCATTGAAAATGGAACAGAATGTTGAACATGTCTGCTCCGTTAATGAAGGAGACAGTTGGAAGGTGAAAGACTTGATCCACATAAGCCATCTGATTCTCTTTATTCATGTATGTGCAGATCATGGAGAAGCTGTGAGGCAAGATCCAGTTGTATGTCAGTGTTTGGTCAGTGTATTTTTATATAATGCAGTTATTTTGTGTTAGTTGATTAATGGTGGAAACTCTTACGTTTTGTTTCATGCGCATCTTTTGAAACCACATCACTTAGACAACCAAGGTTTAGAATGAAAAAATTTTACAGCACTCTAGTCATTGTGTGTGTGTGTGTGTGTGTGTGTGTGTGTGTGTGTGTGTGTGTGTGCATGTGTGTGTGTGATATAATTATATTAGAATGATGTGGGCAAGAGATTGAGAATTATTTCTCAGAAATATATTTTTACTTGAAAGAGGAAATGCCAGGTTTAGGAACAGATAAGTTACCATTTTTATTTCTCAGGCCAATCTATACATTGTCTTTGCATTTGATGGAGTCATGGAGCAACTCCTTGGTATACAAAAACCATAGGAAATATGCTGTGGAAGTTGATAAGTGTCAACTTCACAGAGTTTGGAATCACCTGGGAGATGAGTCTTTGGGCATGCCTGTGGGGGATTTTCTTCATTATGTTCATTGATACTGGGGAGACCCATCGAAGTTGTGGGCAGGACCAATCTATGAGCAGAAGGTCTGGCACTGTGTAAAATGGAGAAAACAAACTAAGGGGCGAGCACGCATTTATCCCTTGCTCTCTGTTGCTGTCCTTTAGATGATGCATGAGTAGCTGTCTCTAGTGGCCGCCTCGCTGGCCTCCTCACGGTGATGGGCTGTAACTTGGAACTGTGAGCGAGAATAAATCCTTTCTTCACCAAGTTGCCTTGGTTGTTGGTGTATTTCATCCCAGTAATGAAAGAAACTCAGACAGGCTCTCTGGGGCAAAAGTCAGAGGACCTACTCTCTCACTTACAAAACTGAGACGCACAAGTTGGTTGAGGTTAGCAAATGGGGGTAATTGATTGGAAACTTGCTGCCAATCAGCATGGCACAGCCCATCAGCTGGTGAGAGTAGCCCAGCCACTGCCTGAGAGCAGTCCCTGTGAAGTGACTAAGCAGAAGGAAGTGTGGCTCAGAAAGGGGAGTGCAGGCGTGAACCTGGCCGAGGAAGAGGGATCCTGAAGTGAATGCTAATGAAGTAGTGGAGGAAATCGAAACGTTTTCTATTTATGTTGTTGGCTCTGATTTTAAGACGTAAAAAAAAAAAAAATTAAAATATTTTTTTCATTTTAGAAATGCTGTACCAATTATTTAAAATAAATTTATCAGGCAGCACGAGTATCAGAAAACTAGTTTTAAAGAGAACACACAGAAGACACTTCTTCAGTGCTGGATTCCTACCCAAGCTTCACCAGCTCACTCTCATAGATCCCTGGCAGGTATCTCTGGAGAAAACCCCTACTCCCAACAGGACTATGAAGACAGTCATTTTCCAATTCTGTTTAATAAGGACTACTGCAAGGCAGAGACTTAAGGTGTGTGGATAAATGCCGTTTATGAGTATATTATAAGAAAACATTTTTTTCAGTATTTTAAAATACTGTAAAATTTATAGAAATAGAAATGAAAGCCTGAAACAGTTTATTTTTGCTTTTGAAATGTATACATGATTTTCTGGCAGCATTCATCAAGGGCATATGAGATGTGAGAGACTAAGGTGTTCTTTATTCATCTATTCAGGGAGAGAACTTGTCCCCACATTCCTGTCTATAATATGCACCCATATCATAATATATCCATGATGTAATAGCTCTAAGTTGATAGCCCTTTTCTTGTCTTATGACTAAAGAATCAAAAAATTTAGACTCAATGTTAAACATACTTTTTCTGCTGGATAAGTTGAGGAGTTAAAGCGGGAAAAACTAAAACTGTCAGGAAGCAGTTATGGAGCGTTGTAGGAAAATCTATTTTCTAAAACTTAGGCTTGGAACAATTGAGACATGGATGTTGCAGGAAAATATAGTTTTAAAATTGAATCTTTGAATAAATGAAATATGGATACTAACTATTCTTTATTTGGAATGTTTCCCACAGGAAAATCCATTCAATTTCTGGTTTCAATGACCCATTTTCTAAGTGTGGCAGACCTTAAGAAATGTGTTTTCTCAGTTCTAACTGATCCTGGGTTCCAGGAGTACAGAAATGGGAACCAACATGTAAAAAAATTATATTTTAAATACATAATTCTCATGGGCAGAGAATTTGAGCTTGTTCATGCTTAATGACATTCATGACCAATATTCAAGTAGCACATTAAATTTTTCTAAATGCCTCATTAAGCTTTATGGAGGGGGAATGAATATCACGAATTTACATTTTGTAACTATTCATCTGAATGGTAGCTTTTATTTGATCTCTTAAAAAAAAAAGGAACCTAATGTGTTACTCTTCCACCAAAATATGGGACTTAATTCACTGTGTCCTTTTTCTTTATGATAGGTTAAATATAAAGAAAAATTTGATAATGAAATGAAGGGGAAAACCCACTCTTACAACCCACTGGAAAGTGCTTCTTTTCGGCAACACCAGCTTGCTACTGTCCTGGCAAGCGATGTAAGTTGCAATCTATAGAAATTGCTCTCAATATCTTTTGAGTCTTGTTTTCCTAGAGCTAACTGTGTTGTAATTACTGATATTTAATCAAGATCATGTAATTTCCAAGTAATTTGTAGTTGAAAACACTGAAGCATATTTTCCTGAAGCTTTTCCCCCCAGAAAAGTATATTATTATAATTTGCTATTAATGGTTACTGATTACTAATTAGTTAATAAGTAGGAACAGTGGTATGAATAAAATTATTATGTCTGATCAAGAGTAGAAATAGATTATAGAGTTTTGCAGGGAGGAGATGTGTTTTATCACAAATTAGTAGGTAGGACAACAATTAACTCATAATTATAGCCACAAAATTGAGTTTATTATAAAGGACTACCTGATACATGGAGGTTTATCAAAAAGAAACTGTAGTAAATTGTGCTGCTAAAAGTTTAAAATTTCTTTCATTTTTATTATGTTACATGCTATCTTTGTAGATTTATTTTCATGTTTTTAAAATTAAGATGCGTTAATTTGATAAGAAATGATATTTGGAATTGTTACTAGGAGGAGATATTGTATAAACGCAGAAACATTGACAAACAGATCACTTTTCTATCGTTTAAAATGTGTGTAGAATCTTTCCAGGCACGAGAATTGAGTATCATGGAAAGCTTGCTCTGCTGGTCCTTCAGCTCGGCTCACCTCTTCTTGGGGCTGGCTTGACTTTTCTTTCATTAAGGTTTAGAAAGTATTTATGGTCAATAACCAGTTTTGGTTTGTCTCTGGAAACTAAAGTGGATATTTTTGTCTTTCTGAACCTCTGGGGATATCAGAATCTTTCTTTTCCTGACTGATAAGACTTGAATGTGTGCAGAGACGAGTTAATCTGAAAGAAAACTAGAACAGAGCCTTGAATGCTCAAGGCTGAGAGTCAGATTGCCTAGGTGTGATCCTGTCCTGCCACCTAGAATCCTGTTATGCCTTCAATCTTTCTGTGCCTCGGTTTCCTCTTCTGTCAAATAAGAATAAAATACCCAACAATTAGGGTGGCTGTAAAGATTTGTTTCCCATGTATAAAGTGTTTAAAAGTGTTGTGCATACAGTTCATGTTTAATACGCTTGATACTGATATTTGATTCTTATTATTAGTATTAAATTCCAAAGCAGTTGGTTTAAAACAAACAAAATAGATTTACATGGCTACAGAATGCAAAGCTGCAAAAACTTAAAATTACAGTAAAGTAAAACTGAAGGAATTTGGCAGCAGTGTGGAAAGAATACAGCAATGAGTCTCCTTATTTTCTAAAAGTAGAGTTTCTACTATAATTACATAAGTGTGTTAACACCACCGTTTTGGAATATATAAACAGTAAAAGAAATTTAAATGTTTTCAAGTCCATAAATGGCCATTTTACTCATTCTGTAGTGAATCAGCACCATCTAGTGGCTACTTGGAAATCCTTCTGTCACTTCTGCACTAACAGGAGTGAGGAAGGGCGGGAAAAAAAAGAGGTAACAATGCCAGCGCAAGCCTGTTTTCTTCTGCTAGGTGGTGTTTTGTTCCATGTTGTTTTTGTAGGTGAAGTACAAGAAAGACGCTCAAACCATGCACGAGCCAGTTTCAGACCTCCCAAATTTGTTGTTTTTAGACCATGCTCTGAAAGCCAGCAAAATGCTCAGTGGAGTAAGTGGGCTGTCTGGTGGCCATTGTAGCGTAGATGTGTGTAGTTCTGAGATGCCAGTGTTCCTCTTTGCTCCCGGGATCACCTGCTTCATTCGATGTGCCATGTGTCTCTCCTCTCCAACAACTAACTCGCTGAAAAGTAGCCACCTGCTTGTACAAATCCCATGGTCAGAGTCTCTTTATAAAAGGGTTCTTTTTCTTATTCTTCACCCATTGATGGTTTCATACGTGTATGAAATACATTTTAGGCCTTTCACTCCACATTACCCTATCTTGTCCCTCATCCGTCTTCTGCTCAATCTCTTCTTGCCAACATGTACTTTCCTACTGTCATGTCTATGTGTGTCTTTGACCTACAGAGTTTAATGAGGGCTATCAGAAAGAGTGTAGGGTGGAGGTGATTTGCCGGGGCATGGACAGTGGACATGGCTATTCCGCTGAAGAAAGTGATGTCCAAAGTGGGTTCTTGCTAGCTCCTCACATGACTACAAGCACACTCGTTGGTACTGGTAGAAGCAAGCATCCATTCTGTCTTCTTCCCATTTCATCTATATCATAATGAAACCACTTGGTGTTCACGCCTTGCAGTCAGGCTTTTGTGAAAGCCATCCCAGTGTATCATATATGTTATGTCTTCAGTAGCAAACACTCGTCATGCTTTAAACTCTATTTTCTCTGACAAGAAATCATGGAGGTGCTTATATTGCATGGACACTAGGAATTTAGTCTTAAGATGGATTCCATGTTATCTGCAAGTCAGCAAAGAGGACTTTATGTCCTGATGAAAATATTTGTGTCTCCTATTCACATGGCCAGTCCCTCAGAACTCTAGCCTTCTGGGATACTGTGTTCACCCTTGATGCATCTGGAGGCTGACTTCACTAATTCTTACAAATGATGACCCTTGGTCATTGGTGGCTCCACTCAGTGAGTATCCAGATCCCGCCTGGTAATGATCAACTCTAATTTGACCCTGTTATTTCCATACCTATTTTAATAATAATCACCCATTTGTTTAAAAGCACTCTAACTTACAGACTAATCCAGATCAGATGAAGAAATACATGTTAGGTAAGGTGCGAGGAAAAGTGAAGGCAGTCTTTTTAGTAGCTGAGCCCACGGTCTTCAGGGAAAAGCTACAAGACTAGATCTCTAAGCCGTAGTCATAAAGGAGCTCCAGTTCTTAGCATTGGCAAAGCACCATTTGCTACTTGTATATTTTTTCTCTTGTATGTTGCCACCACCAGCCTTCTCAGGGTGTACACTGCATGTAAGTGCTTCACACTCGCAGAGATTAGTTTTAATTTACTTAAAAAGTATTGGTCTTTGGGTCAAAAGCAGTATATTACTGTTGGCAGTGCTAGAGCCATGCTACCAGGCTCAGAATTAGCCCATGGTGTCAGGACGCTTAAATTACATTGTCCTGTCTTGTCCATGTTCATCCCTCCACCAACATACGCATCCTAACCACACCTGCATTCCTCTCTAGTTTCATGCTTTTCTCCTTGATTCATTTTTCTGTCCTCTGCATCCTCTGCTTCCTTCAACCTCCAGTGTCCAGCTTTTGTCTTTGTGGCAGTGTTTGCCGTGTCCTGTCCCCAGCCCACACTCGGGTAACTCTCCTAGGGAAGTGGGGATTCATGTGTAAATGAGCAAGAATGTATACCTCTCACAGGCAATATTTCTTTTCAAAGTGTTGATATTTGTTTGACAATAGAGAAGAAGAATAAAAATTTAATGTACACAGTTTCTGTCACCTCCATAATAGAAAGCCCCCAACAAAGTCACGTTATTCATTTTGGTCGTTGTTCACAGAGCTTAGCTCCCAGGCTGTCTTAGCCTGATATCACAGAAATGATTACACAGGTCAGAGAGTTTGACTTTCTCCAAATGATTTACATATTAAAATCGTATGAGACTATATGGGCTTAAATTGGTTTTAAGTTAGAATAGCCTTCTTTTAAATATTTGTATAAAGAGAATAGAGTTTTTGTTGATGCATAAGGTGACTGGATTTTATTAAAACATTGAAGAAGAAATTTCATGTTAGATATTTTTCCAAAGTTGAGTGCCAGTTTGTTTTAAAAAGCTGTTTTATTAAACATCTCTAAATGTCTTGATCTATAACAGAATTTTAAAATTTTAATGTGTTGTGTGTAGAGCAGAGTGGGTAATTTTAAAGCCTGTCAAGAACCATGAATTAAATGTTTGAAGAAACACTTTGCTGTGGAAAATGGAACTTGTAACTTCATATAAATTTAAAAAATATATATTGTGTTATTCTACATAACTTCCACTAGGAGGCAACAGAGACTATTCAATACAGAAAATGAGCTCCTGTATTAGAAATTTCATTTGCAGATTTGAGTTCAAAGGATTTGATTTTAGCCCCCCTTTTAGTATATATCCATTATTCCAGGAATAATTCCCTAGACTTCATTAGGTATGGATTTTGATTCCAAAATAGAATATGTTCTACCTTAATACGTTAAAGCTACATTTATTTTATAAATAGATATTATAAAAATATCTAAACAAAGCATACAATTTCTTAATTTTTCATTTCAGGTTTAGGCTTGACCATTTGCTTGAATTAGCTTTTATTTAGTTTTAACTTAAAATTCATAGAGGAACCCAAATTTAGGTGTTCTCTTCAGTCAAGATATAATGTGTGGACATTGGCAAGATTTCCTTTGGTACTTTCCAAACTCATTTCATTCTGGTTAGAGTTCGAGTGACAGGTGGCACAGAAGCCAGGCTTCCTTTGGAACTTTGTTCCTCTGTGTCAGGGCACCGACATCTTCCAGCTTCCTGTTCTTGATACTAAATGTTCCTCCCTCTCACAATCCTGTCCGTGGAGCATCTCCTAAGATGTTTACGGCCACTTCTTTTAGGCCACCCTTAAAAAGTTACACATATTTCCCTTCATTCTACACAGAATGTCATTTTTCCTGGAACCCACGGGCAATTGATTTTTACCTTTGTATGTCTCTATGGCCTTGAATCTCTGAGATTACCGTTTTCTTGTAGAAGTCTTTTCCAAGTAGGACCAATTACTAAGTGTCTGGTCTCTAGTGCTAGAAATCATTAGGCAATCTTGTTTCACTGCTGCTGATCCAGAGTAAAATGTCATCCCTACTCAATCTAGTCCCTTCCAAATTTACCTTCTTATGTATGTCTAAATAGTAGAGGGCCTACTCCAATTTCTTCAACTCAAAAAAGAAAGAAAAAGAAAAATCAATGAATTGTACCCACATTCTTCAGGTCCTCTTCTCAATGCCTCCCATCCTTTCCTTGGAATTGAAAGTTAGTTTGGTTGTTTCTCAGCTTCTGTTTCTCCCCATCACTTCCATTCTTGCTCACGGCTAAGTCTTTTTCTACAGCCAGGGTCCTAGTTTCTAGCTTCCATTCACCCTGTTCTCTCTTTTTGTTCCTATCTCCTTATGGACCCTGCCAAACACCATGTATGTCCTAGGATAAGAAGCAGTGTTTGTATTTCACCCCACCTTGTCCACTCATGATCCACGGGACCCCATCATCAGCTTTTCATTACCACCCTGTGACTGTCCTCCACATCATGTTTACAATTACTCACTGAATATATCTTGTGCTCTTCTCAAGGTCTCCTCCAGTGAGACCATCTTGCATTGTCCATTTATCTTAGTTCCAGAACCTCCTCCATGCTGGCTCCTATAGACACAGGCTCTATAACAGCACCGCAGCTCCGCGCCACTGGCTTGTATGTTGTTTGCTTTACTAAGAATCATTGTGAGGCAGTAGCCCAGGGTTGCCGAGAACTCACAGTAGTCCTCCTGTCTCAGCCTCCCATGAGCTACCATACCCCAGTTACATTCCCAAGTCTTAATTTTACTCATCACTCTCTCTTATTCTAAACTTATTTTCATGTTTGATTTTAGTGGGAATATAAAAAGAATTTTGAAGAAAACAAAGGATTGTATCACTTTGATGCAGAGGCCACCGAACACCTGCACCATAAAGGCAACGCCACCCTCCAGAGTCAGGTGAGCTCTTTGATGAGCGCAGCTCACCCCTCAGACCTAGTGACCATTGGGGTGCCTACTGCTCAGCACCATGTTCTTGGAAGAATGGAGCCCAAGAACATTAATTTTGCTTCAGAAAAAAAATATCTGAGACTCCATTTTTTATCTTTTGGGTCAAGGAGCTGGAACCATGTTTCAACTTAAAGTAGTTTTCATAAAAATATGTTCTTCATATAATTAAAAAGTTTAAATCTAGGAACTAATTAAATTGTGATCAAATCTCATGATGATTAAAATTTTTACAAGGTGCTGATTTGACATTTTGAGCTAGAAAATTAATTTTCTGGGTATAAGTTTTTATTATAATTTCTCCATTTAATTATAAGTGTTATTGAAAAGGGAAAACATCCTTATTAATGTATTTTAAATTAATATTTCTTCTAACTATGAAACCCTACGTATTCTGTTAAAAAAAAAACTTAAAACTTTCTTCCTTCCTAGCACATTGTAAGACCAGTATCTGTTTTTTATTATTATTCTAAATTTAAATAGTTGCTAAAGATGCTATTTCTAGCATCTGTTAAAATAAAGATTTACATGACTCTTTTAAATGTATTCCATGGAACATAAATTTCACAGCGATTTGAAAATAACTTACTCTCTTCCCTTCCTGTTGCTGTGATAAAATACCCCAACAAAAGTGGTTCAAGAGAGAAAGGGTTTATTGGGTTCACAGGTTACAGTCTGTCACTGCAGGGGAGCCAAGGTGGTGGGAATTTGAAGCAGTTGGTTACACAGATGAGTCCATAGCAGAGCTCAATGAAGTAATGCACACATTCTTGTGCTCAACCCACTTTCACAGTCTAGGACAAACACCTAAGGAATGATGTCACCTAGGCTGTCTCTTTCCACATCAGTGAACATAAATGAAACAATTTCCTTCAGGCGTGTCCAAAGGCTAACCTGACCTAAGAATTCTCATTGAGAGTCTCTCCCAGGGGATTCTAGAGTATGTCCAGTTGACACTTCAACACCCCTCCCCAAAGTTTGGAAGCACAAGTTTTGTCTGTAAATCCATTCTCATTCTTTCTCTCTCTCTCTCCCTCCCTCCCTCCCACTTCTCTCTTCTTCCTCAAGATAGGGCTAACCTGGGAGTTTCTATGTAACTTGACTTGCAACTAACCTCCTACATCTGCCTTCCCAGTGTTGGGTTTACAGATGTGCACCACTATGCTTGCCTTAAATTCTTACATTTCTTTGAATTTTCCCCCACAAAACTTTATTCTAATATAGTATGATATCATGTATGCAGCACTCTTATTTATCCATTAAAATTTTCTATAATAAAACTCTATCGTAAATAGGTATTTCACTTTTTTTTTGTCATTACAAAGTTCTAAGTACTGGAAATTTTCCTTTAGGTTGACTACCTATCATTATCATTATACAACTTAAATAATTTTACAAACCATTATGAAGTGTTGGAAGACATCGCTGGCTGGTTAGAGGTCACAGCCTCCTCATGGCCCAACAGCCTATCTCAGTAAGCTTGGCAAAACGGAGCTCCCTCCCTCCCTCCCTCCAGCAGAACTTCCCGCCTCTAGCTGCCCTTATTTGGAGAATGCCCCTGAGCCTGGAGGACTGACCTTATCTAAAAGCTCTCTCTAAAACCAGGTGCCTGATTCATCTTTAACTTGACCCTTGGCACAGGTCCCTGCTAAGAAGACGTGCTAAGGGCTCTGCTATAGGACTCTACTGCCACATACTAAGCCCTGTGATAGGAGCAAGCTGCTTAATGCAAATTAGGTCCCCAGGCTCCCCAATCCTATATATTCCTTATACTCTGAAATAAAGTCGAGCTGATTCACTGAAATATGTCTCCTGGAGGGCTGTCTCCATTCGTGCTCATGGGCCGCCAAAGCTTTCTTTTGCCCCCTCTGCCTTTTTCCCCTCTTGACCTGGTGGCCATGGCCGACAGGCCAGGGGTGGGTGGGAAAGAGGACCCCTACAATGAAGCCCAAGAATGAATGAAAATGCATTGCTGAAGTGAGTCATGATCAAAGCTTTCCTATGAACTGAGTTAAAAGTATCACTAAAATTCAACCATGATGCTGGCTTACATACAATTTTAGCTTTTTTTTTTTTTTTTTTTTTTTTTTTTAAGAAATAGAAGACACCAGGTTGGGAATACAGCTTAGCAAGTAAGAGTGGCTGCTGTACAAGTATTGAGGACCTGAGCTCACCCCTAGAACCCAGGTCAAAAGCTGGGGGTGGCTGTATGCCCCTGTAGCTGTAAGAGTGTAGGGTGGGTGATAGAGACAGAAGAATGGCTGGGGATTTCTGGCTGCCAGCCTAATTCCATATCCAGATCAGTCTGTCTCAAGGAAGTAAAACACAGGGTGATAGAGCAGGACACCCAGCATTCTCTCCTGGCCTCTGTGGCACGTCCACACTCACACAGACGTGTGTACACACCACACACATACACCACAGACACAAACGTGTATGTATACATACACAAAGAAAATAGAAAAACAAAACCTGAAGTGACAGAAAATATCCTTCCTTTTATAAAAAGAATGGAGATAAAACTAATTTTAATTGAAACAAATAATTCATAATATGATAATATTAAATAACGGATAGTGAAATAAAAGGAAATCGTATATGTTTTAGTTAGTATCTAGGGGAAAACTCAGGAGTTCAGGGAACATTTTCCCTCTGTTGACAGAAAGATAATCATGCTCATTTTTTAAAACTTATTCAAAATGTTTTGATATACATGGAGACTATCAGTGAGCTCTCTCTCACCTTCTCCTCCTCCTTCCATCCTTCTCTGTCCCACATATGTATGCTGTAAGTGCAGATATAAATAACCCCATCTATTTAATAAGTATCGACATACTCTACCTGTTTGACAAAATACTTTATTTGTCCTCCATAGAACACATTATTTAGTGTCCCATGACACTAAATACTTGACTCTGGGGAACCCATTCATCACCCTAAACTGCCAGAATAGCTTGGTATCACAAAACAGGATGATTAACTTGGCGTACGTTTATTGTGTTTTGCTCTATACTTAGGTTTTGGTTGTTGTCATTATTATTGTCAGGAATTGAACCCAAGACCTTGCCCTTGCTAAAAATGTGCTCTGCCACTGAACTATGTACACCTCTTATTTTTATATGCTTTTAATATTTTTTTCAATGCAGGTAAAATACAGAGAAGAATATGAGAAAAATAAGGGCAAGTCCATGCTTGAGTTTGTTGAGACACCATCATATCAGTCTTCAAAGGAGGCTCAGAAGATGCAGAGCGAGGTAGGGGACTGGGCTTGTTGCTAAAAGTTGATACTTGAAGTTTTCTCATTGGAAAAGAATCAGCCAGTGATGAGTGGGGTCTAGAGACAAGAGCTCTGCTCTGTGGGGCAGGCTTGGGGACCATGTTCTAGACCCAGCACAGCTCTGCAGAGCAGGCTTGCTGGCTTCTGTTCTAGACCTAACATTGTTCTGCAGGGCAGGCTTGGGGGCCTGTGTTCTAGACCCAACATTGTTCTGCAGGGCAGGCTCACGGGCTTTTGTTCTAGACCCAGCACAGCTCTGCAGGGCAGGCTCAAGGACCCCTGTTCTAGACACAGCTCAGCCCTGCAGGGAGTCTCAAGGACCCCAGCACAGATCTGCAGGACAGGACCTGTGTTCTGATCTAGCCTCTCACTGCCAGAGGTCACTGAATTTGTCTGCACCTTAGTCTACTGATCAACAACTCTAACTGTCAAGCAGATGAGCTCTTCTCTGCTCCCACATCCCATGGAAAAGCCCTGACACTTCTTCAGATTGGCCGTGATCAACACTTTCAAACTGTACCAATGTGAAAATCGAGTATCTAAAACTAGTTGAAAAATGAAGACCTGGTTCGTTTTCTTTCCCTCCTCCCACAATGGTAATAGAACCAACATTTAAATAGTTAAATCCTTATTTTGTGCCTGCCGCCTTGATAAGAGCTTCACCTATAGCAGCTCATTTAATCTTTAAAGGAAATGGCTTGAGGAGAATGTGATCCGTGCGTTTGTAATGCACTGAAGTAAACTGTCTTAAATAAAGTCACATATCTGGTCAATGTCACCAGTGTTTTAGGACCTGGTCACCATCATGGTACTTCCTTCCTTTGTAAGTTTATTTAACTGACCCCCGACCCCACCCCCAGTAATACTTGAATGTGTTTTGTTTATTTATTTTGCTTCTAAGAGAAGACAACACTGCCACAAGCAGCTACTCCTCAGATTATAGTTTCTCTGACCAGGTGATCCCTTCATTTTCTTTCCATTTAGGGTACCAGGCAGTTCAGTCTACAGTCAGCATCCACCCAGTAGTGTCAGGCAGTTGCAACTTAGCATTACGGTTTTGTTTGCCATCTGCTTTGTTGGGATGCTAGGATCCATCTTTTTGGAAAAAAGCCCCTCAGACAACCTGAGACTAGCTGGACACACTTGGTTAATTCCTTCTTAAGTCAAAGAGGAGAGAGGCATTATTTATCCTTTCCTGTCATATCTTTTTAAGTCTTTTATTGAATTTGATAAAGAACTGTCAGTACCTGTGGAGACTAAGTGAGTTGTCTGTTTTAGGTGACTTGGCAGAGCTGGGAAATTTGGTCCAAGTTCAGAAGCCCACAAAAGCTCACCTTAAAGAGGACAGATTATATTGGAATCTCATTTCTCCATTTAGACAACAGTATAGAAAGCAGTTTTGGATATCCTTTATATTGCACGATTATCTGCCATTATAGAGCCGCCTTTTATGTGAGCTAGCAGTGGATTTTTAATGGCTCTCCCCATTTTATAGGAAGTACGTGGCCACTGTTGCAGGCCCACAGCCCAGGGAGAGATTTCGACTTTCATGGTTCTCTGCAAGTTTAACAGTGTGTAAAAACTGTTAAACCTGTGTTCACTGAAGGATACAGAGAACAAAGGTCTTTTGTTTTTTACTTATTTATTTTTTTTTAATGAAAGCAACACCTGGCTGGTGGCTTCCGTCTCATCATTACCATGATCTCACAGCTTCACCACAGCCTCTCCGGAATTTCTTCACAGCGTTTCCATGGCTTCCCCTTAGCCTTCTCCTTAGCCTCCCCTTAACCTTCCTGTGGACTCCCCTTAACCTTCCCGTGGCCTCCCCTTAACCTTCCCACGGACCCCCTACAGTTACCCTGTGGTTCCTCACATCCTCCCTGTTGCTCGCCCATAGATTCTCATAGACACCCCCCAGCACCCTGACATCCTCCTCATGCCTCCTAAGCTGGTCAGCTCCCTGTCACGCTCTCCTGGCATCCTCAGCCAGAGACAGGGACTCATGTGGAAACCCCTCTATCATGCTGTTTCTGTGATTATCTTAATTTTCTTGTACCCCAATTACTTAACTTCCCTCTCACCAACACACCATCATCTACCTCATCATTCATGGTTAAGATATTTCAAGGCCTTGGTTCTAAATTAGAAACGGTAGTAATTTGGAGAGTTGGGATTTTAGCGCCTCCTCTCTCATGATAGTCTCTCTTGTTTTCTTCCCTGTTTGCTCTTTTCCCTCCTCCTAGTGCGACAGACAGGTTGTCCCTTTAATTATAGCCACTGATGGTTAGGTTCCTCTTTTTCCCTTCAGATTTTTCAGTTCTGCCTGTTCTCAGAAAGGCTTGATGAGAGTCAGGGCTTCCATTAGGGGAATCTTTTGGGCCAGATTGATATTCTCAAGGCTAGAGAAATAAATATCTAAACATTTTAGATAAAGGGATGTACAAAAAGACCTTTGGACATAGAAAGAAAAAGCAGACCTGAAGAGAACCACCATGCTGTCCCAATTAGTTCTGCCTGGAAAAAGAACACTTTCTCTTAATTTTTCTTGTGTGTGTGTGTAGTTATGGTTAAGTCAAAATGTTTTTAATGCAGCTTCTTGATTGATTTACTGGACATCTATCTGCTCCAGCCTTTTCTCACAGCCATGCTCGTTATTGGTTGAGTAACTGTATGTAACACAAATGCTAAGTGAGGAGGCAACGTGTTTCTCTTCGCCTTACTTCTGCTTTGGAGAATATGTTTATTCACACAATTACTTTTCTTTGTAATAGATGCATAATGAAAATAGAAATAGCTTCTCATTTTGCATAAGTAACAGTCTTAGGCACAATTTATTTATTTTATCATTTTATGATGTATTTTGAATAAAACATTTGGTAAATCTGGCTCCTGTTTACTGAATGTTTCAGATGAATAGATACTTTGCCATTTGAAGAGGTTATTTTCCTAGTCGTAAAACATGGGTTATTAGGATTGGAGAGGTTGATTAGTGATGAAGAGCACTTGCTGCTCTTGTGGAAGACTCAGTTTCAGCACCCAACACCCAGATGACATCTTACAACCATCTAACTCCAGTTCCAGTGAATTCAGTGCTCTCTTCTGGCCGCCATGGTACACATGTATACATGCAGCCAAAACACTCATACACATAAAATAAAAATATATAAATCTTTAAAAATAAAACACAGGTTGTCTTTGATTTTCAAGGGTGTAACTCAAATGCTAGAATTTATATTCATAGCCAAGGATGTCAAAGCAGGCCTGAAAGGCAAGAATTGTTATAGATTTAGCTCCTCCCCAACAGGATCACCATAGGCATCTTCCATTTATTTCTCACGTGAACTCCAGGCCTCATACATGATGAATAAGCGCTTAGTCATGGACCATCTCCAGCTGCCGATGTGAACTCTTAAGGGGAACCCCTAGCATTATGACAAGGTTATCCTCACAGTGTAGCTTCATCTGTATGAGAAATCCATAAGTAGTAAAGCAATAGTCTCAGTGCTCAAGTCATGAAGCAACAGTAACACCCATTTCCCATTCATCTGATTGCATTTTAAATTGGTTCTCCTGGGCTTACAAAAGGCTGCCTCTGAGAAGGATAATGGGGTCTCGAGCATTTATACATTTGGAGAGTTTGAACTGGCTTCTACACCACCAGATTTTCTTCCAGTGGATGAGACAAACTTCCTTTTGAGTGAAGCCATCAGATGATCCAGTCAGAAAGCCTGTCTTCTTCTTCCCGTAAAATGGAATGATGTTAATCACATAAGATTTTCAGTGCCTTTGCTCAGCTTGAGAAATTGCTTCGTGACTCTGTTCTTCATTGGTAGAACTGTGTTGCTGTGAGCCACATGGCAGCAAGTAAAGGAATAAAAATATGGGTTAATTTAAGTTGTAAGAGCTCATTAGTAACAAGCCTAAGCTATTGACTGAGCACTTATAAGTCTCTGTGTGGTTATTTGTGAGCTGGCTGGCGGGACAGAGCTGACTGATGGTCCTGATGGAAAAACTCCACCTATATTGTGAAATTGCCCAAACTAAAATTATTACTCTATTGTTAAAAAGACTGCTTAATTTCGGTGTATGAGGTTGTTTTCACTTATTTGCAAGCTTTTTGTAATAAAGTTTATTAAAAAATAGTAAAGAAGATGAGATGGTAGAATTATATGAGAAAACATAGTTTGGTTCTGAGAATGAATGCTTGTTCTCATAGTTTTCTTATACTCACTAGAGTTCCTTACATTAAATATAATATGGTCTTATTTGACAGAAAGTTTACAAAGAAGATTTTGAGAAGGAGATTAAAGGGAGGTCCTCACTGGATTTAGACAAGACTCCTGCATTTCTACATGTGAAGTACATCACCAACCTGATGAGGGAGGTATGGCCTTGTGCGTTTATATTACATGTCACAAAAGAGGAAAACTGGGGAAGTGAATTCAGAAACATCTTAGCAGTTCTCTACTAATTGCATATTTGTGATGTGAACTATTTTTTTTTCTGGCCTTTACTAACAGAGCCTTGCATTTTCTTAACACAGGGATGTGTAGTTAGTATGTCTACTTACTTTTGAAGAAAGAAATTGTCCATATTTTCTGGAAAAACTTGAAAATTGTTCTATTTTTGCATTGTGATTCTAGCTCAGAAGCTTTGTGGGTAGTGAGTTTTATAGTTTCATAGCAGCTGGTTTTTACAAATAATATTAAGTAAAAGCTTGATTCTCTCTCATAACCCATATATATAATTATATATGTGGAATTATATATAATTTTTATATTACATAAACTCTAACATATATTTATAGTATATATAATATAATATACATGGAATTACACACACACACACACACACACACACGTAGCTAGAGTTTTCCTGACTGGCCCACAGTCAGGACAAACTCTCTCACCCGCCAGTCCCACAGCCGTTCAGACCCAACCAAATAAACACAGAGACTTATATTGGTTACAAAATGTATGGCCGTGGCAGGCTTCTTGCTAACTGTTCTTACAGCTTAAATTAATCCATTTCTATTAATCTATACCTTGCCACGTGGCTTGTGGCTTACCGGTACTTTACATCTTCCTTGTCCTGATGGCGGCTGGCAGTGTCTCCCTCACCCAGCTTCCTATTCTCTCAATTCTCCTCTCTGTTAGTCCCGCCTTACTTCCTGCCTGGCCACTGACCAATCAGTGATTTATTCATTGACCAATCAGCAACACATTTGACATACAGACCATCCCACAGCACACACACACACACACACACACACACACACACACACACACACACACACATATATATATATAAATATAATTTTTTTATTTAGGGAGATGTGAATGTATGCAGTGCCCCACTACCACAGATTATGCAGCTGAGTTTTCCACATTTTGGGAGAATTTCAGGGATCAGCACATTAGTGCATAGGCTAAGCATTGTCCTGAGAAACCCACTTTCTATTTCTTCTCCTGTTTTTTTCTGTTTGTTTGTTTTTGTTGTTGTTGTTTTCTGAGACAGGATTTTTCTGTGTCACAGCTGCTCTGGCTGTCCTGTAACTAACTTTTTAGATCAAACTGGCCTTGAACTCACAGAGATCTGCCTGCCTCTGCCTTCCTGAGTACTGGGATTAAAGGAATTTGCTACCATGCCCAGCTCAGAAAACCAATTTTTTGAAAGCTTGATTCTCTTAAATTTAGTTATCATAAAACATATTCTACAACCAGTTTTAATTAAAAAAATTTAATCTTAACTTTTAATTATGTGTTCTCCCATGGCTGTGTACATGAGTGCAGTGTCTGTAGAGGCCAGAAGAGGGCTTCAGGTCGCCTGGAACTGAAGGTGTGATACACCCAAACTGGGAACCTGAGTCAGGTCCTCTGGAAGAACAATTCATGCTCTTAACTCCCGAGCCAGTTCTCCAGCTCTTTGCGTAGTTTCCCTGCAGCATCATGACATTTGATATCAGAAATGAGGGACTCACTTAGGAAAGTCTGAATAGAGGATTTATTTAAAAGTTCTCTCTCTTCTATGTGGGGAAAATTACAGAGTTAGCACACAGCACAGAAGAACTCATTGCTGTGTTTTGCTTTTATCTTCTTTGAATTTTTCTTGAAATCTTAATTAAAATTTGGCTCAAAGTAAGGTATTAAATTTGTTGAATATTAAATTTCTTAGCTTTAATAAATCAAGACATACTTGTACATCAACACTTTGAAAAAATTAATCCATTTCCTCCAAGTGGCTCAAAGCTAACTGAGAGCTCTTCTAATTCTATTGTGATATGCTCATCTAAATGATTATATTTTAATGCAATCTAAAATGTAATGTATAAGTAGAATACAAAAAGAAAAGTGAAGTCCCATCTTATTCTAAATTTTTGAATCAAAGAAATGATTCCTCTGGAAGAAATGTCTTAAGCCAGTGGAATGAATTGAAGCATGATTTCCATTTGGAAGCAGCTTGTTGTCAACTTTTAATAAGCAAATGATAGCTGGCCTTTGCCATTAAAGTGGCATCAGAAATTACCGGGATTCTTTAGAACAGCTTATAACATCTATAGGGATTCGCTTGTACTTTTTTTTTTGTCACTTCTTATTCTTGTAAATTTTCTTGAAACTGAGAACAAATAAATGAGTGTCCTGTAACTGCTCTACATTTTGAAACTATACTCTTTGTATGCATATTAAAGCTGGATCTTCTAATCATTTGCATACAGATGACAAAGTGAGATTAGTCCTTTCCTTCTCTTCTTTTCTTCTTTCTTAATGGGGAAAAATATTGCCCTAATTCTTTCAAAGGAAGTATGCAGAACAATAATGCTATAACTAAAACATAGTAAGATTCAGTTGATAACATTTTGAACTTAGGGGTCTGAATGTCTGAACTGGGCAGGAAAAGGCCCAGAAAACTATTCACTGGGTTGAGCAGCTTGGGATTATTGTAACAAAATATGGTAGACTGAGTGGTTTCAAGTTAGACATTTCGCCTGACTCTGAAAACCAAGCCCCAAATCAAGGTGCTGGTGGATTTGGCTCTGGGTGAGAGTCCTGTTCTTGCTGATGGCTTTCTGACTGTTGTCACTACAGCAGAGGAACAAGGGAATTCTGGCCTCTTTTTCTATGGAACTTTTAATCTCATCATAGGACCTACCCTGTAACATCATCGGAACCTAACTACTTCCCAAAGAAGCTAGGGCTTCAACACATAGATTTCTAGAAGGGACACAAGTATGTCGTTCATAATGGCTGATCTTTCACTTAGTTACATAGAAATATCTAATGGAAAAAGCCACTTGGTTACTTAATACAATTATAAATTTCTCCATATAAGCCCTTAATTGTAAATGTATTCTATGCTCCGTTCTTTATGATTTTATATTGCCATGTAGAGTCTCCAAATTATCACTTTTTATTCTAAAATGTATGTTTTATGTAAGGCCTTTGGCTGTTCCAATATTTTGCCTGATTTTCCTCCATTGCCCTTTGGCATTAATAGGACGTTTATTTTATTTCCTTTTGTTCAGATGGAAATGGAGACTGAGTTACTCAAAGGGCCTCCTAAAGGTCACATGACCAAATTAGTAGAAACTCTGACTTTTATCAAGGTCATTTGACTGAGGGCTATTTCCAAAATCACAGGCAGGCTTGACGAAGTCCTCTAAAGCTATTGTTTGATCAGAAATCAAGCTAATTTAATGATTTAGGATGGGGGGGGGCATGTGCCATGACAGGAACCCCAGAATTAACTGCAACCTGATTTCTTATCATTAAAGGGAATTATTTTTATTTAGCAAAATATTCATAAAATGAAACTTGGTTTGATGGAATAAGATATTATTTTATAATGCAAGTAAATAAGGAAATAAGAAACTTGTCAATAGAGAATAATTTATATACAAGAGTCTGTAAAACAGCTGTGACTACTTGGGATGTAGCTCAGTTGGCAGAGTGCTTGTCTAGCATGCACAAAGCCCTGGGTTCCATTCCAGCACCACATAAAATGGGTGTGGTAGTCTGTACCTATAATCCCAGCATTCAGAAGGAAGGGGAGAAAGATCAGAACTTCAAGGTCATATTTGTCTGTGTGGAGATTTCTAGGCCAACCTGGGCTGTATGAGACTCTATCTAAAAAAAAAAATTGAAAAAAGTGATATTAAGACAGACATTCAAAATCTATGTTAACAATTTTCAGGAAATTATTTGGTATTTTTTTAAAAACAATTCTTTGAATAAAATACTTAAAAATACCTCTGACTACTGCAACCTTTGGCTTTGTAATTCTTTTCCAGTAAGTTCTTTTAGAAATTCACATTAAATAGATATTTCCAAAATCACTTCAAATAAAGAAGCCTATTTATTCTTAAGATTTTCTTCAACACTTAAAGGGAAGATATCTTTTTAAAGAAGTTCAGTATGATGCCAAAAGATATTGGGAGAAAGGATGAAGCACTGGTAAAAGTGGATGCCACTTTGAGTTTGATAGAGGAGAAAATTAAACGTCAATGGGAAAAGGCAAGAATGTTCAGCATCTAATTTTTTCCTTCCTAGCAATATTTTCTCCTGTCTGTGGTCTCTAGAAGACATGTAAACTGGCATATGAGTTAAAGTAATTGCAGAGATACCTTCAAGTGAAATATTCTATTCTTGTCTTATAGAAAGAATATAAAAAAGACTTGGAAAATGAAATAAAAGGGAAAGGAATGGAACTTAGTTCAGAAGTCCTTGATATTCAGAGAGCAAAGCGAGCATCTGAAATGGCCAGCGAGGTGAGTGGGTTTTTTTTAGCAGCTCAGAATGAGAACATTTTCAGCTTCTTTCCCTACCAATACAGCTTTCTCAAAGGTTCTATATGACACAAGTTATATGTGTGGATGATAATAAACAGCCATGTCATAGTAAGGCTTTCCCCAGGAAGCAAATTAAAGGTAATTTCATCCTCACCATCTTTCTATATGCAGTAGGTGCAGAAAATGGTCATTTTTAAAGAAATTTGTCTCATAGACAAAATAGTCCTATGAGATTTGACCTGGTTATTTAAAAGCAAGTAAAGGCATACAGTGAGACAGGTGTGGCCTCATGTTCTGGCATCAGCTGCAATTGAACGGCTTGTGCTCTCTTGCTTTTTAAGCAATACACATTTCTAGTCTTCAACTGGTTGCTAAAGAGTTAAACCTCTGTATGGAGTGAAAGTAGTTGCTTCTCATTTCATATGAACTTTATAAGAAGAAATGAAATGTCCAAGAAGTAGTTTCAGTCTCCTATTCCTTATATTATTATGACGTTGGTATCACATAGTGGCTTTGTGAGACTCTTTGTGGTTAGAAAGCTTCACATGAACCTGAGAACCTTACTTCAGGCACCCACCCGGCACACGCATGGCCTCTGGCACCTGGTTAGAGACCTGGCCTCCTCTGCTTTGGCCCCACCCACTCTGACCTAAGAACCCTGTTACAGGTACCTGACCATACTGTCCAGGACCAACACCTGGTAAGAAACCCAGCTTCTCCTGCTTCAGGACTGTCCACTCTGATTCAATTCCCCAATCAAAAGCCACAGACGAAGCCACTGAATTAGAAAATAGTGTCTACCTTTTTGTTGTCTACAAGAAATAAACATCACTTTTTTGACTAGACATTATCTTAGAGTGAAAGATGGGAAAAAATAATCTAAGCAAATGGGACCAGGAAACAAGCAGGCATAGCTGTTCTGAATTAACACAAAGGACTTCAAACCAAAACAAATCGAAGAGACAAAGAAGACCACTTCATTCCAATCCACCAAGAGGACATTATGATTCTAGCACAAGTCCACCAAAGTTGGCTGCACCCAATTTCATAAAACAAACACTACTAGGTATTAAGTCACAGATTAACCCCAACATAGTTACAGTAGTGACTTCAAGATCGACTTTCACCAATGGTCAGAATGTAATCAGAGAAACAGTGGAGCTAAATGGCATCATAGGCCAAATGAACCTGATAGATATTTACAGAACATTCTACTCAAACACTACAGAATACACATTTTTTTTGGTCAGTATGCCACAGAAGTTTCTCTAAAAAAGACAATATATTAGTACACAGAGCAAATTTAAGAAAATTGAGATAACTTCATACATTCAATCTGACTGCAATCAAGTAAATCTTTGTTAATAAAAATAACAGAAAATAAATAACAGAGAAACACCAGAAGATGTACAAACTCATGGGGATGAAACTACTCAATTATCAAGTATTTGAACTTTTGAGGAAATTAAGGAAGAAATAGAAAAAGTCTTGGAATTAAATAAAAATGAAAACATAACTTACTAAAATCTCTGGGATAAAATGAAAAAAAGTCTTAAAAGGAAATGTGTTGCTCTGAGTGCTTACATTAAAAACGAGATGGACTTCAAACAGATAATTTAATAATGCACTCAAAAGGTTTGGAAAAACAAGAACAACCCAAACTGAAAGAAGTAGATGGGAAAAATAATTGAAACCAGGGCAGAAATTAAAGAACGAGAGACAAATATGCAAACAAGACAATATGAAGAGCCAACGACATGAGAAGTTGGTTCTTTGAAAAGATAAATGAGATTGACAAACCCTAGCCAAATTAACTACGAGAAAGAGAAGATCCAAATTAATAAAATTAGAGATGATAGGGAGACATCACAACAAACTGAACATAGGCACACATGGAAAATATCGTTCACCATGACCACATTAGCTTTATCCCAAAGATGCAGGAATGGTTTAATGTATGCAAATTGATAAATGTAATAAAACTTGTAAATGGACTTAAAGACAAAATATACGATCATCTTAGCAGATAGAGAAAATTCTTTTTGACAAAGTGTAACATCCCTTCATAATAAGAGCCCTGGAGACAACAGGATTGGAGAGAACATACCTCAACATAACAAAGCCTGATATGTATGTCAAACCCATAGCATTTTTGCTAAATGGAGAAAACTTCAAAACAATTCCATTAAAATCAGGAACAAGACAGAGCTGGCCACTGTCTCCTGTCCAGTTCAATACAGTGCTTGAAGTTTGGCTAGAGCATGAAGATAAGAGCAGGAAATAAAAGGGATGCACATAGGTAAAGAAGTCAAAATGTCCCTGATTGCATTCTTCACAGAAATTGATAAAGCAGTTTTGAAATCCATATGGAAACAGGAAAGACTACTAGTAGCCTGAGCAATCTTCTTTAGTTGTGATAATGTGGCCAGTCTACATTGAGGGGTCAATCTTATTATTGCTTGTCAATTATATCTGGAGAGTTTACTTTAAACTAAAAATGGTAGGGTCCAGTTGAAAATTGAGTGGTAAGATGGTAGTAGGAATAGCAACAAAACAGACTTTGTTAAAAAAAAAAAAAAAAAAAAGGGACTGGAGTGGCCATCTAGAAACAGAGACTAGAGAAAGCCATCTTTCTATTCCTAAGTCCCACTAATGATGGGTTCTGTGTTTGTTGCCTCATTTTCCTCACTGTGGATCTCCCGTGGAGCAATGCTTACCCTTATTTCACAGACAAGAAGGAATTACAGGGATCATCTGTAGTATTTATGGCTCAGCTTCTGAGTGCTCTGGCCTCATTCTCAGTCTACTCCCTATAGCATGAACCCATCTGCATTCCTTTGTCTCCCAGTGTCCAGGACAGCACTCCATGAAGATTATCACTCAACAGTTGCCCTTTTAATAGTGTAAGAACATCTCCAGTGAGAACAGTGGTTCTAATTATGTATACTCCCCAAATTGCTTAGTTCTGTGTGATCATGGATAGTAGTAAACATTCCATTCTCTTGGACATTGGTTATATACCTTTTTTCTTGTGTGTGTGTGTGTGTGTGTGTGTGTGTGTGTGTGTGTGTGTTGTATCCATTCATGTATATGTGTTTGCACAGGTATGTGATATTTGGCCAAAGGTTGACATTGAGTGTCTTTCATGATTGCTCTCTACTTTATTAACTGAGGGTCTCTGCTGAACCCAGAGCTTTCTGATTTGTCTAGTCTAGTCTATGTGGCTTCTGAGGGATCTAAACTCTAATCTTAATGCTTGTATAGTAAGTGCTTTATCCACTGAGCCATCTTACAGTGCTCTTTTGGTCTTTTAAAAATGTTTAGTTTTTTTTTTAAATCATTAACTACAAGTATAAGTTGTCTACAGAGTGACTAAATTGTGCTGAGCATTGCTTTTACAGAAAGAATACAAAAAGGACCTGGAGTCAGAAATTAAAGGGAAGGGAATGCAAATTGACACCAATACACTTGAAATACAACGTGCCAAGAAAGCTGCCAAGATAGCCAGTGAGGTGAGTGGGGAGGGTCAGACATACTTCGAAACTCCTATTTTTGTACTCAACAATCATATCAGCAGCTAGAGTAGTGCATGGAATCTCTCAAAGCTTTGTGGGCTGGTTTGACAGTTTGGAATGGAAATCATGTCAAATCGTGATGTTGATTTGAAAATGTATAGTTTCCACTTTGCTTGTAGACTTTAAATACATCAAAGGAAGCTTAGAAAGAGACATTTTCATAGAATACACACAGATACATGCACACAGGGACGCACACCCTGACATATTTTATTCCTGTGTTACAACACATTTCATGTTAGTCTAGGGTATGATAAATACTTTTATAGTGCGTTTCTATAGTATAGTTCATATTCTGCTTAGTGTATTTGTGTTTCCAATGTTTTGAGGAAAACATAGAAACCACATGTTGAGATTTTAATGTGAGTACAATCTTTGTTTCTATGTGATTGTGTGTTTAGAAGACTTCCTTTGTTCATTTTATATCTGCACTTGAGATTTCTAGATTCAGCTTTTGGATTAAGAGATGATATGTCTTGAATGACCATGTGCATTCATTCAGTGCCACTTTCTCTTCATGCAATGTATATGAAGATGTGAGTATAACAAAACTGTAGGAGTCAGACCATATGTACATTTTCTAGGGAGATATCCGGGATTGTGTTCCATGCTTCCTGAATCTCCTCAGTGATTCTGAGAGTACAAACAAGTCACTCGAATTTGATAGTGTTTAGGATAAGGCAGTTATATAAGAGTACTATAGAAAGCGGGGGTGCAGATTAAGGAGGGTGATTTGCTTATCTCAAGGTTTGGTAGTGAGTCTTCACTAAGGCTACTCTGAGAGCTACCATGACTCTCACAGCATAATTGGTCATTTTTAGAAGTTTGTTGTAGACTTTCAGATCTGTATGTATGATATATAGACAAACATGATCTTGTATATACAGAGACTTAAGTAAACCTTAAATGCAGTTATGCTGTATAATTTCCTTTCTTTTGCTTTCATTTACTGTTGTGGATTCTTTTTCATTACTTCATATAGTTGCCTAAGTCTTTTAGAAAAATTATGTGTTTTATAATGTGGATGTGGATATGAAGCCACTGAAATTACTGTTGTCCATGTGTGTAAGATCTCAACATGTTACACCAAGATAAGAACTCTTAATTTCTCCCCTACCTCTTCTTATCTCTTCTGCCTCTTCAAATGGTATCAGACAAGCCTTAGATGTCACCTTGATTCCACTCATCAATTACACCTTGTGACAGTATTGTAAATCCATTTACATTTCCCTGCCCCAGACTAAGGTACCATATCCATTCTCAGAACTGATGCTGTCATGAGGGAGCTATGTCAGAAACACAGACAGACATACTTGTGTCTCTCTACAATGTCAGCATATATTGAATAACACCAAAATTCATAAGGTTTAGCAGTTTTAATGACATTAATTTGCAATAAAACCCACCCACCTTGGTAGCATGGACAAAGTAAATGAAAGTTCTTTCTTCTAATTCTTCTAATTGTTGTTCTGTCTTAATTACTGTTAACTCTTATACATCACTCACACACACACACACACATATACATACACACACATATACTTGGTTACAGAATGAATATAAGTAAAAGCAGAATTCAAAGTTCAAGAGGTTTTAGAAGTGGCCTAAAAAATGTCTGTGTAGATAAAAAATGAACTAGATCAGCGTGGAGAAGGAGCTGCTGGTGGAGTTGAAACCAGATGTGAGAGCAAAGCTGCAGAAACCAGAAGTGTAAAGACAAAACTGGGTCCCGAGTGGAAAATGGGTCAGGAGCAAGGAACAGATGGGCTTCACGGAACAGACCTGGTCAGGTACAGATCGAGAAGGTATGAACAGGATGATGAGTAAGCAGTTGGGTAGCTGTGTCAAACAGTGGGGGACTGAGCCAGGTCAGGGAGTCCTCGATCTTCCATCATCGGCACACATCAGGTAGGAAATTATAGGCTTTCTGGGGCCATTCCACCATTGTGTTAGTTATCTGTCATTTATGAAGGCCAGGTGAGAGCATTACACTTTTGCTCAATGTGGTGTGCCCCATAAATTCTTGAGTTTCCCTGGTATAATTTTAGCACACACATGTGCCTCCAATTTAAATTCTTCCTAATAAACTTGTAGGCTGGCTCCCTTTTTAGCCTCAGGAATGAGCCATTAATCAGTGTGTGCTAGAGGAGTGATGTCTGATAGATGGTGTGTTTTGGGGTCCACCAGGGGGCCACAGTCAAAACTTAGTCAGAGACTTCTATTATGGAATATGAAGGCAGGGCAGAGCCCAAAAAGCCAGTATTATATGATATGGAGTGGCTTAGAGTAGGGTACAGCATGATTTCAACAGTTGTAGTGAATTCTTAGCCCAGATTCTGCCTCAGTGTTCTCTCTCTCTCTCTCTCTCTCTCTCTCTCTCTGGTTTTTTCGAGACAGGATTTCTCTGTGTGGTTTTGGTGCCTGTTCTGGATCTCGCTCTGTAGACCAGGCTGGCCTCGAACTCACAAAGACCTGCCTGGCTCTGCCTCCTGAGTGCTGGGATTAAAGGCATGCAACACCACTGCCTTGCCAGTTCTTGTTCTCTTAATGTGCATTTTTTCATCACAACAGCCATACTTTTATGAATTTTTCTTATTCTTATTTAGAGGCTGCATCCAGTATTAGTTCAATTTAGCAGACTAGAGTGTATTACAATGGGGGTGGGATTCAGGGCTAGAAAAAGCAGCTTATGAAATTATTATCATTAGAATGGCTGTTGGAGCCAACTGAAAGCATCCCTCTGGAGCAAGGACTACAGAATAAGTAGAAACTATGAATTTAACCTTCTGCCTAGTAGCAGGCTTCTGAGACATATGAGCCCCCCTTTTTTAGTAGATTGATTTTAATCACTCATTTTTGTACACTAGATTTTTCTGTTTTTTTTTTATATGTGTTAGGATAATAGTGTGAATTTAGTTAGTGACAACTGAAGAGAAAATAGTCTTAGGGGAGTCAGCTGTGTTCCCCATGGCCCAAGGAGATTTTGGAGATACTGAGATGCTGTTATCGTTGTACTCTTAGTGGCTCATTTGTATATAATCTTAGTTATTCATGTTCCATCTTGCCAAATTGACAGGCTCTCAAATCCTTTGCAATTAAAGTTTGGGATTTTGCGATTGATTTTTAATATCTAAAGTGGAGTTTAAAAATAGTGTCAATGTGATATATTGTTGGGCCAGTATCCTCCAGTAGTCAAGCTTGTACCGTTTCTGTGGACTCTCTATAGCCAATGAGACATCAGCAAACTGGACTCAGTCAGGGGCTCTCAGGACACTTGTGTGTTTGGGTTTGCTCTCTTGGAATGAAGCTGTTATATGCTGTTTCAAGCCTTCCAGATTTGGAGGTGTTTTGTTCAAACAATGATGAAGTTGCCTAGTGATACCTTTTACAGAATGTGTCTGGTCATTTTGAAAGGTTTTGCATTGCTTAAGGATGATAGGGTTCAGTTTCCCTTCGTGACTCAGTTCTCAGACAGGGTGAATCTGTTGTCATTCATAACCAGGAAGAAAAAGAAAGGCTCTTCTGATATACTTCATGGTAAAGGAAGTGCACTCATCCCTGAACTAACCACATAGAACCAAAGACGGGGTAGAATGATTTATTTAAGTTCCATAGGGTCCAGAGACTTGGGCAAATATTACATAAACCCAGTGATTTAGAATGGAAGTATAATAAGTTGCAACCATCGAGAACAGCAATAATTTTATAGTTACTTTATTGATAGTTATCAACCAAATTATATAGTCACCAGTAAATTTTCAAGTTTATCATTGGAATATAAGTTTTCCCAATCTAGTTCTGTACTTTTCCTTAATTCAGCTTAGTAGACAAAGCCTCCTGGTTATGTATGAATATGTTACTGCACATCCTACTTCTATCTTGGTATATAGAAGTAAAAGAACAGGTCTAACCCAATTCCGGAACATATAGTCCTGATGTCAAAATGACATCATGTTTTTTTTCAGCACCATTTTGAAATGATTGCAGAGTACTGTGCATTTTATTTTCTACAGAAAGATTATAAAAGAGATCTGGAGACAGATATTAAAGGAAAAGGAATGCAGGTCACTGCAGACACTCTAGATGTTCGGAGAGCTAAGAGGGCATCCGAGATAGCCAGCCAGGTAAGGAAGGTGTGAACACAAAGTCTCAAATGAAGGTCCTGGAGGAGGGTGAATGTCACTTTTCTGTTAAAACACATAAATAGCAATATGGTCCTGGAAAGTTAAGCAAAGAACTGAGATTATTTTCTGTTCTTCCAGAAGCAATATCGGAAAGACTTAGAGAATGAAATTAAGGGAAAAGGAATGCAGGTGAATATGGATATCCCAGATATGCTTCGAGCCAAGAGGGCATCTGAAATCTACAGCCAGGTTGGTAGAGGATGAAGATACTTACAGTAATGTATACTAATCCCATCACAGTGTGCTTCCTGAGTCTTTTTGATTGACACCTTCCTGGAGACATTGCCTTCAAACTTAGAGCATTTTTATTAAGACCCTCCCTATCAAACTTGACTAACATTAGTAACTAGAAGGACAGTGGCTACAGAGCTAACTTAGGAGCCATTATAAAGTGCCAAAGTCCCACATGATCCCCCTTCTTTGAAGCCAAGAATGTTTTGACCTTATTTTTATTTTTAACTATATTATGTGCTTGCCTTGAATATTCTTTGTTCATACAACAGAAACGTAATTCTAAAAATCTTTTATTTCCATTTCACAATGACTAATATTTTAAACAGCCTTCAATAAAACAAAGTAGTAAAAATTATATTGTACTGATAATTAATGTTAGCTAAAAATTAGGAGAAGACCAAGTTTTCTTAGTAAAACTTATTTGCCAAATATATCTGTCACATATTCTTCAAAAACTTAAAAAGTTGGTCGTGAATAAGGGCAGTAATATTCTTAGAAGGATGAATGTTACATCTCTCATATGAAGAACCTGGATTTAAACACACACACACACACACACACACACACACACACACACACACACACACACACACACACACACGGGTGGAGACTGGAAAAAGTCTATGTGTAGAGGCAGGAACTGCTGGAAAGGGAGAAGAGGAACCCAGTGAGTGATAATGGGAAAGGAAAGACATATCCTGAGAAAGATAACATCTCAAAAAAATATTCATAGAACAAGTTGCTTATAAAACCTGATTTGGATTTAAAATGCATTATTTAATCATATCTTTGCTATAAAATTTACCTGAAAAGTACATCTCAGTGGAAAAAGTAATAAAGGAGAATGAAAAGCATGAAATTGTTCTGGAAGCAGCGAGTTAGATTTGACTAATGGAATTTATGATGAAATTAGTTTTGGCCCAAATTGGACACCTTTGCTCAAATTCTGAATAAAGCAAACCACTAAGTGTCAAAATTGGTTGGTTCAAGGTGGGGGTGTCAAGATGGTGGAGCAGAAATGGGGGAGCACCTGTCTGCTCCTCAGTCACCCGGGACTGTGCAGCAGTTGGAATAGTCCTAAAGTCACGGTGTTCCGTCCCTTGTGACTCATGCTGCACGAAGGCAATGAACTTGGAGACACTGGCTGTATCCACATGAATTGAGTGCAAGTCTTAGGCAAGTACATGAAACAGGCAAATGGACGCATGAGCCAGTGAGGAAGGATGCAGTGACAGCTGCCTTTCAACACGTTGCTTAGCAAGTGGCTCTGTGCCATTTGGTTACCCACACTAACCAGAGTGCCTGAGTTGAGTCTCACTTCCCATGCTTACTAGCTGGTGCCTTGGTTTCCCCAGTTGACAGTGATATCTGTTTGTGGGATTGATTGAATGGATGAATGTGTGTTGGGTATTGAAACAATGTCAATTACATCATAACATTATGTGTTCTCATAGGAAGGATAAACCCAGGTTTTATTAAAGGAGCGTACAGTAGCTCATTTACTGGAGAGGAACTTGAGATGTTTAATAACTTTAACTGCAAAAGTCGTAGCATGTTTTCCTTTGCCACAGACCTTTATCAAAGGCAATAAACAAAGCTTGTAACAAGGTAGATGTAGAAAGTGGGGCCACCGCAGGAGTGCTGGAGGTACTGGGGCAGAGACTGAGTTCGCTCGCACATAGAAGAAGAGGTCCCAAGTTTAGGAAAGATGTAGAAGTCAATCTCTCTGAGGTTTCTGAATGGTCTGGGGGTGAGTATGATAGCCTGCATGGCAGTGGGGTTGCTGTGACAGATGGTGTACTCACAACCTTTATTTTAGTGGTTGTGGCAGCAGCTACTTTGAATCTTAAGTTGTAAATTATAGTCATGTGGTAGGATAAAGCTGGATGTGGTACCATATCCCCTCCTCCCTCCACATAGAGATTTCAATTTATAATAATTTTGTATTTTTAGAAAAAGTATAAAGATGAAGCTGAGAAAATGCTTTCTAACTACTCCGCTGTGGCAGACACTCCCGAAATTCAGAGAATCAAGATGACGCAGCAGAACATTAGCAATGTGAGTAGCTGCTGGATGAAGAGTTTGGGGCTAGACGAATTTCAGGTTTTGTTTGGATTTTGGAATGTTTGCATGTGTATGATAAGTTATAGTGGGGATAAGATGTAGGTCTAAACATAAAAGTCATTTGTGCTTCGTATACCCTTTATATGCATAGCCTGAGATAATTCCATGTGTTATTTTTGGTGCACTTGGGCTGTGACTGAAACACATCACAGGAGCCAGGTGTGGAGCTTTCCACTTGTTGGCTGCCAGAAAGTTCAAATTTCAGATATTTTGGTTAGGGATGCCTACTTTTTTTTTTTTTTAAAGAAAAAGATTTATTTATTCATTATGTATACAGTGTTCTGCCTGTGTGCCAGAAGAGGGCACCAGGTCCCATGATAGATGGCTGTGAGCCACTATGTGGTTGCTGGGAGTTGAACTCAGGACCTCTGGAAGAGGAGCCAGTGCTCTCAACATCGGGGCCTCCAGCCCCATGGATACCCAATTTGTATTTCTTTTACAGTTAAAATTAATTGTATGCTTGTTTACTCTTGTAGTTCTGGGGATTATATCCAGGACCTTGTTCATGTTAGATAAATGTGCTGCTACTGAGATATATCCCAACGACACCCCCTCCACTTCTAAAATGTTATATTTTATAACAATGTCTTTTCCCTCACTATCTGATTTTTTTTCTCAGATGAATTTATTTCTTCAAAATAAAAAAAATTATTCTCACAAATCCCAATTTTTTGGAATTCCATATCCAAATTTTGTGTTGGGCACAAATGACAGGTGTTAACTGGATTTTTAGCTGGGTAAAAGTGTTATCTTCCACACTAATTTTACTGTGAAGATGAAAGAAAACATATTAAGGGACTTTCCTCCAGATTTTCACTGAATTTGTGTAAACAACATACCTAGAGACTTCCTAGTTTAGAAACGATTCACAAACTTCCTGCTTTTATTTTGAGTTGCCTGTGTACAGTTAAGAAAGTAGGCCTCTGTTAATAGATAAATGTATAAACTTGAATTTTGTGATGGAATTATCAAATACAATATCAAATACAGTCAAATACAATAATGTAGAATTGGCTCAGTCTTTTAGTACTTAAGTACATGTCTAATCAAAAGGGCAAATGCCATTAAGTTTGAGAACCTCTGGAATACTCTCCGTTTCCTAATTAATTGCCTGACTCTCACTCTCTGGTCAGGGAGACTGTCTGGTAAGTCTGGGATCTCCTTCAGAAGGGCCAGGCTGTGCCAAGGGATGGGCAGTTCCCACTAGAAGGGTCGGAGAAGTGGCTGCTCCTGACTCCCGTGATATTCCTGGTTTTCATCTCTTTCAGTTCAGGTCTTACATCACTCTTCCAGACCCCTTGGTGCCCATTGGATTAGCCAGTGCTGGTAATGGGGATCTTTCTGTCCGCATGTGACTTTCAAGGGCCACTGTTTTTCTGTGGAGAACTTTTGGTTTTGTTTTGCTTTGTGTTTGGAAGGGGTAGGTGTCATGAGTGGAGAGATTTTCAACTCAACAAAGGGGAGGTGAGGAAAATACAAGAGTCGAGGCTGATACTGGTGATAGAATATTTTCTTTGGAGACCATGAGGGACTTTTGTATTTGGAAGATTAGCAGTGCTGTGAAACCTCCCTTGTTCGGGGCTAAATGCTAACTACTGAGTGAATTTCTCTAACACATGGTTTGATTTTTCTCAGATACACATATGCCATATATCTATATCTATAAAATCTCTGTATCTATCTATCTATCTATCTATCTATCTATCTATCTATCTATCTATCTATATTGGTCTTTGGAGACAGGGTTTCTCTGTGTAGCCTTGGCTGACCTGCCATATGTTTATATTTGAAGCAAGAAACTATGGATTACCAATTTATATTCTTAGGGCAAATAACCTGCCCCTAGCTAAGGTACTCATCATTCGTTAGAACAAATATTAACTGGGCTAAGAGGTTATGAGATCAGAAACCAAAGTCGGCATTTATTATCACAATGGACTGTTTCCTTGATTCATGTAATATTGCTACCATAAATAAAACCAGTATTCACACTACTGTAAAACCTGAGAAATTGTCTTGCTTCGTAACAGGCAGATCTAGGACTTGAATTCCAATAACCTTATAGTTCTTATTTTCCTTTCCCCACTACGAAGGTATCTTACAAAGAAGGAGTGGGAGCTGGCACAGCCCTAAGGAACACTCCAGAGATTGAACGAGTGAAGAAAACCCAGCACAATATCAGTTCAGTAAGTTCTCCACAGCACTAATTATCCTTTCCCAGAAACAAGGGCTGCATGCCTGTGTTTAGTTCTTTTCCCAGTAGGTTGCTTTTTATCTTTTATTCTTCGCTTTCCTGAAAGGTGATGTCATCAGCCATCAAAGGTCTGACTTCCAGAATGAAAACTACAGCCTTGTTCCCCTCCATCCTGAGGCTCCATTTCATTTCATTTAGAGCAGAGCAAAGAAGACATGGGCCATTTTAATAAAATCTAGGATTACATTTCATCTTTTGGAACAGAATTTTAGACAGGGAAAGGATACCTTGAATATTTTCCCACCTCTTGGAGCAAAGGAATTGTACCCCAATGAAATGAACAAAGGGCTTAGTATGTTTATTTGGTAGCTGAAGTGGTACAGATTTGTTTTTTAATGTAGCACTGACTCATTTCGTCCTGTGTCAATCACATTTCTGAGCCTTTCCCAAACACAGCTCTGTGCCCATATTTCTATTTTCTGGCCTTATTTCCCCTCTACTTCCTCAGCCAAGGAAAACACCTCAGTTGAGTATAAATTATAAAGAGATCTTACCCTATGGTGCTTTCGATTCTGGGGAATCGCAGGATCAGTGTTTAATGCTACAGGAGAAATTTTTTCCCATTTCCTGCTTGGCATGAGCAACAGATAATTCCTGTCCTTCCAGGAGGAGGGGTTCATCTGTGTGCATTTCATAGATTTAGTTTCTTGCCGTGGGTGTGAAAATGATTCTTTCCTTAACGTTCGTTCCCTGATCCGTCTCTTTACTTCTAGTCTCAGGGACACAACCTTCCAGAACATTCCTTTAAGTCATCCAGCTAGAGATGTTTTCATGACATGTATTGGGGCTAACTCAGAGTTAGGTGGTGTCCTGAGCATGTGACCAAGTGGTGTTTCTTTTGGAAAAGGAATTCCAGGAGGGACAAGGTGATGTGTACTTTAATGCAAAATTATAAAATTGTGCAGTCGAATCTTTGTGCCATGAAGGAAGCTCTGTCTTGAGGATAGCGTCTTGAGAGAGGACCTGGAGACCAAGGCCTGGATTAGAGTGAATGACATTTGTTCTGTTTAATGGGAATCTGAATCAGGTGCCACTTGAGTCTGGCAGAGAAGTTAGTTTGGGAAGGATGTGTAAAATGTTACATTCCTTCACTTTGCAATGACAATGTTTGAAATGCACCCAGCAATGCCATCAGTTACAAATGTTGTATAGTGTGTGTGGTGTCCAGTCATTCCCCTACAGGGAAATGACTGTGTTATTTTCGTTGAGTCTTTAAAAGCAAAAATGTTCATTTTTAATTGTGTTGGGCTTTTCACCCTAAGAAAATCACACAAAACAGTACAGTATGTTGTCTTTTCTCCCCCAGTCCTTTCTAGCAAACAATAAATGCAGAGGAGTTCTGTGTCTCTGAGGTTGGGCCATGACCCCCTACTTAATATTCAAATGGAAACTTGGCCTTTCAAGATTAGCCCGATCTGTCAAACCAGGAGGTGATTGGCTAACCTTTAAACATCCCGACATTTTCCACCTCTGAGGACAAGCCTTTTTGCTATTAGCTCTCTGTGCTAAGATCTGTTTTTGAATTTCATTTAGAGGAAACCTGTCTCAGTGAACTTTCCATTTAACTATTTTGGGTCTGAGTTGAGACTGGCCTCTTTACTCATGTTAAATTCACAGATACTAAGACAGATGGTATCTGAGACTTGGAGGGACTAGTGCTCTATGATAGCCTAGATTTCAGCTTTAAGCATTACTGAGGGATTGCTAAAACCTATTTGTTGTAGATTTAAATCTTTGCTAAATTTGCTAAATTTCAGTGTGCATTTCCCATTCTTACATAGGTAGGTTCTCTTTGCCGAGAGTCTAGTGTTCTGTGAATTTTAGTTATAAAATGCCACCTGGAATGGAAGACCTTGCTAGTTTGTTTTCTTGCCCCATGTATGATCATTTTTCCAATTTATTTTCCTCCAAATAGATCTACCTGAAGGGGAAATTCGTGGATGGAATGAATGTCAGGATGCAGGGTGGGTTAGTGACTTCTTTCCATGGTGTAACCAAACACCTGACAAGAAACCACCTAAAGGAGGAAAGACCATGTTGGCCTATGGTTTGAGGGACTACAGTCCATCACAGTGGGACACACTTGACTGTGGGCTATTGCATGGCAGGGGAGTGTGACTTACATCCTGGTGCCTGACCAGGAAACCAGAACCAGGGTGCCTACAATTCTAGTCTGCAACCCCCAGCTGGACCAGTTACTCTCCACGTGTAAAGGTTTCCCAGGTCCCCAGGATGCTGCTGCTAGCTGGCAGAGGATGTGAAGACACAGGAGCCTCTTCCCTTTCTCTTTTACAGTAGCCACATTCCCTTTTTTCTTGTTCTAGTCCATTACCTGTGTGCTCTCAGTAAGACATCAATATCTGCAAGACTCTGAGGCTAATTCAATTTGATTTTTGCCTTTAAATACAGGCTAAATTCTAATTAACACATTAATAAATAAAACTGCTCCTTAGAAAATAATAAATCATTATGTTAAGATAATTTCCAATACATTTTGTATATATGCTTAATTATAAAGCTTTTGGTCATAAGCAATGTTCATTTATATTAACCAAAGGATACCTATAGTGATGGATAGATGTGAATTTATTGGCACTTCAGGATAAAGAACCCAGAAAGCATGAGAAAATATAAGAAACTGTTTCTTACTGAAAAGAACATAATATTGGAACAAAAATTCAATTATACAGCAGTGACAATAGAAGAGTTCTCCACTATTTTAAGCTTTGGGTAGAATAAATTAACCATATCTTAAAATAAATTACCCAGGTGAAATACAAAGGAGGAAATAAGCATGCAGCAGCCATTTCAGATCCGCCCGAGCTGAAGAGAGCTAAAGAAAACCAGAAGAACATCAGCAATGTGATCGTATTTCCTTAAGTGTTTTTTTTCTCTGTTATTGAAATACCATACATGATTGGGAGCACAGCACCTGTACAGTTGAAATCTCACGACAATGAATGCCACTATGTGGGGTCATTCCTTGGAAGTGGAGATAACATTCCATACTGCTTCGTGTCCTCCATTATGTGCTTTTTGGGCTTTTTTTTTTTTTTTTTTTTTTTTTTTTTTTTTTTTTTTTACTGAAAGTCTGCTCTGTTTGTGCTCTGAGGGGAATTCAGCAAGTGAGACAAGACTACAAGGGTCTTTGGGTAGTCTCAAGGTCTCAAGAGGAACAGTGCATAAATTACTATTATGCATTGTCTTACATACTGTCACAGTGATTTGTATTTGTTGACTAGTTACTAATTTTTTTGAATATCTGACAAGCATTGTCTTTTTTAACCATAAGCAATAGTACTTCTTGCAAAGTGTTCTGGAAATGCAGAGTATGTCACAGGGGGAGAGGGACAGTCTTGGAGAAGGAACAAAACTGGAGTCTTGCCTTAGAGATTCAAGAATGATTTCAGGTGGCTTTTGTGAGGCAGGGTCTTCTTGCGAGGGAAAACTAGTATTTTCAGGACCCAAGCCTATTCACGGGGGAGGGGACTGAAGTGATGAGGACGTGGGATGGAGGGTGGCAGGAGGTGATGGTGGGATGGGAGCCGCAATGCCAAGCCTAAGACTGTAGTATGGAGAATCACTACAGTGTGGCTCATAGATCATTTAAGGATATGTTAACAGCCCGAGTGTTGCTCAGACTTTGATTTGGTGATTAAGTTTTTTTACTCAACTACTACTACTTCTTCTCCTCCTCCTTCTCCGTCTTCCAAAAATGTGTTGTTAGTCTTCTATTTATGATAGGAACAGTACTCTGTAGTTGGTTGTTTTTATTCTTTTGACTCCTTGGGGGCCTGTCACCCAGCTCCCAAATAAATACACAGAATCTTATTCTTTTTTATGAATGCTTGGCCTTAGCTTGGCTTATTTCTAGCCAGCTTTTCTTAAATTATCCCATCTAACTTTTGTTTCTGGGCTTTTATCTTTCTCTATTCTATACACCTTTCTTTGCTTCTTACTCCATGGTTTGCTGTGTAGCTGGGTGGCTGGCCCCTGGTGTCCTGTCTTTCTCTTCCTCTCACTCCTTGATCTTCTCTCTTCCTCTTCTATTTATTCTCCCTGTATGTCAGCCCCACCTATCTGCTCTCTCATGCCTAACTATCAGCCATTCAGCTCTTTATGAGACCAATCAGGTGCTTAGGCAGGCAAAGTAACACAGCTTCACAGAGTTACACAAATAGAGCATAAAAGAATGCAACACATCTTTACATCATTAAACTAATGTTCCACAGTATAAACAAATGTAACACTTCTTCAACTAATATTCCATCACAATGCTCTCTTAACTTCATTTGAAAACTAAGTGTATAATGGCATAAATGTCATAGAATTTACATGGTATGTCATGCATGCCAGTAGCAGAATCCAGGATGATTAGTTAACACTGAAGTGGTGGAGAGGAACATGGACCCTAGAGTACTGATAGGTTTGATTCCAGCTGTGGACTTCATTTATTATATACTCTTCATAGATTTTCACCTATAAAATTTCCCTTCTTCTAAAGCAGAGATTAGAGTATTAAAGAGATATTGCCTTTAAAGCACATGTCAAGTTGATGAATAGGAGAATCAGGACAAGCGTCTCCCACTGAATTGATGTCTGGGTTTCCATTCACTCACAATTGTAGTTTCTCCCTATCAGCAAAGCAGCTCCACAAATCTTTAGTTCAAGCTCTATCACGAATGATATTTCTACCAATAAAGATTACATGAAACATTTCTCATTGTAACTCTATCATTCCCACCCTGAGAACTTGCCCAAACTCTTACATGCAACAGTTCAAAGAATGTCACTTCTTAGGGAGAGGGTACATCTTAAGAAATCCAACCACTTCCATTTATTTTCCAGGCTTCTCAAAATTTTTTTCATTTTCATATTCATTCATAAGAGCATGCATTTCAATAGCAAGGTCTGTGGAAGGCCCTAAGGCTGAATTTAAACTCTGAAAATGCATTGACTGTTACTGTATAGCTCCTTACAAAAGAATTTCCTCTTCCAGCTTTACCTCAGCTGTCAGAAACTCTCAGCAGATATACCATCCCTTTGCTCCATGTTTGATGCTCCTTTATTTCGTGAGATGTTGTGGAATTGTTGGGATAGTTGACTGTGGATAGTGAAGTCATCTCCCTTTTCTGCCCTCAGCTAAGAAAGAAGATCCCTATGAAGTATGTTAGGGCATCTTCTGTATTGTTAGGTCAGATGTCAGGCCTTCTAACATTAGAACTTGGTAAGGAGGGCAACTGAGGTTCCTGAGAGTGTAGCTAGAGTTTTCCTGCCTGGCCCACAGTCAGGGCAAATCTCTGTCACCTGCCAGTCCCACAGCCGCTCAGATCCGACCAAGTAAACACAGAGACTTATATTGGTTACAAACTGTATGGCCGTGGCAGGCTTCTTGCTAACTTTTCTTACAGCTTAAATTAATCCATTTCCATTAATCTATACCTTGCCAAATGGCTCGTGGCTTACCGGCATCTTCACATGCTGTTTGTCATTGTGGCGGCTGACAGTGTCTCTCTGACTCAGCCTTCCACTTCTCAACTTTATTCTCCTCCTTGTCCCGCCTATACTTCCTGCCTAGCCACTGGTCAATCAGTGATTTATTTATTGACTAATTAGCAACACATTTGACATACAGAACATCCCACAGCATGAGAGGAAGGTTGGTAGAGGCAGTATGTCACTGAAGTGCATGCATTGGACTTTTGTGACCTTTGTTCTCAATGCTTCCAGTGATGGCAAGAGTCTATTGTACATTTAACATGACTTATTATTAAATGTTGCTGATTATAAATCATTTTAAAAGATGGTAATTTGGTAAACATTGCTTTAATGTTAAGAATCAGTGAACTCACAGAAGGGACAATTCCTTATTACTGATGAGATCAAAATCAGGAAGTCATCAATAAATTATATAGTGTAAAGATTAGCAATGAAAGGAATAATTTAGAACATTTGACAAGGAAAATTTTGGGGACTAGGGTCTCAAGAAGATGACATCTGGAAGAAGTGGACACAAAGTCCTACTACTATCCGAGAAGCTATTTCCAATTGATTCTTGCTGAGAAAAAGAAAATCAGCTTTGTCTAATGGAATATCAAACACACTGTAGGCCAGACTCCATGACCACAAGTAGCTGACCAACATGACAGATTCCATGTTTTTTGTTTGTTCATTTTTTGTGTGCATTTGTTTTATTTTGTTTTGGTATTTTTAGTTTTATTGCTTTTTTGCTTTTTTTGTCTGTTTCTTTTTTTTTAAGGGAAAATGACATGAAGTTGGGTAGGTAGGGAGGTGGGGAATATTTGCATTAGCAGAAGGGAAGAATATGATCAAAATACACTATATGAAAATTTTTTAAAAATAATTTAAAATGGTATCATGGAGGAAAAGATAAAATATTAATAATCTGTTTCATGTGACATTTCCTTTAATGTGTTCCAGTGGTACACATTTATTTCCCAAGATTCCGAACTGTCTTATGCTTTGTTCCCCAGCTCCAGTATAAAGAGCAGAACTATAAGGCCACTCCAGTAACCATGACTCCAGAAATAGAGAGGGTGAGGAGGAACCAAGAGCAGCTGAGTGCGGCAAGTCATTCTGTTTTCTTTTATATTTTATCTAACATGATGTAGTTTTCTTTTTAAAAACGTGCTCTGTGCCTTTGGGTAAGCTTTCACACATTCACACCTTGAAGGGCATGAAGTATGTCTCTTATGTGAGTCAGGAAGTTTGCATCGTGCTTACTTACTCAAGAGGTCTTCATGAAGGACCCAGGCTTTGTCCTGGTCACTGGGACACAAGGATCCACAAGAGCCTTTTAGCTTACTGCTAAATCTCTGAAACTGCACCTCAGTAAGAAGCTGGGAAGTAGAGAGGTTTATGTATCAGAGGGGAAAGCAGTATTAGAGCTAGGACAAGAGAAGATTGTCTTGATGGGCACTACATTGTGCATTGCCAAGGCAAGGCACCTTATAAATGAAATGGAAGACATCAGCCAGTCATTTAATAATCTGTTTTAATAAAGCAGTCCTAGTTAACAACTGAGAGGGACCTCTGCTCTGTGCTAGCCCCTCTTTTAATACTATATCTGAACATCTGAGCTCAGCATTATTCATTTCTTTGACTGGTGGATGTGGAAAACTGAATTTTGAGGAGTCAGAGACCATGCCAAGGATCCATGGCAAGTAAAGACAGAGCTGGAACTTGAACTCAGGTCTCCTGAAATTTAGAAATCTCTTTATAGTAACCATAAGTATGGTGATATTTTATTTGTATTAAAATGTTATTTGTATGTTAATAAATAAAGTTGCCCGGGGGTCAGAGCTATTAGCAAGCCATAGGAAAGCAGGGCAGTGGTAGCGTACGCTTGTAATTCCAGCACTTGGTAGGCAGAGCTGGGTAAGTCTCTGTGTGTTCAGGGATACAGCCATTATTGGATACACATGCCTTTAATCTTAATACCAATCATGGAAAACCTGGAGGCCTATACAGACAGGCTGTGAGGAGGCGGTCATGTGGTTGGGTTTACAACCAATGAGAAGGCAGGACAGGAACTCTATATAAAGACTTTAACACAGGGGTAGCTCTGGTTCGGAGAGGTAGGACCACCGCAGGAGGAAGGGTAAGGTTTTAGCTCTTAGCTCTGACCTCTTGGCTTTCTTCTTTGCATTGGTTCTGTGTTTTTTATTTAATAAGAAGGTTGGATACATCTACACATAAGTAGTTACCTTTTACCTTTTATCAACCCTTTTTGAGAACTTTCCTCAATAGCGAAAATAACCTCTTTCTTGCAAAACTGGCATTTTGAAAAACTTGAAAACGTAAGAGTAAGTTCTCTCAGGTGGAGGAAGAAAATCAAGGTCAATATAGTTTATCTTTAATACCTCTGAAGGTGGAGGAAGAAGTCAGGGACTTTTAATGGTGGAAGCTTGGGGGCCACAAGCAGACTGAAGCGCTTTCCCAGCCTGCCCAGGGGCCTTCAGTCTTGTATTGTCATGGCATCTTTCTTGTCTTTCTTTTTAAGGGTGTTCCCTATTTCCATTTCTGTTCTTTGTAGAGTCTGTAGTTAGCTTTGACATGAAATAGGCTGCTTATTGGAGATCCCCTTTTAGGCAGCAGAATCAACACTTCATCAGTTGAGTTCAGTCAACAGGAAGCTACTGTGGTAAAAGCAAGAGTGGATTTGAGCCTGAGCTCCTGTGCTCATCATTTGGAGCCCTTTATACTGCCTAATAAAAGTCTTATCTATCCTCTATAGGTCAAATATAAAGAAGAGCTAAAACAGGCAACTTCCATTCCAGATCTACCAGAGTTGAAGAGAGTGAAAGAAAACCAGAAGAATATCAGCAATGTGTGAACATCTCAGTATTTATCATTTGTATTTAATGATATCAAATGTGTCAATATGCAGATGAAGGAATCATATTACAGCAGAGGTTCTCAACCTGTGGGTCGTGATCCCCATAGGGGTCACATATCAGATATTCACGTTATGATTCATAACAATAGCAAAACTATAGCTATGAAGTACCAATGAAATAATTTTATGTTTGGGGGTCACCATAGCATGAGAAACTGTATTAAAGGGCAACAGCATTAGAAAGGCTGAGAACCACTATATTAGAGAGATTTCCTATCTGAGTTGATAGTCTCCCTTGACTAACAGCTTCTTCAGAGGGCGGGGTCAGGGTGGTGGGTGCTGCAGAGTTTGCAGTGCTGGATTATGATGACTGTCCTGTAATTTGTGGCATAGTCTCCTCAACTTACTTTTATGCTGGTGATTTCTCTGGTTCCCAACCAAAGGCTGGGGTAGTTTCTGGCATCTTGGTCCTGCAGTCTAGTTTGCTCTGTTTCCTACCTGCCTGAATTCTTGTTTGTCAGGCCCCTCTTGACCATTTTTCTCACTCATGATGATTATTACTGTGTTTCTGGGGGAAAATGGTGAAGTATGTGTGGTTGACTGGATATATTGTGTGAAATGGACCAGTTAATAGGCACTTGACCCAAGACAGTGTTTTTACTCAGACTGGTGGACTACTCTAGATCCCTCTGTTTATATAACCCACTCACAGTTCACTGAGAGTATCCTTTTAGGAAGTCATTAACATACAGAGTGGGCTCCTTGGAAGAGGAAGTTCAGAAATCTATTAATCTTCAAAGAAATCTTTATGCCTCAAACTCATAAAGCCATTTGACCAATTTATGAGTCAAAGGTAGATTGTCATTTGATTCTTTTCCTAAGAGCTATCTTTTGGAAGAGTAGATTCATTTCTTCCCACTCATACTTAATGTGACTGTATTATTCTAAAGAAGGGATGTGGTTAGTGAAAAGGAGGAAGGGAATAGAGGGAAGCATGATGTCTTTACATGGTTTGCCATGGTCACCTGGAAAATACATCCTTTCAAGGCTCTGTTGTAGTTAATTTTTGAGAAAACACAGCTATGCAATACCATTCTATTCAAACAAGACTTGTAATATCCACAAAGCATTTCTTCTCATACCCATCTGTGATTAAAGGCTCACTTCAGGCTTACTGGTGATATATTTGAGCCTATCCACAGTGATTGAGAAGAGGTACACTGCTATGCCAAAATGAAATAGATGCTTGAAGATGAAAGCATTTTAAGCCCCCTTCTCCGTCGCCTCCCTTTCACCTTTGTTTTAATGAGTTCCAGTCCTTGGCTAGCCCTTTAAAATTAAATATGACGTGATTCTTTTTTGGTTGAACTGATTCACAATCTTCTATTTTCCTTCTCTGAAATGGTAGGTTTATTATAAAGGTCAACTGGGAAGGGCTACAGCTCTCAGCGTCACTCCTGAAATGGAAAGAGTGAAGAGGAATCAAGAAAATATTAGCTCGGCAAGTGGTTTTCATTAATTTTGAACCATCGCAAAGGATGTATCCTTTACAATTTACTTGTATTGTTTATTGTCTTATGAATAAAATATATTTCCAATAAACACATATACTACTGCAGATGAATTCCAAAAACTCTCACTATATATATCTGCAGTATCGTGCGATCCCTCATTAATATTCCCAGATGTGACTGATGGTTACATCTATAGTTTATTTAAGCCATTACTCATGTTATTATAGCCAGTATCTTTGAAATCGACCAAGTCTTTGATGTATAAGTTAAAAATAATTGTCATTTTACTTACGTACTTCAATGAACATGAGTTATTAAATGCTTTCTATAAAAACAAATTCAAAAATAAGTAATTCAAAATAAGAATTCAGAAGATAACAAGTTTAGTGCATTTCTTATATCAGTCACTCAGGAAAATGGTCCATGGTAAGTATGCATCGCTTTAGTAAATTCCAGGGCTCCAGGGCTCCATAGCAGGAATCCATGAAATACCCACAGATATGAGTATCAAGCCCTGTTCACAGCACACCTGGTGGTTCTCCATGCCTGGGGGGTCAACATATGGGATTCATAATTGACAATTCTCCCATAGCATTTCTGTCTAGAGAGATTGGGCATATTCAGCATCAATAGTCTTTAAGCTGTAGCTGCTCAGAAGAAAACACAGATCTGTTCCTGGTTGTTCCTCATTCTCTAAGCAGGGAAAACATCAAGGAAGCCAGAAGAGTTTCATGTGCTTCCCTCAGCACTCTGAGAAAAGAAAATTGCTTAGCAACAGAAACCATGATCAGGCTCTATTTCATGTTTTATTTGCCCTGTTTAAATGTGCTAAGCGGGTCCACTGGTGGTTATTACTGACGGTTAGCCACACATTTGTTTCTTGCTGACAGACTTAAGTCTTTCATACAATACTTTTAAGGGAAATCATCAAGAGTGTAATTTTAAGTGACTATTCTGGGACAGAATGTAATCCACTGAAAGAAAAGATACCTGGGAAGTAATTTTGAGTAGGTTGCCCTTGACTCATCCATTTGAAAAGCTTTAAAATGTTATGCAGTTTTTAAGATTATAGTTTTCCAGTTATATGGATGTCTGCTGTTTCTTTTGCAGGTGAAATACACACAAGACCACAAACAAATGAAAGGTAGACCATGTCTGATCTTAGATACACCTGCTTTGAGACATGTTAAAGAAGCGCAAAACCATGTTTCCATGGTAGGAGGCAACAGATCATTGTCTTCATGACTAAAACATACTAAGGAATGGCAAGACCTGTGTTTGAGTGGCATTAGTTCACATTAATCTGGACAACTAACAAAGCATGGGAATGTGAATGAGCCCTTGGGGCAAGGCATTATAATTACACTGAAATGTAATGAAAATATTTATTCTAATAAAATAATTTTCCCTCAATGATTTTTGGTGTGTTTTTATTTCTAACTTGATTACTATAAGTACATTTGTGAATGACAGCTACCTAGACTTTGTTTTTTACTTAATTATAAGACATATTTTGGCATATTTGCATATTATAAAGAATATTTTTGAGTATTTCAAAATCAATTTCATGTCAATTTTTTTACCATAAAGCTTCCCATTTAAAGTGTTTAGTTTAAGCTAGTATAATTTCAAAATGTTACAATTATTGTCCTCTTTGAATTTCAGAACATGAAAAGAATGTATGTTTTATAATATACACAATTTTCATAATTATATATGAAAATTTTATATAATATATATAACTCTCTTAATCTAATTTTAAATAGCATTGTCATCTTGAAGAATTATGCTCAAATAACTTATCATTATTGCATATTGCAGGTGAGAGGAAATCAATTCGTCGTCAAATTATGTGTTTTAAGAAGTAACTAATGTTTTAAAGCACTTGTCTTTTATACCTTACTAATATATAGGTTTATATATCATTTAAAGGAGATGCTATTTTTAGTGTCTAGAAATATGAAATTATTGGTGCTTCATTTCTGACATTGTTTTTGGAAGATTTGGGCAAAACATATCATACTATGTTATGTTTATTACATGTAATAACGCAGATGCACTTTATGTGATCTCTCATTCTGTAAAAGTTGTGTGAGACAGTCAGGAATTTCAGTTTGAATTAATAATCCTTTTTCTTTTTCAGGTCAAGTATCATGAAGATTTCGAGAAGACAAAGGGGAGAGGCTTCACTCCTGTTGTGGACGACCCTGTGATGGAGAGGGCGAGGAAGAACACCCAGGTTGTGAGTGATGCTGCCTATAAAGGTGTTCAGCCTCATGTTGTGGAGATGGATCGGAGACCTGGGATCATCGTTGGTAAGCGTGTGGTCTTCTCATGAGTATAAATGGTCAAAAGACTGCGCCTGCTCTAGAACTAGCTTCTGTATTCAACTGATTTCCCGGGTTTGATATAAATTCCAACTAGATCACAGGTAGAACGCTTTGGTACCATGCTGACAGGGATCCAGGGAATTCAGAAAATAGCATTGCCAGTATTTTCTATTCTTCAAAGTTCTGTTTAATATCACCTTGTTAAACAGCATCGTCCCAGAGAGGAGTGGTTCTAATGGTTGAACATTCTGCTTTCTTTAGCTTGTGTCCTTGCTTGGTGAAAGTATTCCACTCTAGACATCATGCACATGGGAAACAGCATAGTCATTTCTCCTTTATGCTCTTTGGTCATTAAACAGAGAATCTGATGATATTCTGGAACGTGAATCATTTGTATTTTTGAATAGTGCTTCTGAACTAGGATATTTGAGGGGCACCAGAAAGCCCAATTATTTAGAGAGGGGCCCTCTCTTTATTGTTTCTTTTTCTTACATTCAGTTCAGGGAAATCCTAGGGAATGTGGCTTGAGATATCAGCAGAAATCAGACTGAAGTATAAGCAGGCTGGAAAGGAAAATCATCAAGTCCTCAGTAAAGATCAAAATTCTGAGTCTTGTTTCCTGTGATGCACTCAGCCTCTGGATTTTTATATTTGCTGTGTTGCTCACTGTGTAGTTACTTTTACCATTGCTGTGATCACAGACACACACACACACATACACACACACACACACACACACAACTTAAGGAAGGATTTGTTTTGGCTCACAGTTCGAGGGCACAGTCTATCCTCGAAGTTATGGTGGGAGCAGCTTGTGGCAGGCAGTCACGTTGCATCTGCGGCTAAGAAGCAGTGAGTGATGAATAGTTGTGCTCAGCTCCCTCTCTCCCTTTCATACACTCCAGGGCCACAACTCATAGAATGGTGCCACCTGAATTTAGGACGTGCCTTCCCACCTTAATTAATGTAATCAAGCTAATTCCTCACAAGTGTGCCCAGAGATTATCTCCATGGAGGCTTTAGATTCTGTCAAATGGACAATACAAGCCCTCACAGTCAGAGAGGTTTGGGCAGCCATCATATATACTTCTCAGTAAGCTCACTGTTAGATTACTTTCCTCTTCAAAGGGAAGAGCCTCTGCTTGAGAGCCATAGTAGTGAAAGGGCATGGAGAGGTGAGTTGGGTGGGGAAGTATGTATTTGACAGAGTAACATTTTAGTCTAAAGCCAGAGTGCTGACATGAGACACCTGAGTGCCTTGGATCATTACCAAAGGGAAACAGTGTTTTCCGCAGAAACACTCCAGACTTATTTGTAGGCTATTGATAGCTTTACTCATTTTCCAAGGCTGATTATTTAGAGGGGTCATAGTAAGATGGATGGACAAATTATGATGTTTTCAGTAAAAGTAATGCAGAAGTAGAGAGTTTCATTGATTTGTGCTAATAACTCCTAAGACAGAGTGGTGTGATTCATCTCACCCTGGGGTCTTACAAAGACCAGAGACTAGGAATGACAGTGAAATCATTGCTAAAAACGACGAAACTGTCTAGACAGTGCTCTTAAGAGTTAGTATTTATAGTATTTTTCAATAGCAGTTATCACTATTTTTTAATATAGATTTATAACTAAAAATTATTTATTCAGTGGGCAATCTAGGAGTCAGTTTCTTTCTTCCATGCAGTGTGCATGAAGGCTTGCTTATGAAATCATAAAATGAAATACATTTAACCAACAGTAAACTTCCCAGTGAGCCAGGGTCTACATCATGCATACAAGTTCATATATTTGCTCGTCAATGTGGACCAAGACGGTTGGTGCTGGTCCTATTTGTGTTGTGGGGCTCTGCTGCTTGCTAGTTGGATGAACTTGGCAGACCTACTCAATCCATCTGAGCCTCAGGTTCCTTATCTATGGAATGATAATAACAGAAGTTTAGTAGAGATGATGCTTAAATGAGTCAGGTCATAGCAGAGAACAGTGCTTGACATATACTCCACAGTGTATAAGTGATAAGAAAGTCTTTGCCTTTAGTTCACTGATTATGTTATTTTAAGCTCACCTCATTTCTCCCATAACTGGGCACTTATTTCCCAGTAGTTTATCACTGCACAGCCCTCTTAGGTCCAGCCATGGTGACAACAGATACATTCAGAAATTATTAAATTTGAAGTTTGCCTGCAGCTACAGTAAAAGAAAGGCACATCGCCCTCCATGTTGTTAGTCAGGTATCTGTCATGGTGACAAAATACTTGAGAAATCAACTTAAAAGAGGAATGTGTTAATTTGGCTGACAGCTTGAAGTTTTAGTCCATTGTCGCTTGTCTCTATTGCTTTGGATCTGTGGCAGTGCAGGGCAGGGCAGGGCAGGGTAGGGTAGTACAGTGCAATGCAGTGTGTGACAGAGGACAACAGCCACTGGGAAGCAATGAAGACTTGGGTGGGCTTTCCCAAGATCTTCTTAAAGGGAAGTCCCCAGTTACCTAACTTTCTCTCACCAGTGATCACCTCTTAAAGTTTCTACAACTTTGAATAATGTCACAGGCTAGTGAAGGGGTCTTCAATACATAGACCTTTTGGGGGACACTTCGGAAATAAGCTATGGTCATAGTGTGCTAACTAAACACAGAAGTAAACTAATTTATGGTTCATTGAGGGCAGAAACCACATTTGCTCATGCCTCCGTGCACCATCTTTCATGGTTCCCTGTTGGAATCCTTTCTACAGAATTGGTGATAAATGTGTCCTATATGGCTTTATTTGTTCCCATAGTTCCCAGTCTTGGAATGAAAACTGAACCTGCTACTGTCTACATTTTCAGAGTTTTTTCCTGTTACAGGGAGAGAAGAGTTTTAAACAAAACCATTTCTGTCATTTCCCATGAATACTCTGGTGTCCTTAGGTGGGAATTTCAAGCAGATGTTGACTGTTCTTGGCTGGAGCGCAGAAGTGCTGGGGTTTGGGGATGCTGTAGGGCTGAGTATGGCAGCCGTGTGTGAACCTGCCTTGGGCTGAGTCATAGGTGCTTTATGGAGGCTCCCGTGCTGGGCAGCAAAGAAACTAGGCTGCTCAAATTTGATGACAAACTTTCTTTGGCAGCCACACATGAAAGTGGGGACCCCTCCCCCCATTCTCTGGGCTCTGAAGTGCACTGGGCCACTTGTAACATGCTGCCTTTGCTTGACTGATTTCCATGCTGGCTTTTCAAAGTTCCCTCTTGATCTCTTGGTTTCTTCCTTTTGGTGAAAGACCTCAAAGTGTGGCGTACAGATCCTGGCTCCATCTTCGACATTGACCCCCTGGAGGACAATATTCAGTCTAGAAGTCTCCATATGCTCTCTGGTATTGTTTGAGTTCCTGTCTGTTTCCCTGGGTTTGGTAATGAAAGTTAATGATGATGAATTAAAGACTTTCACTGTGGCACCCATGCAGTGGAAATTGAAAGCTGAGAATTCAGAAAACCCAAGAAATGTGCTATGTCACTTTAAAACGACATTAGTTATTTATGAAAGCAAAACTTACAAAGGAACTTGGAAATAAATCCTATATTAGTTTGTCCTAGATGCATTTAAAATGGTGTCTAGAGCATACTTATATTTGCCTTTCATTGGTAAATATGATTCTATAGGCTTTCTGGGACAGCAAATCTAGTTATTTGGATTGTAAAGAGCTCCTGAGACAGAAAAAAGGAGATTTGTTTCATGAAATACAGTATTATAGTATTTTAGAGTCAGGTTTCCAAAATTATACATAGAACAACAGCAAGGCTTATCTACAGCATCATGCATGCTTTCCAATTAAACCTTCAGATATTTAGCATTTATCTCTGAATTTTTATACAATATAAAATGGGTAGTTCCCATGGAGGCTTATTTGACTGCTAGCTTGGCTGATGTGTCTGTCATTAAAAGGGGAAAATGAATGATTTGGTATAGGTACAGCATGACTAAACATTTAGACTTTTAAGCCATGTTTAGCAAATACAGTCTGAAAATTACTGTCTAATTTCATCATCTCAAAAGAAACAAATTACAAGTATCAGATACCCAGGGCTACTTGAAAGCAAGTATTTAAAGCAGATGTTCACTTTTAAAGATTTCTTTTTTCTTTTCTGTTTGCTATCATCCATCTCCTATCCCTTATATCTCTTAAAACAAACAAACAATTGGACCCAAGAGGTTAAATGAGAAGAAATGTCTTTTAGGTCCTGTATGGATGTGATGCTGTTCCTGCTAAGTCTGGGGTTGGTTGACTAGAATAGCAGAGATTAGGGATTATTATTTAATCAGGGATTGTTTTTGCTTCCTTGTGAAGCTTTGTCTGTTGTTTAAGCCACTCATTCATGTATCTGAATATTCTCCCTCTGATGTAGAAAAGGCGAGTCAGTACCGGAGACATCTGTCTCGCTCTCACTCCAGCAGCACTTTTGGTACAGGTCTGGGAGATGACAAGTCAGAGATCTCCGAGCTCTACCCTAGCTTTTCATGCTGCAGTGAGGTAACAAGACCATCGGATGAAGGAGGTATCATACCGCAGCCATTTAAAATGAACTCACTTTTCAGATGTGCACCAGAGTGTCTTTTACTGACTTTCACCTTTGCTTGAGTGTATTTGAAATTTTAATTCTAAGTTTGGAAAGTTAAGAATCTTGACTTAAAGCTACTAACTTGTAGTTTTGAATGCTTCACTGTTGTCCATGGAGTAGATCCATAACAACCAAAGGGTCCTGGGAGATTTGCTGCAGCAGTGCATGATGGGAGTGCATGTCATGGGTATATACAACCTTAGTAGACACCAGAGTTCTGTGTAGTTTCTGTAGGACTTCCATTAGGGGGAGAAAATCAATCTTACAGTAACACTTGAGTGGTTAAGAGATTGCTATAAATTGGTGTGTGTTTATATACTGATATATGTATATTTATTGAGTTAGAGCTTGTCAAAAAGAAACGGCATGTCATACTTGGGATGTAAGATTTCTTTTTTTAAGTAGAAAATATTGTTGGTATTAATAATCATTACTTTATTTTGAACTCCACTCCTTTTCCTGTGCTTTTTCTTTTCAGTATCCAAGCTAATGGATTGCTTCTAGAACTTTCGGTGAATTCCATTAGGATGTTACATGGCAGCTGCTGCCAATAAAGCCATTACTAGTGACAAGACTCAGTGCATAGGGAAGACAAGGAGACAACTCAAATATTATGAGTTTCCTTTTCAAAGGTCAGACTGCTGAAGTTGCTAGATAGGAGTTTGAAGTTAAGTGGTTTAAAACATTGGAAATAAGTATCATTTCCAAGGACAGCTCTTGTTATCAAGCCATTGTCTGTATTCATCACAGTAACACACTAATGAACGTAAAATCAGTCATACTCTTTATACTTGAACTGTAAACTCAGTCTGGCTTGAGATTGCTAGAGGATTTGTTGGGGATGGAGGACTTCCTTTTATACATCTTTTTTTTTTCCAAGACAGAATCTTTCTACAGACAAACCCAGACAAGCCTCAACCTTGTCATCCTCCTGTCTCAGCCTCTTGAGTGTTTAGATTATAGGTGCCTGTGAGATCATGCTCATCTCCTTTTTATGCAATTCCAAAGAAACAATTGCAAACTAGTTATGCCTTATGGTAGATAAAAAGCCTGTTGCGCCGGGCGGTGGTGGCGCATGCCTTTAATCCCAGCACTTGGGAGGCAGAGGCAGGCGGATCTTTGTGAGTTCGAGGCCAGCCTGGTCTAGAGAGTGAGATCCAGGAAAGGCGCACAGAGAGACCCTGTCTCGAAAAACCTAAAAAGAAAAAAAAAAGAAAGCCTGTTGCTCACTTTCTTCTGGATCCGGCTCATTCATGAAGGCTTCTGTAACTGCTTCAAATATTTTTCTTCTTTTTGCACGGACAATATTGACTCTTCCTTCAGTGCTTTTCAAAGTTCAAATGTACACACTAATGATGATGCTTGATGGGTTAAACACAAGAAGCAGATGTAAGAACTAGTTATGGTCAATGACATTTAATACCACCCAGAGTGCTTGCTTCAGGGGTGACTCTTGTATCTCATGGGCACAACAACACAGCAATCACTCATTCACTCATCTAAGCATCAGACATACATGTGCACCAGCCAAGAACTTGGATCTGTAATACATCCCATAGTGAAGAAAAGAGACAGGGATCTGCTGTGGGGGACATAGCATCTGGTGGGGGACCTTGATATTAAACAAGCACAAGATGATACTACACAATTATAAACAGTGTCAGTGATATGTGCAGATTGGGTAGGGCCTAAAGGGTAGTTGACAGGCAGTTCCTTTTAGCCTTGAGGTTAGAGAAACCTTCCTCATGGAAGAAAAGTGGTTCTGACTGAGCAGAGTTCAGTGAGACTATGACACTGACTCGTTCTAATGGAAGTGTCGGCTAGACCGTTAAAATTCAGAGACTGCGCTGGAGGTGTCTTCCAAGTCTATGACCTTGGATGATTTCACATAGAGAAAATTCAGAACTTCCCTCTCTAGAGGCCTCAGCTCCCACCTGCACTAGTGAGAGATGCCCAGGTCAGCCTGGGTCATTACTTTTTCTCTCCCAAGGCTGTAAAACACGCTGCTGTCAGCTGTGTGTTGTCTCCCCTTGCCTTTTCAAATCACTGTTGTGTTTTCACTCAAATTATTTCAAAAAGGGAATCCATTCCTGTTTGAAGTTGAACCGAAAGAGAAGATGTCTCTGTTGAGAAAAAGTACAAACAAATATTCTTTTGCTTCTATTAGATGTTGAAAAATAGAGTTAAAAATAACTTGTAATCTTTCTGCCTCAGCCTCCTGTTTACTGAGTTTATAGGCATGTGCTATCATGCTCATTTAGGAAGAAGTTTAGAAATATTTGTTGATGGTCTGGAGAGAGAGTTCTGTGGATAAACCACTTGCCATGCAAGTGTGATGAGTACAGTGTGGATCCCAGAAACCAGTGCCCCATGGGTATGGTGGCCCTTTTACAATTCCAGCCTGAGAAGGCAGAGACAGGCAATCTTTAGAGCTGGCTGGCTAGTTAGTCTCTATAGGTAAGTTCTGGGTTCAGGTGAAGAGTGATTGAGGATGACTACAGATGTTAACTTTGTTTTTCCACACACACATTCACCCAAACACATGAGGACATGCATACACACATGCACATAGACCATACACACGTAAACACGTACAAACCGTTCGTTTGCTTGCTTATGTGTTTCTCTAGTTAGTGACTGAGTGGTGTTGGGATGGAACCTTGGGCTTCCTGCCTGCTAGGCAAGCACTCTACCACATACCCAGTCCGGAAATGTTATTTAAAAGGAAGGTGCTTTCTATTCTGAGCAAGGTAGCAGGAGCTCTATTTCTGACAAGCAGTGATAGCTCACTGGGTTGAGGAAGGCCTTGTGATGTCAAATTGACTCTTTTGAGGTGTTTGTAAGTTTCTGCCATTTGTAGGCACCTCTTACAAGGCTACTATACTCTTTCTTTAGGGACACCTCCTAGTATTTCAGGTAGGCATTGAAGTATGAAGCAGAAGTGAAAATGTACAAGTAAGTTTGTTGATATCAACTCAGGTGATTCAACACCAGAAAGTATCTATGCTCCTTGGAGGAGTCTTTAAGACACATGAGTCTATAGTCTTAATTTCATTCATTTTAGGTGCAGTAAAGCATAGTCTATGAGATCCATCTTGTCTGTGTTCAGCAATTAGTGACATACACACTTCATGCATTCAAAACTATCCCCCAACTACCAAACTACTGTTATGGGTCTGAGATTGTTCAGAGAATTGCTCATCTGACCGTGAGTAAATTTTAATAAATAAAAGATTTTATTAAATATTGTCCAGGAACATGGCCACTGGCCAGGTCCACAGTGGGGACTCATGCTTTGGATTATGGCCCTGAATTACATTAGTCAGGGGCTTCTAAAGGCAAAACTCACAAGGCTATGTGCTTCCTGGCTTCATGCAATCAGAGGCAAGCATACATCCTGACGTACATCTGCTTATGTACTTCCTGCCTACATGTGATCAAGCACATATACTGTGTAATTGGGCCAAGCAAGCTTGTTTACAGAAGTGAAAACACATGGCTTGTTATTTTACATGAGCAGCCTCCAGTATTCCAGGAAGTTATCTGTCCTTGGGCAAGTGGGACTTTTAGTTAGAGGCATTTTTGTTTTGTAGGTCTCTTAAGCACAGTAATCTAAACTTAAAGCATAGTGTTAGCCATCACACTACCCCATCTCCTTGCAGATCTTTGCTTCCTTGGGCTTACAACTTGCTGAATGATGACTACAACTCCCCAGGTTCTGGAGTCAACCTCTTTGGACTCATTCTGCACTTTTGCCCTTTATTCATTCTCCATGATGAATTCGTTAGAAAGCCTCCTCTTCTCTACCACGGCAAAGCCTCTCCTGTCGCTGCTTGTGGCTACTTATCTCACGGCTCAGAAAATCCCTGAGCAAATAGCTGACAGAAGTGATAGAAGGGAGGCAGGCTTGATTTTGGCCCAGGGTTTAAGAGGCTATACAGTCCACCATGGCAGGAAAACAGGATGGTATTTGTGGTGGCAGAAGTTTGTGGTGAGGACTCCTCACATCTTGGTTAACCAGGAAGCAGAGAGCTTGGACCACAAGCAGGGTTAAGCTATAACCCTCAAAAGCTGTTCCCTCCAGTGACCCACTTTCTCCAGGGAGGCCCTGCTTCCTAAGGGGTCCATACCCTCCTAAAAGAAACCAGAAAATAAGGGCCACAGGGCTGGGGAGATTCCTCAGTGGGTAAAGTTCTTGCTGCACGAGCATGAAACCTGAGGATCTGAGCTCAGATCCCCAGCCCACATGTAAAAATCCAGGTGTGATGATACATACCTGTAATCTCAGTGGTGGGAAGCAGAGCCTGGAGGATCCAGTGGGCTCACAAGGCAAACCAGTCTAGCCAATTGATAAGCTCCTCAATAAATAAAGTAGAAAGTGACCTAAGAAGACACCTGGGAGCCGGGCGGCAGTGGCACACGCCTTTAATCCCAGCACTTGGGAGGCAGAGCCAGGTGGATCTCTGTGAGTTTGAGGACAGCCTGCTCTACAGAGCGAGATCCAGGACAGGCACCAAAACTACAAGCAGAAACCCTGTCTTGATAAACCAAAAAAAAGACAACTGGCATGGACCTCTGACCTCCATGAATTCAAATACATATACACAAATATCTTTGTGAAATAAACTGCTCTCTTGTAGAAGGCCTGGAAGGAAACTTTCACACTTTTGTTGCAGTATTTTGATGTTTCAATGACATTGAAGCAAATCTGAAAACAACCTGAAGTAGAAACATTCCCAGAGGGTTTTTTTTTTTCTTTCCTTTTTCCTGGCGAGGCAGGGAAGAGATAGTATTCATGACTTCTTGGAGGCTTTGAAATGTAGGTTCCCCTTTGAAATGCGTGCTGTACTGGGCTCTGTCGAGGAGGAGCTGATTGATTACTAGACAGAGTTTTATGGTGATGACAACTGTTTGGTGGAAATAATTAGTGTCTTTAG